ATGCAGGTATTTGGCCACCTAACTATGAAAAGATTCAAGAGAAGGTTGCTATATATGCAAAACCAGAAGTTTTAGAAACACCACAACGTGCATTTCAAGCAAGTTATGATCTTTCAACATGGAGTCAAACATTTGATAGGATCCTTAGTTCACCGTCACGGCAAAAGTGGGCATCTTCTTATACTGAAATCCAAACTCAGTTAACAGAGGCTGAGCTGTTCCAGTCAGAGCTTGTACAAATTACTACTATTATGACTGAGCAACGACAGCGGAAGGTTAGAAGTCGGAAATCTATTCAAAAAGGTGGTGCTATTACAATTGAACATGCACGGCAAAGGATTTATGAGAAGAAGGTAAAGGAGCAACTTTTAGAAGAAGCACGGGAGAAAAGAGAGAGAACACGCATGGTGAACGTTGAGCGTAAGATGCAGCTCCGTGCTGGCATCGATGCACGGAAGGCAGAACGTACACGGAAAAAGGACCTACATGAATTTCAAAAAAGTAACCCAGACACGGAGCCACCAATTGGCTTACGTACAGAAATCATTGACCCGGACGTTACACAGAAGAAACGTGAGGAGGAGGAGGAGGCGGACCGACTGTTAGCCATCGAGGAGAGTGGGTACGTGAACTTTGCAGGCTTGGACTACGACATGATTCACGATGCAAGTGACGGTGGCTGTGATGATCAATCACTGCCTGACAATATTGATCCAAATCTTTTTTAATTATTTAATTCTATAACTTATATATATTTACAGCATTGTTACGTTGTCAGTCGTGTTCATGGTCGGTCGTGTCGCGTCGCGAGTCCGCTCCCGAAGTGTCCCACAATCGCTTTCGCGTCCCAGTTCGCTTTCGCCAACCGCCTCCAGGCGGTGGTTTGAGAACCAACGATTAAACAAAACCATCTTATAAAACTATCCAAGGCGCATAAACACACATTTACTCAAGGTCGTTGTATAAGATGACTCCTATGAACAGTTATCACTTGGGAACGAGGTAAAGTATCAAGTGGCGGCATGGGACGAGTTTCGTTATAATATGAAAACATCATCAAGGTTAAGGGAAAAGTCACACCTGGGGTTACTACATTTTAAGACAAAATCCAGTGATTGAGCTCTTGTATTTTCGATAACGCCAACCCTGTCACAGCCACATGTATCCATACAGTCCATCATACAGGTTCTAACCTCTCATACAATACCAAGGTTACTCAGTACTGGCTTTCAGCAATTTCAACGTCATATATCCTTCAACGGTCTGCTTCCCGACCATCAAGCTATCAAGTCTTCTTGCTACCCCCTGTGTTGTTGCTGCTGCAATTCTTCATAGACAACCTCTTCGGGGGTTGTAGACTCGGGGTGGTTAGGTCCAGACTGCCATTTTCTGGACTGGCCTCATCCCCGGAAAACATCAATGGCTCGGGTTCTGTCTGGGCCTTTTCACTGTGGGCTTTCGAATCGCTCTCTATGTCACCGTGACCTGTTTCTGAACGCACACATGCACAGTGGCGATGCTCGCGGCGATGATAGTGAACGATCGTACTGAATGTAACAAGGGTTATAAAGTTTCATTATATCCCGCCGGCTGCAAAGTAACCACGGTGGGAGGGAATACGCACAACTCAATGATCCCAGCAGCAACCGAAACCATCATGAGGTCAATAAAGGCGATTACTACAGGGTAGCGACGAAATCGACATCATAGCGACTGTAGTGCCCAGCCTGACCCCCATTCACGAAGTATAAAACAAGTGAGGGGTAGGAATACCGAGGATTCCCTTGCACTGGCCCCGGTTGCAGATAAAGAATGATACTGAAGAAGTGCTTGCCAAAAAAAAAACTTAACGAATGTCGGGTGCTTGTACCCGCAGACCTACTGAAGCATGGTCATTGAAAGTGTAAATATTTGGAGAGATGATCCCTTTTGGATGTAGACGAGGTTGTGGATGGGAAGTCACGCCTGGGAGCCCGTTCGCCGAATGCTACTTCCTCATAAAGGGGCCCAGGACAAACTTCGACGAACGACCACACCTTCAGTAGTATTCAATTTATGTTTAGTCCCACGACAAGTTATAGCAGCCATAGCTATATAGATAACTATAAGTAGACGAATAAGTTATTATCTTGCAGTTTCTCAAAGAGTGTCGTTGGGCTGAGATAGTAGGGTTCAGTCTGGCCCAGACATTAACCGAGAACATCCGGATCGGGGTATCATTTATCCGTGCCACTGCAACCCCCTTACTACCCGCCGTCATTTGATCACGGGGCACAGTGAACATCGAGGGCAATCCACTAGCTTGTAACCATTTCAACCTCGTGCTCCTTTTCTGACGTCGTCGGTCCTTTCGCGCAGTTGTACCGGCCGTCAGCTTGACCTACCTAGCCTGCAATAAATCGCCGAAAGCTAGGAACCAGGATTCGGGCCATGCCAAAGTGAATGACGACTCCGCCTCATCCGGCGAGGAGACGAGTCACCTACCACTTGCTCGCGCAACTATAGAAACAGGCGCGCGGGAGCTCACCACATCGCGGCCGAATCAAAGACGATATGGTCCTGAATAAGCTGCACATCCCGCTTGACAACTGGGTAACTTGTATTGAGTTCCCTGCTCCTCGTCGTCGCCTCGCTGGGAGATATCGCCACGTAACTGGATCATCACCTGTCCAAATCACCACCTGTCCGGAACATCTCTTCCTCCCGCCAGCCTATGCTTGATATTTGATATTTGATATTTGATATATAAGCGGGATCCGTATTGAAGCAGTATAGCTCTGGGCTCTAGCTCTAGCTCGTATCACCACCAACCTCCGTGGCTTCTCCAAAAGGCCATCTCCTCGACGTCGGCAGGGTGTTATCCTCAACGAAGTGTGTTTTGGAAGGCAATAGTCTCTGGTGAAAAGAGAACTGCGCCGCCATGGACGAAGCGGCGATTATGGAAGCTGCAGAGGTCGCTGTTGACGGACTGATGCTAGTCTGCCACCTGGTGTTGGTGGCGCTTATGTACGCGACCGAACTCGCAGTTTCGTGTGGTCAATGGCTTTCCACACGGAAGATGGGATGGGAGACCGTCTCATCTTGGACGGTGTTTCTGGTGTTGATGTGTGCATCGCTCGGAAACTCGTGGTTCCTACCAGAGGAAGTGGTACCGGGATGATATGGCTTGACCAAGAACCGGTGAAGTGAATTGAAGGAGTGGCTGTTTATTTGGAATACCCGCAACCCCTGTCAACCAACCATTCAACTACAAGAAGTACTCGCCATATCGACCACAATGCTACTCTTGCCTGTACTTGTGGAATTCTCACTCCGTGCCCGGCATAGGGATGGCGATGCCTCCCAGGCCGCCAAGTGCCAACCCGGCGCCAAGCTCAATATCGCCCAACTGAGAAGATAAAGCTGGGCACCACTCCTCTGAGACTAGCTCGGGAGCAGAGTTTTCTACTATATAAAGTAATTACAGTAGCTAGATTAATAAGATATGCTTTTCACTGATCACTGTTTTGAACCTGGTTGACACGCCCGTAATTATCATTATTCTATTCTTACGGACCGCTATGTCATACTGACATTCGTTGCACTCAGTTTGCTATCAAACTCAAGAGCAAACTTGGAAATCTCCTCCTCAAACCTACAAGTCACTATACATATTTTGGCTTATCACACCAACAACAAGAGCAATACTACTCAACGATTGCTACAACCATCTATGATTCATTACACGTCATCGCTCCTTAGTTACTGGGCCGATATTACCACATAGCATATCTCTACAACCCTCTATGATTCATTACATGACATCACTCATACTACCACATGACATATCTCTACCAACTAGAGGCCTAGGAGCATGAACGATAGCTCTAAAAGCTCCTACGAACCTCTATGATTCATTACATGTCATCGCTCTTTAGTTACCCACAAGATTGGTTAAGTTATGACATAATTTGTCTATGACATAATTTGTCTATGACATAATTTGTCTATGACATAATTTGTCTATGACATAATTTGTCTATGACATAATTTGTCTATGACATAATTTGTCTATAGGGGTACTCTGACCTTGGACCTCCTTTTACTTCCTATAGGCTACAAACCTAAGAGATGGTTCTATGGGATTCTCTTACGTCGACTACACTTATCAAGCCTGGTAATCATGGAAAGTCTTGGAAAATGAGAGAACTACACTCCTTTAGCATAAATAGGATTGCCCTTTCCTTAAGAAAGGGCAAGCAGACAATACAGTAAATCGACTATCACATACTTCCACGTCTTTTCCAAGCTTCCAAGCATTCATCTTGTTACTCCTTGTTTCTGAAAAGTCAGTGAGGTGTTAACCTCTGACTTACCCCTGAGTTCCCAGACTCAACATTTGTTGCAACTTGTCTGAACCACTTCACTACATCACACACCTGATTGCTGCGTTGTGGAATAGTCTAAGCTACGACCCTTTGGCTCTGTTTTCTAAGACAGTGTGTTGTCTTAGTAAATTCATCCCTTCCTTGGGTGGCTAGATTCTCACATCTGGTGCACCCACCATTACACGCTACCTAAGTTCTACAGTACTTCGAAAATGGCGGGAATTATTAATCCCCAAGGCAAAAAAGGGCAGCCCATGGAAATGGATTTCTCTATTTCTTTGCTTCGTCTTCGAGAGGCGGGGACTACCGAAGGGAGTAATTATTATACCTCAATCTCTACTTATTTCAACCACAAAACCACTACAGCCGAGGGTTGTCGGGTACAAGCTCTCCTCAACGGGAAAGATGGTTTCTCTCGATCATACGATTTCTTCTCTACTCACAAGACTTTGGTTATATGTCCTAGCTGGATGTAGAAGTATTCTAACCAGTGTTGCTAGTAGTTCAAACAGTTCAGTTAGTTCAAATTTGAGGCTGAACTGTGTTACGATGGTCATAGTCATGATGCCAGTCCAGGAAAAGTAATCTAGATTGAATCTAAAGAGAGAAGAAGAAGAAGGAAGGAAGGTGAGGCTATTCCTCATAACATACAGTTGTCTGCTTAGCGGTTGTAACCTTGGTGGCTAAGGCTACACCCGTAATCCCCATAACAACCGTAATCCCCATAACAACCGTAATAACCGTAATAACCGTAATAACCGTAATAACCGTAACAACCGTAACAACCGTAACAACCGTAAGCTGTGACAAGCTGTGAGCTGTAATCGTAACATCGCTAGCTGAACTCGCTGCCCCTGTCGACGATAGCAAGTTCCTCGAGCCCTGAACGACTGGGCCATCAAGGAGAAGTTCTCCTGGCGGCTCCAGAGGAGGGACAAAGACGGGGCAACCGCCGTTTGTCCTGAGGAGGGCTGTGCCTGGCGTGTCCGAGCCAACCCCGACGACGAGCAATGGAATCCCCCACGGCTGACCGCGAAAAGAGAGGGTTCGGAGGGAGGACGCCGGGCTCGCCGGGATCACGGAGGAATTCTGCCACTTGGGGCAGTTGTTGCTGCTGTGCCGGACTTGGTCCGCACACGCTGCGGCACCTGCGGCGAGCCTGGGCATAATGCCAGGACTTGCCGCAGGCCTCATAATTGACCCGTTCTCATATGAGAACAGGGGGGTTTACGGGGGGGTTTACAGCCCGTTCTCATATGAGAACGGGGGGAGTTTCTAGATTGGGCTTGGGCGGGTCACGTGGGATGGAACTGGGTACATAGAATGTTGGAACTGCATTCCTGGTAGTACGCTGCACATGCGTAGCCTGTATACCAACTGTGTATATATAGGGGCTTCGCCCCCCGTAGTTTTTCAATCAAGTCGTCAAACTCCAATTATGTGTTCAACATAGAATTTATTTATTGTTTTACTGGGTATATGGAGTTTTTGCCCTTGTATAATAATACACCATCGCCTGCCTCGCTAAGGTAATTGCCAATATAGCCACTATATAAATGAAGCGGGCTCTCGAGCAGGGGAGCTCTTAGGGTGCTGCCCTCGTGGGCGTAGTCTTCTCTCACATAGGGCATCATCCGCTTCTATACAGAGTGAAGATCAACATGGCACGAGATGCCCGCTGGTATCAGCGTGAAGTTGCGGGGAAAACTCTTGTTATATGGGGTAGCCCAGTTTAATAGATTGTATCACACTTAGGCCTGTTGCTTAAACCAACGCTTGTCGTCCAACAAATGCAATCCACGCACAGATTACGCCAGAACACCCACCGGAGGTGGACGTCAGAATTTAGTCTGGTTCGGTCCTTTTTAGGCCGTTTCAACATGGATGCTCGTGGATAATTTCTTCTATCATATAGTAGTTAGCCAGCATACTTCAAATCTCGCACCTATGAGATCCTGTTCGCACAAATTAGCCACCACTGTCGAGTTAAAGCGATGTGACCCACCGAAACCGGCATTTATCATGACGATCTAGATGTGGAGGCATATCACTGCCGGCGAGTAACATCGTGCTGTTGGCAGCGCCTCCAACAATGCCACTGCAGGCAGGTTCGACGCCCGGTTTATCCAAGCCAGTGCGCCCATTTTACAACACTGACGTGGGTGTACCTGGCAATACAGTGCCAGCGACTGCCAAGTCCTGGCAGTATATTCTCTACGGTCACCTGTTTGGATGCTTCCAATACAAACAAATCACAGGACTTTAACACTTGGACAGAAAAGGGTTTCGTGGTGGCCATTTGACCAGCCATCTGAATGTCGTAATTACATTTATACAGTACCAGCGATTAAACACTAAACTACACTTATCAGACTAGCCTCAGTTCATCTAAGCCCTATCGTCCAGCATCCCTCAATGCCATTACCCACTCTTCTTCTCCTTCCACGGTGCTATCGTTTAGGATGGCCAAGACCTCTCGTGCGGAGGTGACACCGTAGAACTTAGTCTCCAGGCTTCCAATCAGCGCCACCATAGCTCTAACCAAGACAGCATCGCCTTCAAACACCCATATATCCCAGAGTCGCGTGATTACATCAAGATTGAGCTGCTTCGTGAAGAGAGACGAGAAAATGGAGTTTACGCATGGCCCCGGTTGTTGATCGATCTGGATACTTAAGCAGAGGTGCTTATAAAGGCGCGGGAATTTGGCGGATAATGTCTCCAGGACAAGAGAGTGGATGCGGGACATCGCGCCGTGATCATGGGTATGGAAACTGAGAGGAAGCGGGCGGTTAAGGAGGTTGGCCAAGGTGCAGAATGCGGCAGCCGGTGTTGGGAAATTAAGCAACAAGAGTGCTGTAGCAGTCTATCGGGAGTCAGTACAGAGATCTCAGGCAGCGGAATCAGTATACATACACTTAGGCCGTCAACGTATCCAACGTCACTCCTGTACATCACATATGCCATCAGAACGTCAACCAGCGACTCCGAGAGCGGTCCACCAGGACGGAAGATGCGGAGTTCGGGGTAGGTTGTCGTCACATCCCTGTTAATGCTCTCGAACCATTTCCCTTGGACAAGATCATCGGCGGTGGCATTGCCTTTTGCTAGCTTCTTCTTGAGATTCTTAGCACGTCGTAACGCTGCATTATACGAAGACTCCGATACACCAAGCTCGTTGCCAATGGCCCTGTCCCATACAGCACCTCTAGATCTAGGGGCGATGCCTCTCCACCACAATTCCCTCGTTCGCTTCAAGGAGGTTGCCGCCTCCCAATTTGGCAGGACGTGGTCTTCCCATATCCTCAGCAATGAGCTAGCCGTATCATCTCGAGATGTATCGCTTGAATTTGAAGCCTCTCGTTTCTTCTCAGTCTCCATGGACGCCGCCATCATTTTTTGGTACTCTTTCAGATGTCGTTTTTCCTCCAGAGGATCCTTAGGCGGGAGCCAGCTCGGCCTCGTCCGGGACAGTACGGCCATCTTCTCTTTTGAGATAGGAAGCGGGTCGATCATTACGTCGTTCTGTCTCAGAGGGAGCTCCGACATTACGGATTTGGATCGCTTGATATCTGAGAGGAAGGGTGGGCGCTTTGGTTGGTTGGACTCCAATTGCTCATCTGCATGTGCTTCAAGGGCTTCCGTCAGAGATTTGGCTTCTGCGTTCAGCTCCGATAGCGCTACCGTCCAGCTCTTCGCCCGTCTAGGTTTCGTATAGAATGATGGACTTGTCGGTTTATGGAAACTTTCGTCCTGCTTCAGGCTCCCTTGTGCGCCTGGGGTTGCCGGAGTGCCATTGCCAGCGGGCTTAATCTTCTCTTTCAGGACGAGGGCTGTTGGCGGTACGTCCACCGATCGTTCGCCAGGTGGGCGCGGGGACATGGGGACGTTTTGGAGGAAGCATTCATCCGGGATATCATCATCTTCATCGTCGCATTCCTTTTCCAATTCCTGTGCTGACTTGCGCTCTCGATTCGACTGCCAGCTCATTCGTGGTGACCGCGGTGACCGCGGTGACCTCGGAAATGGTCCAGGTTGTGTAAGTGGGCTGGGGCTTCGATTTCGCCCGTTCATCGCCCTAAGGCTGGTCATGGACTGGGTTGAGAAGGTGCGGCTAGGAGCTGCGCTACCGGGCGCCAGTCCCAGCCCGAGCCCTTCGCCAGCCAGTTTCCGCCCATGGGGGCCTAGACCCGGCACAGCCGGCCTCCCCTTGGACGTCAGGTTTCTCTGTATGGATGCCAGCGATCTCGATCTCCCTTTCATGGATCGATCCGAGGAATGTGACGGTAGCTCATCGACGAAGTCGTCGGTCTCTTGTTCCAACTGCGCATCATCCAGCCCAATGTCCTCAAAGTGTCCTACATCTGCCAGGATGCCGTTGTCGTCGGATTGGTAGGAAGAATGGAAGGACGACTTTGAGCTACTGAGCGAAAGGTCGGGAGGTGAGCCCGGCATGCCAACACTGCTCTCGTGGCTCTCCTCATCGGGGGTGGTCTGGTTCATAGCATATTCAGTAGTCGAGGTATGGTTCGTCGCGGAGAATGGAGGAGCTACTGAGGATGCAATGTTGGCGGTTGCCCGACTCTCGCGGGTGCGTTGGATATCGTGGGCTGTTTCGTGTATTTTGTTTGTGGGTTCGATGTGTGTCGAACTCCGTAAGTCGGTGAGAGAAGCTCTTGGGAAATTAGACAGAGACCATGCGACGACCCTTGAATGTGGGGCAACGGCTCTGAAGAAGGGACGAATGACAAGAAGCGAATGTATAAAGAAGAAGCAAATATGTGCTATAAAAGTACTGCAAAAAGTACTGTAAGAACGAATATCAACACTGCGAGACGAAGAAGCCGTATTGACGATTTGAAGATTGGCTGTGGTTAGTTTTGTCGACGATGATGTTTGCGGTCGTGGTCGGGAGTTGTTTAGCCCAGTTTTGGATGAGATGATCTGTGGTACGTACCAAAATGTGAAGCGGTTCGGTCAGGGGGGTATAATCAGGTACGGGTCGAATAGCCAGGCCTTATTGGCTTATTAGGCTTATTGGAGTTATTTCCCTAAATTCTTCAGCACGGGGAATAAATATATGAACATTATCTCCAGAGAACTACAATACTATAGTAGAGATAGAGTATAAACTATATGAATTTGTAAAGCTGGATTCAGCGTATACTCGGGTCGATAGCCAGCGCTTTTTGGTTTTTTGGTTTTTTGGCTTTTTGGCTTATTGGCTTTTTGGCTTATTGGCTTATTGGCTTTTTGGCTTATTGGCTTTTTGGCTTATTGGGTTATTGGCTTATCGGGATTATTGAACTTATTTCCCTAAATTCTTCACCACGGGGATAATAACTTTTCTTTAATATAAGTTACTACCAGTGTTCACCAAAATAGTATTAGTATTTATGCTTTTCAAATAGTATTCGGCGATGAGCAGTATTCGGGCAAAAATTGAGGTATTCGGCGAGTATTTGCCAAGGTGCCAAGCTACGAGGATTTTACCCCGCCCTCATAGATAGATCCGTAAAAATAGATCTGTAGATAATATATTACTTGATATTTCTACCAGAATGAGCGACTCTGAGCTATCAGTAATTCCAAGTGACGAAGATGAGGAAATACAGCGCCTACCAGCCCCTTCTCCATTAGAGTCTTCGCTGTCAATAGCTCTACCATTACTACAAATACAGCCACAACTCCCAAATACTCAGTCACCGCTATTCTTAAAGAACATATTTAGTAGAACATTGTTAAGCACTAGCCCTGCAACGATGAAGATTGTCTGCATGCAAGATGGCTGTAATTATAAGCCAAAACTGAAGCTTTTATTATGGAATATGACAGTGCATTGATGTATGTGATGTTGATTAATTGATTGAGGCAAGAGAGCTGCTCTACGGAATCTCTACGTGTGGAGGTGCTCGCTAGTCGAGTTCACTCAACCACGTCGTGCGGGCTCAATACCCAGAACCTCCAGAGTTCCTCACACCCCCCAGGCCGCATAAGACGTGCCTCTGTATTGCATTGTACTATTTTACATTGTGATATTCTCGATATCTGTCATTTTGACCAAACCCAGCTGTTGAATGAAACGTGCATGCTTGACAGGAAACAATGGCTTTGTAAGACCGTCTGCAACCATATCATCTGTTGCAATGTATTCCAATTTGACCATTCCCTTTGCGACTTGCTGTCTGATGTAGTGCCAATAAACTTCAATATGCTTCGTACGTGCATGGAATTGAATAGGCTGAGTGAGTGAGATAGCTGGTTTGTTGTCTCCATGAATGACAACAGGGTGAAGGTCAGGACCGAAGTATTTAAGCTCTGTGAGCAATTGTTGAATCCAGGCAGCCTCCTTGGCAGCGTAGGTCATGGCAATATACTCAGCCTCTGTTGATGAAGTAGCGGTAAGAGTCTGTTTACCGCTTTTGTATGTTACAATGCCACCTGCAGCTTTGAAAACATATGCATGAGAGCTTGCTCTGTTGTCGGAGTTGTCTGCAAATGCGGCATCGCTGTAGCCCACAAAATCAAGTCCTGGTGGACCAAATCGACCAAAAGGACTTGATTGATCAAGGGTAAGAGTGGTTTGTGGAGCTTAAAAGCAAATTGCAAGGTCTGGAAAGCTCTTAAATTGATCAAGGGTAAGAGTGGTTTGTGGAGCTTGAAAGCAAATTGCAAGGTCTGGAAAGCTCTTAAGGTATCGCAAGACATGTAAGGCGTGATCCATATGTTGCTGGCTTGGATTGTCTGCGAATTGACAGAGCTTATGAGTTGCAAAAGCAATGTCAGCGCGTGTAGTATTTGCAGCATAGCCAAGAGCACCGATCATACTCTGGTATTCCTGACGTAAATTCTCATCTATTGAACCGGTAAAAGGCTTAAGATGAACGCCATCAGGCTGCATAGGGTGAGAAGCTCCTTTGCAGTCTTCCATATAGTACTGCTTGAGAATTTTCTGAATATAGGTCTCCTGCGAAATGTGCATGGTTTTGCGAGTGCGATCACGGGTGATTTCCATTCCGAGGTAATGGTTAAGTGGACCAAGGTCACGGAGTTCGTATTTATCGCAGAGCTGTTGCTTCATCTCTGTGACAGTTTGGAGGTTGCGGTGGATGAGTATAATATCGTCAACGTAGATGATGATGATTCCACCGTGCTTATGATGTTGAAAGACACAAGGATCTGCATTAAGAGGCTGGTATCTGAGAGAAACGAGGAATGTAGTGATTTCTTGTTGCCATAAAAGAGGTGCTTGCTTAAGTCCATAAAGAGCCTTAAGAAGACGAGCAACAAGGGCACGGCCGTGTGCATCTGTAGATTGAAATCCAGGTGGAAGGCGAATGTAGATATTATCGTTGTCGATGGGACTATTAATAAAAGCACAGACAGCATCGAGCTGAATACATTCGAGGTCATAGATTGTAACAATGGCCATGAGGAGTTTGAAGGTGGCTGCGCGTACAACAGCTGCATATGTCTCGAGATAGTCTAATCCCAGACGCTGTTTGTCACCACGGACAACAAGACGAGCTTTGCAAGAAGCTAATTTGCCTTCTGCATCGGCCTTGTATTTGAATACCCATTTCACAGGGAGAACACGTTGGTCTTTATGATGTAGAGTTTGAGTCCAAGTGTGATTTTTGACGTGTTGAGAGATCTCCTTATCCGTAGCTTGCTTCCACTGTTCACTAAAAGGATGGGCCATAGCCTCTTTCCAAGTGCGTGGTTCAAGAGGAAGATTTTGAATGTTTGGTTTATGATCCATTCCTGCAGCAGAGCAATATGCGACTGTAGGTGGAAGAATACAGAGAGCGTGTCCGTGGTTTTGACGCTTCTTTGCAAGATTATCTTTTTGTTGTTACAAAGCTTGAGTATATTGCTGACCTTTCTCTGTCTGTTTAACTTTGCGTTTTGAGTGAGAGGAAGAGGAGACAGGTTGATCCTGAATATGGAGATGGTGTTCGTGTAAGGCAGGTTGAGGTAGATCAAGTTGTTGCTGTTGAGTAGGAGGTGGATCGATGAAAGACATGTCTTCAAATTCCTGCTCGAGAAGAGTCTGTCGACCAAGTTGTGGGAGTTGAATCTCTTGATTTGCAAGCGGAGTAGGATCTTCATGAGTAGATTCACAGTCTGATCCTTGTGGTGAAGAATCTTGAGGCGAAATCACCCCCCCATATGTTAGAGTGTGAAGATCAAGAGGAAGAACACCCCCCGAATCTACAGGGAGATCTGGATGGAAGTGGTCAGCATTAAGAGTAATATATCCAGAATCATCTTCGTCATCTGTATCCTCGCTGTCGAAAGTTGCAAGCGGGTGCACTGGATTGATTTCGTTCTCATTAAATGTGACGTGAGAGGTGCAGATGACTTTGTTTTGCGTGGGGATGTAGATTCGATAAATGTGATCACCTTCGTAGCCAACGAGTTTGCCTTTCTGAGCTCGGACATGGAACTTCTGTCCTTGAACTCTCTTTTGCTTTGGTATGTAAACATAAGCTGTACAGCCAAATGTACGCCAGTGAGCAATGTTAGGGAGAATATGAGTTTGTTCGCAGAACTCAGAAAGCACTTGATGTGGTGTCTTTGAATTTTCGTTCTTGCGAGTAGGTGTTCTGTTCATGCTTTTGAGAGCTGTTATGAAAGCTTCTGGCCATATCTTGTATGGAAGTCCACTGCCTTGGATCATGGATCTGAGACGGACTTCCGTAGTATGGTTCGCCGTCTCGGCTTTGCCGTTCTGATATGAGTGGTATGGAGCCGATGGTTCATATTTGATTCCATACTTCTGACAAACCTCTTGAAGTTGTTGTTGTGAGAACTCAGTTCCTCCGTCAATGCGAAGTCTCTTGATGTGAGATCCCATCTGGTTGTGGTAGAAGTTGATGAACTTAATCAAAGCAGGAAAGGCATCACTCTTATTTTTATAAGCTTCTCCCCATCGGTATCCTGAAAAATCATCTGTAAAAAGAATGAAGTATTTCTCTCCACGGTGTCCAGTGTTTGTAAGTGGGCCAACTGTATCACAGTGGATAAGATCTCCAACTGCAGTTGTCTTCTCTTGTGGTTGGTGAGAGATCTTCTGTTGTGCTTTTGTAAGATGGCATGTTTCACAGAACTGTTGTTCTCCAGTAAGCTTGTAGCCAAGTTGCTTTGCAAGATTATGGATGGAATCCCATCCTGCATGTGCAAGGCGTTGATGAAGGAGATTGATGTTAATGGAGATGATGGTGGGAACAACAGGTAAAGCAAGTGTACCCTGATCGATGTGTTGATCGCCAATGCCCATGACTTGTGGGCAGTAAAGCTGAAGAGTAGGATGGAATGGTGTGTACATGACTTCGATCCCTGTCTCCTTAAGACGGAACGTCATAGTGTCTCCCATCCAGATGATTGCATTCTCTGTTCTAAACTGCAACACCTTGGCTGAGATGATGCTAACAGGAATGGTGGGCGCGTAGTAGACTTCTGTAATCTGACGCGTAACATGGTTGCCATATCAACAGTGACAAGTTGAACTGTTCCCTTTTGACGTGCAAAGACAGATCCATTTGCGGATTCAACTTGCAATGGGACGATATTTTGTAACAAGATGAAGGCATCTTTGTTGTTGCAAAGATGATAGCATGATCCGGTATCGACGATCCACATCTCCTTATACCATGATTGTGAAGTAGAGAGAACAAGTGAAGGTGTAGATGCAGGAGATGGAAGCATTGCCATAGTTATGATGCCTCTCTTAGAGTTCTTCTTGGCCGTCTTCTGATTGTTGTATTTCTCTACCCATTCTGCCTTTGGTGTGAATCCTGCAATTGTGCTCAACTCGGGGTGGAGATGAAAGCATTTGTGAACTGTATGGGATTTGCCGCAGCATGGACACTTGTCACGTGTGTTTTGACAGTGTTGTGGTTTTGACTTTGTATGTTCCTTGTTGTGACCATTAAAGTTGACAAGGTTTCCATCATTCTTCTGCTTTGATTCATCAAGAACAGTGTTGATGCAGTCGTTGATGTCTGGCACTTTGCCATTGCGAAACTCTTGTCTCATAGTAGCAGCCCAAACAGGATAGAAGTTGGAGAGGATGTGGATAAACTGGAGAGTTCTGACGGTGTCAGTAATGTCGCATTTGGCTTCATTTGCTGCAGCAGGAGTGATGACCATTTGTTGATAAATTTATCCAGTCCCTTGCCATCCCATGTACAGTTGATCCAGTTTGTATAGTGCACTAGCATCTGCACAGGACCTTCTGTATCAGCGGGTTGTGATGAGGTCGAGCATCTCCTTTGCACTTTCAAGATCTTGGATTTGTGCAGTGAGTGTAGCTGGAACTGAAGTGACGATGACGAGTCGAGCTTTTGCATCGTTGGCTTTCCATTTGTTGTAAGTGAGACTCTGAGCTCCGATGCGAGCCTAAATCTTTGAGTCTTTGAATTCGCCATCTTCATCGAGGTATTCTTCGAGGATGTTAGGCTTTTGGAGTTGAGTTGTATGGCCTGAGACGATGTCCCAAAGTGAGAGTGATTCGAGGTACATGCGCAAGGTTGCTCTCCAAGTCTTGTAGTTCTTGGAGCCTTCAAGTTTCGGAATCTTGGGGTCTTTCTCCATCTTGACCGTTATTTTGAGTTAGCCAATTTGATCTGGAGGAAAGGGTGGGGTTGAGGTGGTTGTTGATGTTGTTGTCGACACGCCTTGGTTGAGGTGAGATCGACAGGTTTGTTGATATGTGATAAGTTGTGAGGATACTCAAAGAGCTTTCCAATGACTTCCACAAAGTTGATTGTTGAATCAAACCAATGACTGCTTTGTTATATGGGTGCATACGCGACCCGGGCTCATAACCTGACAGTGCATTGATGTATGTGATGTTGATTAATTGATTGAGGCAAGAGAGCTGCTCTACGGAGTCTCTACATGTGGAGGTTGTCATACTGACATTCGTTGCACTCAGTTTGCTATCAAACTCAAGAGCAAACTTAGAAATCTCCTCCTCAAACCTACAAGTCACCATACATATCTTGGCTTATCACACCAACAACAGAAGCAATACTACTCAACGATTGCTGCAAACTCTTCTACTACATCTGTTTATGCTACATACATCACGGCATATCATTTGGACACTCATTGAACAAGTTATTAAGAAAATCTCCTCCTTAAGGGGGTGGGTCAATACTACCACATGGCATATCTCTACCAACTAGAGGCCTAGGAACATGAACGATAGCTCTAGAAGCTTCTACAACCCTCTATGATTCATTACACGTCATCGCTCCTTAGTTACCCACAAGATTGGTTAAGTTATGACATAATTTGTCTATAGGTACTCTGACCTTGGACCTCCTTTTCACTTCCTATAGGCTAGGAACCCAAGAGATGGTTCTATGGGATTCTCTTACGTTCACTACATGATTAGCAAGCTAGTTGTGGGTCGCACTTGATTTCTAATACATTTACCAAGCCTGGTTAGTCATGGAAAGTCATGGAAAATGAGAGAACTACACTCCTTTGGCATAAATAGGATTGCCCTTTCCTTAAGAAAGGGCAAGCAGGCAATACAGTAAATCGACTATCACATACTTCCCCGTCTTTTACAAGCTTCCAAGCATTCATCTTGTTACTCCTTGTTTCTGAAAAGTCAGTGAGGTGTTAACCTCTGACTTACCCCTGAGTTCCCAGACTCAACATTTGTTGCAACTTGTCTAACCCACTTCACCACATCATACACCTGATTGCTGCGTTGTGGAATAGTCTAAGCTACAACCCTTTGGCTCTGTTTCCTAAGACAGTGTGTTGTCTTAGTAAAATCATCCCTTCCTTGGGTGGCTAGATTCTCATATCTGGTGCACCCACCATTACACAAAGGCAGAAGCATCACAAGAAAAGAAGGGTTTACATCAAGCTAGGATTAAAGTACAGAAGAGAGAGCAAGAGCGAAAGAAAAAGGTTGCATGGCTTCTTCGAGTAAAAGAGTTTATAGTAATTGAGCTCTTGACTCCCATTCTTGATCTAGAGGCATAAGCAAAGGCACAAGCAACAGCAGAAGCAGAAGCACAAGCAGAAGCAGAAGGGGTAGTTGGGCAAATAGAGGTAGTAGATATGGTAGGAGATGATGGTTCTGATGAAAGTGATGAGGAGAGTGTAGTTTTCACGTTGTATAATGAATGAGAAGAAGTATCTTCTATATAATTTTCTATGTGAAGATACCTACTTATTTTGCCCTAAGAGGGGACACTTGCTTACTAGGGGACACTCGCTTCCTCTAACTGTAAGTGAAGCGAACAGGCGGTCCTAATGATTAGTATCTACTAATATATACACAACTAGAAAATGAGGCTTTCTACAAATACGCACACTTCTACTCCTAATATCTGCTAACATGCGCACAACCAGAATAGGCCCTACCTATTAATGCTAGACACATTTTGCAAATTCATGTACATCTACTACTACTAGCTATGTAGAATTAGAACAGATTTTGAGGCATTCTGAGAATGTATGCACTTATACTACTAACTACGTAGAATCTACGCATAATCTGCATGTTAATGCCTAAAGCATTCTGCAAATGTACACACAGCTACTGCTAACATCCACAAAGCTAGAACAGGGCCTGCCTATTAATGGTAGAAGCATTCTGTTTACAGAATTCCTTTGGTATTATTATTTACTTTTTTCTAGGATGGGTTCTAAGTGTAGAGAACTAGTTGGGATGGATGGGATGTGTACAATGGAGTTGTGTAGTCAGTTTAGCATTCGACACCCCATTTTGGTTTTAGGATGAGAAGGCCCTAAAGGAGCTAACTCGTCTATGGTATTCTTTATCAAATAGGCAACTTAGCCGAGCGGTTAAGGCGATAGTTTTAGGTCATTAGGTGATTTACTAGTTTAAAAGAGCGAGAGTTTAAATCTCTTTAGTTGTCATTTGTTTCATTAATTTTACTCCTACCCTTCAAACTAGTAGTTTGATGAATTAGGTGTTTGATTAATAGAGTGTGGTTTAATTATGATTACAAACAGAGAGCCTTGCTATCACTTGTACTAGGTATGACACTAAGCACCTTAATAGCTATAGATTATATCATTATATATCAACACAATTTATATTTAATATTTACACATATAGATGGTATAACGTGCTTCATTAACATGCTTCATCACTAAGCAGCACAATCACCTACTTTTCTGCAGAATCCTATATCTTCATTCCTATATACTTTTCCACCACAATGTAACAATGCCATTACAAACCTATGAAGTGAAAATCATGCTAGCTATTAAAGCCATCCAATCTGCCAAAAAAATAAGCATCTGAAAAAAGCTACTACTCTCTACAAGGTACCTAAATTATTTATGTGCCACAGAATGAACAGCCACACTCCTAGAGCTAAGACCTAAGCAAATAACCAACAGTATATTTTAGACCTAGATGTAATGGTGGGTGCACCAGATATGAGAATCTAGCCACCCAAGGAAGGGATGATTTTACTAAGACAACACACTGTCTTAGGAAACAGAGCCAAAGGGTTGTAGCTTAGACTATTCCACAACGCAGCAATCAGGTGTATGATGTGGTGAAGTGGGTTAGACAAGTTGCAACAAATGTTGAGTCTGGGAACTCAGGGGTAAGTCAGAGGTTAACACCTCACTGACTTTTCAGAAACAAGGAGTAACAAGATGAATGCTTGGAAGCTTGTAAAAGACGGGGAAGTATGTGATAGTCGATTTACTGTATTGCCTGCTTGCCCTTTCTTAAGGAAAGGGCAATCCTATTTATGCCAAAGGAGTGTAGTTCTCTCATTTTCCATGACTTTCCATGACTAACCAGGCTTGGTAAATGTATTAGAAATCAAGTGCGACCCACAACTAGCTTGCTAATCATGTAGTGAACGTAAGAGAATCCCATAGAACCATCTCTTGGGTTCCTAGCCTATAGGAAGTGAAAAGGAGGTCCAAGGTCAGAGTACCTATAGACAAATTATGTCATAACTTAACCAATCTTGTGGGTAACTAAGGAGCGATGACGTGTAATGAATCATAGAGGGTTGTAGAAGCTTCTAGAGCTATCGTTCATGTTCCTAGGCCTCTAGTTGGTAGAGATATGCCATGTGGTAGTATTGACCCACCCCCTTAAGGAGGAGATTTTCTTAATAACTTGTTCAATGAGTGTCCAAATGATATGCCGTGATGTATGTAGCATAAACAGATGTATTAGAAGAGTTTGCAGCAATCGTTGAGTAGTATTGCTTCTGTTGTTGGTGTGATAAGCCAAGATATGTATGGTGACTTGTAGGTTTGAGGAGGAGATTTCTAAGTTTGCTCTTGAGTTTGATAGCAAACTGAGTGCAACGAATGTCAGTATGACACTTTGCTATTCTAGCAACTTGCTTCTCTTGCTTGTCAACCTCCTTTTGTGCCTTGATGAATCCTAGAAAATACATGAGCTACAGTTAAAGCACCCCTAAATTGAAGTGTACGATGGCTTCTGCTTTTGCGAATTTAACTCCCTTAAACTTGTCCTTATAGCATAGAATAATCAAACTCTTGTATTTAATCCCTTGCAATGAAGTATGAAATTGCTGTTTTAACAGGCTACTTAACAATGGAGTAAACTTATCTTTCTATACGTAAAGTTGCTTCTCTGAATTCTTCAACATAGGTAGCAAAGGTTGTGTTTTATCCTCTTGTAATAGCTTTGAGTATTTCTAGGTTTTAGTAAGAGAAACTACACTTTTCACAGGCCACAATTCCTGCCTTTTAAAAAGCATAAATGATAGTTTAAGGTTTGAAAGTATCTGCTCTAATCTATAGAAGATCTCGTATAAATGAAGAGATATCATATTGTAGATCAAACTTCTGTATTGCTGCTTAAACGGCAACTTCGTGCTAATGCTTATATAGTTGTAAAATTCCAACATCAAGAGGTTGTAAAATGTGTGTGAGATGAGATGGAAATGTAAAGGGGTAGATATGGTGTTTCTCTACAAGAATAGCAAAGGGAGGATAATGGTGACTTGTATAAGAATTAAGTAATAAAGCCTTTGGTTCTGAGGTTTTTGTACTTGAAGTATGCTTAATAAAGTGATTTAGCCATTCTATAGCAAGTTCGTCATTGATATATAGTAGAATTCTCTCTGTCCTATTATTCCTTGAATAATAAGAACAGGTGGGATTGTATCTCCACTTACAGAAGCAGCTTTAACAACTGTAATTAAGCTTTAGTTTTCAGGACTTGGTGTGTATAGCTCATAAACTCTAATTAGAACTAAAACTTGCTCTCTACCTAGAATCCTAATTCGAAATCTAGTCTTGTCTATATTCCATATATTGCTTGACTTGATCTTATGCTCTTGCAATAATCCTTTATATCATTAAAACCAATTAATGACAACTGATTTCTCATGTGCAGTTGTCCGTTGCTTTGAAATTAGCTTTGTAGTTAATAGTATGAAACTTAACAAGCTCACGCTTAAGGAATTTTGTCATCCAACTTTTAGAAGGAGGTACACCATCTGTCTTTCCGTTTTGATATTGTTGAAGAATCCATTGTGAAATAGTTGAGAGTTGAGTGTTTGATAGGAGCTTGTTCTGTCCACTATGACGAATTGTGCTTAATTGATCGTCGTAAGGTATTAGGATGCACTTTGAAGATCATAGCTGCAACTGAAGCTGTTTCATTTGGGTTTTGAAGGAGCCATTGTTTTGCCTCACGTAGAGCAGCTTTCTGACCAGACATTATTCGTAGTGGGGTGGTGCGTGGTAGGTGATTGGTGGCTGGTATGTGGTGGATTTTGAGAGGGGACACTTGCTTACAGGGGGACACTTGCTTACGGGGGGACACGTGCTTACAGGGGGACTCGCTTCCTCCGACTGTGACCGAAGCAAACAGGCAGTCCCGACGATTAGTAGTCGAGGTGCACACATTCGCAGAATACCTTAGGTGTAGCTGCTTTCCAGTTGTGCACATTCGCAGAATGCCCAAGGAATTAATGAGTAGGCCGGCCCCATTCAGAATGCCTCGGGAATTAATGGGTAGGCCCCATTCTGGTTATGCGCATTTTGCTTATATCAGTGCTAGAAGTGCGCACATTCAGCAGAATGCCTTTGGCATTAACTTTCACAGAACACCTCTGGCATTATTAATAGGTAGGGCCCATCCCAGCTGTGCGCATTTTGCCCATATTAGTCCTGAAGTGCGCACTTTCGCAGAATACCTCAGGTATCACCACTTCCAGCCATACTATCTATCTATCTACGAGTTAGTTGAACAGAGCCCGGCAAGGGGGGCATACCCCTCGTCGTCCTTCCTTGCTTTATTAGTACAGGAGCTTAATATAGCACACTCCCCTCCCCCTTCCCGCCCTCCTTTTGTCCCAGCCGCCCTTCCGTGGGAATGCAACCCCTCATCCCCGTCTTTCCACCCCCCCCCAGTCAAGCTACACGAATCCCCGAAGACTACCCGGTCGGATGCATTCCAGTTCCGGCTTCCGGTTCCGGGAACGCTGGTACCAGATAGATGTGCACAAAATAGCAGTAGAATGCGTATAGTGTCTCAATGTGAAACTACGAAACAGCGATGGCTGCGGCGATGCTAGGGCCACGCGGCGCGGGGTTGATCTAGACTTATCTGATTTGAAGCAAGGGGCGGGAGGGCTTAGCTCTTTCTATCAGTTAGTTCCTTACAGTATAGCTATTTTCGTGCAATTTGTTTTTATTACCGGTTCCAGTCATCAGTGCACGACCATGTCGTTGGTGACAAGAGAGGGAGCAGCGGGCAAGCTGCGTGAAGCAAGCTGCTTGGAATCAAATTAGAGGGTTATTTGTTGGTCGTTTCTTTCCCTCATCTCTCTTCTAAAGCACCCCCAAAGCCGTAGCAAAAAAAAACGACCCAAAACCCAATCTCCATGCACGCATCCATCGTCAAATCCCACATCCCACCCATCCATCTATCCTGCCTATAATACACCCCGCCCCGGCCCCTAACCCCAGCGCCAACAAATGCATAACCCCTTTTCCCCCCTCCCGCCACCAAATTTAAAACAAAAAGTAAAAGTACACCCCGATCACAAGCGTCCGCCTCTCCCCGGACTGCCCCCTTCAGTCCCGTACTCCCCGCCGTAGCTGGAGCCATCGCTCTCATCCCTGGCAGAGTTGGCGGCGGCAGCGCCGTTGGAGGTACCGCTGGTGCCGTTGGCGTTGGCGGCTGTTTCGGCGCGGGCATTGCTGATCATGCTGGGCAGTTGGCGGCGGCGGGCGTTGATGAACCAGTTTGATATTTGGTCTAAAAAAAGTAGTGGTTAGCTTGCTATTCGTATATAGCGTGACTTGCCGAGCAAGCCACCACAAAAATAAGGACAGGAGAAAAAACTCACTCATCTGCAACCCCGTCCGCACCATCAAATCCTGCTTCTCATCCTCGGTTGGATACGGATGATGCAAATGCCCCACAAACCAAGCCCTCAACTTATCCGTCGTCTCCTTCGGCAGATTCCCCCTCCTCTTCCGCCCACCACCACCACTCTTCCCATCCCCCATCCCCTCCACCCCATACCCCGTCTCCGCCACATAGTTCTGCGGCGGATACCCATTCCCATTGACACTAACCCCGAACTCCCTCCCGCGCTTCCCGCCGCCGCCACCGCCGCCGTCGTAAACCGTGTACTGCGAGGGCGGAGGGTAGGGTTGGGCGTCGTAACGATCCCGGCTGTAGGCTTGCGACGCGTAGTCGGCGCGAGGGTCAAATAGTCTCGGTGCAGCGGGCTCGGGGTATCCGCGGCCGGGATACGGCATCTGATCCGCCGCACTTGCAAAAACCGTCATAGGCGGCGGTCCCGGCGGTGCCCCGGGCGCACTCATCATCGTACTCCTCGGGCTGGTGCGATACGGGGTCTGCATCCCGCTGCTCCCCCCTCCGCTTCTGCCGCGGCGCTCTGGCTCGGGGGTGAGCAGGCGCCGTTTCTGTGCATAAGGGCTCGAGGGGCGGGCGTCGATGGGGACGGGGGCGGGGGCGAGGTCGATTTCGGGGACTGCTTGGCGGATGGGGGGGAGTTCGATGTTTTGCAGTTGTGAGCGAGGGCGGGTGGGGAGGGAGGAGAGGGCCGCGGCGAGGTGGGCGGGGATGGGTGACGGGGCGTGCATGGTTATTGTTGTGGCCATGGGCGTGGTTGTTGTAGGTCGGTAGGTTGTGTTGGGGCCGGTGGGTGGGTGGGTGGCGGGCGGTGCGTGTGGTGTCGTGGTGAGGTTGTGGGATGTGATGGTGAGGTTGGAGAAGGTCTGGGGATGCGGTGTTAGTTGTTGTTGTTGTGTTTAAGTTATTATGTTGAGCGAGGGAGGACGGCAGGGGAGGTTTCGTCCCAGGGCTGCCAAGGGAAATGTGACGAAGCAGTGAACTCTTGGCGGGCGTGGTCTAGAATAGAGCACTGCAGAGGGCGAGACTGGACGGACGTACCAACTATAAATATCTCCTAAACGTGAAAGGTCAGAGATGGCGGTTTGTTTCGTTGGATGGAAAATGGCAAGGGGCGAATATATTCGTCGATCGAAGGTATTGGGTTGATATGTTGTGCAGCGGAAAGGCTGGATTTGAGGGCAAGGAGGAGAGTGAGTGTATGAAGATAAGATGGCGATATATCGATCAGGGCGTGCTTGCGTGCTAGTAAAGAAGTGCAGGATCAATGTAGGTATGTCGAATGGTAGAAGAGGAAGTGGTCAAGAGAGAACAACGAGATGCAAGCAAGAGCAGAAAGTCAAGATGTCAATCAGTCGGGTAGTAGATGTCGGAGAGAGGGAGAGAGGGAGAGGGGGAGAGGGGGAGAGAGGGAGGAGGGAGGAGGGAGACAAGATAGAGAGGAGAGAGGCAAAGTAGTAGTAGTAGTATAGTAAGTGGAGTAGTGGAGTAGGTAGTAGGTTAAAGTAGAGTCAGTTAGCAAAAAGGGAGGGCAGAACCATGACAAGAACTACGAGACGGGCATGGCACTTTCATGTAACGCAACCCACATTGAGGCGAAGGGCGAAGGGCGAGGGCGGAAGGGCGACTAAGCCATTACTTCGTACATACAGTTAAGAGTACTATAGTACTATAGTACTCGTACCAAAGTACATGAATGACGCCTCGACGGGGCCTTCAACGGGGCCTCGCGAGTCAATGACCCTTACTAAGGGCAGAGGGGACTAGTAGGGGACTAGTAGAGACAGAGTAGTAGATTTAGTCGTAGATTAGTAGATTAGTAGATTAGTAGATTAGTAGATTAGTAGATTAGTAGATTAGTAGATTAGTAGATTAGTAGATTAGTAGATTAGTAGATTACAGTCGTGTAGACTTAGCCTCCCTATCCCCCTGCCCCGCCCTGCCCTTTTCGTTAGAGTGACTACCATACTATGCTATTCTTACCACTATGTGTGTGTGTGTTGTGTGTGTAGTGTGTGTAGTGTGTGTAGTGTGTGTAGTGTGTGTAGTGTGTGTGTACTCCGTAGTGTGTGTGTAGTGTGTATGTAGTGTGTGTGTACTCCGTAGTGTGTGTAGTGTGTGTAGTGTGTGTAGTGTGGGTAGGTGTGTGTACCCCAGGGTGTGTTCTAGCGGCGTGTCGAAAAAAGAAGGTTCAGCTACGTACCCACACACACGTCGTCAGATGGCTTGGCAGGAAGTTTTTCTCTCCGAGCCGGGTTCTTGGGGTGTAACGGAACGGTACATTGCATATTTAGGAACGGGAAGAGCAGAGCAGAGTAGAGTAGAGTAGAGTAGTACAGTAACAGGAACTATGTAGAGTACAAATTCTTGCAGTTAAGAGTGGGTGAGTGGTTGGTTGATGGTTGATGGTTGGAGAGTGGACATTTGGGTGAGAAAGTGGGTGAGATGTGTGATGGATGATGGGTGGATTAGTGGTGGATGAGTAATGCCAGGCTGACAAGTGGAGGTACCAGTACCAAGAGGGTACAGGCGGGATACAGTCAACAGCCGACGGGCACAGTACCAGTCAGTTTCAGTCATCTAGCGTCAGCAGTCAGAGAGTGGGAAGTTGGAGGTGGCAGTTGGATTGTGGATGCAGAAAGCCATTTATTAGGGCAAAGCAAGACCGAGTGCAAGGCAAGGCAAGGAAAGGAAAGGGCGCATCATCGACAGAGCAAGGGAGAAAGCCAAGGGCGCACTTTGTGGGCGGGAGCTGGTATCTCGCAAGTACCCCATGTATCACAGTTACATACAGCACTCCAAGACACGCGCTAATTGCCCTATCTCGGCGGCGGCGGAAAGCAGGTCAAGGGAGCAAAAGGTACCGGTACGTTCGGTGCTAGTGGACCCTCACGGTGATGGGGGGCCATCACCGCGAGACGAGAATGAGATGAGGGAGACAGGAGCAGAGATGAGTGAACCGGATAGCCCGGATTTGGTGTAAAGTGCGTTTTGTACGGAGCATGTAGAGGATTTGTGTGCTGGATGTGCGTGTGCAGCACCCCTCCGATTGCGGACAACATCTGGCCCATCCACCCCATCCACGCCCATCCACGCCCATCCACAATGAATGATGGGATGGGGATGATGGCACATCCCATCCCGCATCTGATTGTGCGCCATGGCGTACGTACTGGTCTTTTATTGATGTGGGGTTGGCTTGACTGCTGTCTGCGGCATCCCACTCCAACCGCCATCCACCCAACGCCATCCACTCAACGCCATCCACTAACGCCATCCACTAACGCCATCCACTCAACGCCATCCACTCAACGCCATCCACTCAACGCCATCCACTCAACGCCATCCACTCAACGCTATCCACGGATGGCGGTTGAGTGGATGTTCCCAACTGCCTATCCCTCTTGCTACTATAAGTACAGCTACAACCAGTACTTCCAGTACAAGTACATGGCAACCTCCGTCCCTTCCCACCCTCGCACCATCTCATCTCGCCTCTCCCCTCTCAAGCCCCCCGTCGATCCCCGATCCGCCGCCTGTCAACATCGTGCAGCCCGTGCATCCGTGCACCACCCTCACCCAACCACCCAACCACACATTTATCCCATTTATTCCCGAACATTCCCCTTCGAGCCCGCGGCTCCTCTCTCTTCTCTCCGCCACCTGCCCCACTCACCACTCCCACTGTCACACCCCTATTCGTTTCCCATCAATCCTCCTTGGCCCTACCAAGCAAAATATACTGTATTCCGTACTATACGTACTATACCAAAATTACGAGTGCGGGACAACCTCGTATGGGAGAAGAGAACCTCGTACAAAGTACGTACTCAATCTGAAAGGCCCCACCATCTCATCTCCACACCTTCGCGCCGAACATTCCTCATGACCCACCCATCCCCCCCCAGTGAAGGCTTCTCCCACCCATCCATCCTTCCCCCCCCATCCCCCCCCCCAGTGAAGGCTTCTCCCTAGCGAAGCCTTCACGTCAGCGCCAGCACAAGGCCCGCGCGGTCTAGCCTCACCAGCCCTAGCAAGCCCACTCTCACTGACGGACGCCACCGACCGGCATGAAAACCCGTTAATGCATGCATCCGTCCCGACTTGTGCACGCATCCGCTGAGCATCTCGGCCTCTTCGGCCAATTCACACCTTGCAGGCGGGGCGGGAGATGGCGTGGATGGATGAACGCCCAGTCAGCGAGCCAGCCAGCTCCCCCCCACCACACACACACACCAGATCCATCCCCCTCCAGCACAGCCGCACGCCAGATCGCCGTCCCACCCGCCGCCAGAAGCTTGCGTAACACGCGCTATCCCCTCTTGCGTCCCGCGAGCCGTTGCCTGTCACCCTTTTGCACACTCACACACGGGCTACACGGTACCGGCATCCGGCACCGCCAAGGTGCCCCAGTCCAGTTCTTGGCCCCTTCTGTTCCTGCCGCTCCGTTTCCCCGTCTAGCACTCGGCGCGGACACGACGCAAGACAGACAGACAGAGTGGATCTTCGTAGAGGACTGACTGTACACCCATCCACCACATCACACCCACACTCACCTCCGCCACCCCATCCAACGTCACCTTGCCGATCCCCGTCTCGTTTGACTCCCACCTGCACCCCCTGTGCTCACCTCGTACCCTTGTCTGTTTCGAAACGCGGTGGGAAGGGAAGGTTTAGGGTACGGAGTACATAACTTGCTCACACGCACTTGCACCACAAGCTGTGTGTGCTTGTTGTATGTGGTTGGCAAAAGAAACGGTTGGCGAAACGCTTCGTTTCACCGCTCTCGAAACGGGGTGAGGGTGACCACCCATCCACACCTGCTGCGACAACCTCGGCTCACTCTCTCCGATCGACGGCAATATGGGACTCGTACTGTGGAGCAGACGGACTGCAGGCGTGCGTGTAGGCGTGTAGGCGTGTAGGCGTGTAGGCGTGTAGGCGTGTAGGCGTGTAGGCGTGTAGGCGTGTAGGCGTGTAGGTGTGTAGGCGTGTAGGCGTGTAGGCGTGTAGGCGTGGCGTGTAGGTGTGTAGGCGTGTAGGCGTGCAGGCGTGCAGGCGGGCAGGCGTGCAGGCGGGCAGGCGTGCAGGCGGGCGTGTAGGCAGAGATAGCTCAGATCTGTCGTTCGTGTCAGGCGTAGGTGATGTGGATTTTGTGGCGTATGTAAATCAAGAAAACTTGGCAAGCACAAGCACCTCTACGTACCACAAACCTCGTCAAAAAATCGAAAAGGAGCATCCCATCCCACCGCTCATTCACCTCCTTCTTCTTCCCCCAAGATCCGCGTTCGCCCACCGCTCGTTCGCTCACGAGCTCGCCAACAGAGCTGCCAGATGAGAGAGCACACGTAGCATCGCATAACACGAGGTGGTGTAAGGTCTCGTCGGTCCCCCCCCCGCGGCGTCCGCGCCGCCGTGAGGGATGCACAGCGTCACCGTGCCGCCATCCCCACCATCTATCAACGCATCTTCTCCCGTGGAGGGTGCATCATCTACCAGTTCCTGTGCCACCTACCTACATCCCACCAACCTGCCATATACAGCCTTCCTCTCTTCCCGGTTCCCATGAAAACCTCCCATCTCCTTAACAAACTATGACGTAAATCACGTGTCTCCCCATACCCAGGAAGTCTCGGAAGGGTGTGTTCTACAAGTGGAGCACGACTAACAATGCGCGAAACCTCCTCCACCGCTGTATATCCCACCTGTCTGTCTGATCTGTCTCTGTCTTGGCAGCACACCCCGCCGGCGGAGATTTGGATCTTTGTTTTGGGGGAGGGGAGTGGGAGCGATAGTTTCTCTGTCTGCCCTCTTGCTCGGCGCCGGGAGTGGAGGGCCCACCGGCGAGCAGAGGGAAAGACAGGAAATGGGTGGGGGCGCAAGAAAGAGAGGCAAGGGAGAAGGAGAGAAAATAAAATCTCTGTGACGTTAGCAGTGGGGCGTGCCTTGTTGACACAGTGGGGTCTCGGGCATGGAAGGGTGATTTGTCGGGTCTGTCAGATCCAAAACGTGTGCTGTCTGTAACTTACTTGCCGTTCTTTTTTTGCCACCCGCTACTCCGTTAGTATTGTATTGTATTGGAAAAGATCTCTGCTCCGTCTGGTGTGCTCCGTCTGGTGTGCTCCGTCTGGTGGGGGCCGGCTGAAGTTGATGGGTACGGATCCGCAACCAAGACCACCGAGGTGAGGAGTGACGGGAGGGATGACCGGCATACCACTGGTACCGCCAGCCATGCTATGCCATGCCATGACACTACTATTACAATGTCACCAAAAATCAATATGCCGAGGAGCCGGCAGTTGCGAGAGCGTGGCGATTACCCCACTGCGCCGTGGTTGATCACGACAGCCCCGTCCCCCGTGGCCTGGTTGGCAGTGTGAGTGGATGCGGCGCTGTGTCAGGTTGGAGTTAGTGATGTGGATGGGCCGCAGAACCGGGAAGTGAAGTGAAGTGAAGGGGATGGCAGATCCGAGGGTTCTGCAGACGGTGAGCGACTGACTTAACTGCCGCCGACACCTTCACATGAAGGTTTTTAGCTCATCGCTCGGTGGGGTCGCTTGCTGAAACGGGACGGAGGGAAAATTGGGAAAAGTTTGATTGTGCCGATCGTGGGTTACGGGTATCAAATCAGAGGAATCGAAATCTCACTTGTCAGCCCGAAAGAGTAAGTCCCTCTAGTTAGTTAGTCGTAGAGTAGTAAAGTAGAGTTAAACTTTGGTAGCGGTCCGTAAGAATAGAATAATGATAATTACGGGCGTATCAACCAGTCTTTAGAACAGTGATCAATGAAAGCATATTTTATTAATCTAGCTATTGTAACTACTCTATATAGTCGATACTTCCACCCCTGAGCCAGTCTCAGAGGAGTGGTGCCCAGCATCGCTTGCTCAGTTGGGCAATATTGAGCTTGGCGCCGGGTTGGCACTTGGCAGCCTGGGCGGCATCGCCGCCCCTTTTCCCGGGCACGGAGTGAGAATTCCACAAGTAGAGTAGTTAAGAGGTTAGTTAGACGGAACGGCAGGTGCGATAGACGGCAGACAGGCCGAAACAAAATGTACCAGTACTTACGATGTCATCAATCCCCCGCTATCCCGCACAAAAATTTCTCGGGAAATCTCATAAAACCGACTATGGATGACATGACAACGATGGGGTCCTCAAACGGAGGATTGATTGGTGGGAGGACGAGGGGATTACAAAATACCCAATTAATCGCCATCTCCTTGCTCAAACTTGCTGTGTTGCCAGAACGGCTTTTTTCGCGCTCTCCACGGGGGACGGGGGTTCGGGATTACAGATGCTCCTTGTATGTGACGTCGAGGGGGAAATAAAAAAATTATAATTGGAATTAAAAAAGGTGATAAAGATAACCACGATCTGTGCATTCTGCTTGTGATCTTAGCAATTCCGGAAAAAGGGGGCGCCTATCTTGCCAGCTTTCGCATATAACCCTCCACTAGCAACATACTGCTGCTCCCTTGCTTCCCGCGGTCCCGCCTCCCGCCGAATCTCCGAGTCTACTGGCTGCAACAGCAACAGCTTCACAGAGGTCTAGAAGAACACCACAACTTGTGGACAAAGCTACAATTGAGGAAATAGATGGAGAGAGTGAAGAAGATCCATACGATAACGTAGGTCATGGTGTAACCGGCTACTTTTCCGCCTAGCGCAGATCTCGCATTCACATGGCTTCCGGCGATCAAGGACAAGATTGGAGGGACGGATCAGATAGTGGCAGAACTTGTGGACGTGCTTGAGCACCTGTGAGGTTCCAATTGAGGCTGTTTCGCGCGATTTGCAGTCACAGATGGACAAAAGGAGGTTGAGATTTGCGTTGCCTACATGAATGGGCGAGGCCTATTCGAACATGGCTACGCGTTTGCGTTTGCTTTCAAGTTATAGCAAGGATTAAAAGGCGAAGAGGAATTCGATAAGTTATCATTCCGTGAACAAGTTATGGCTTTTGATGTCGTCTGAGTCTATTAACGTAATGTTACTGTAACTAACCTATTGCAATAGTGTTCGTATTCTTATTATCTGTATTCTATTCCCCCCTGCCATCAATAATCTCCTTCTATCTTATATTACAACTGCGAATGGTATAAATAAACAGCATAATCCCATTAAGCAACTGTCATCCCAGCTCTAGCCTACCCTCATCTCTTTTCTGTGTACAAATAGACCGTCCCTATTTATAATCCCGAAAGTCCTTCATGATATCGTATATTTCGCAATGTGATCCATTAGACGTTATCCCATCCCAACCTTAATCTCTACCACAGCGAACCTTGTGACGTACCACATTTCGCAGCCACGTTGACTTATAGCCGCATTCCTTGTACTTAGGACACTTGTATTCGAACGCCGTTGGCTCATCGCGGGAATTGCCTGTATATTTGCCCAGAATTGTATCCACCTCTTTCTTTGTAGTGACGCCATGGCAAATAAGGTTGATACGGGCGAGATGATTAACAAATTCAGTACCCGGCACACAAAGCTCTTAGGGGAGTTGAACGAGTGCTTCCATTTGATTGAAGATGATACTCTGGGCAGTCACTTCGTTGACTTCAGCACCGTCGATATACCAATTAATGCTCCGATGTTTTCCGCCACAGAATCGGCAGAATGGACGCTGCCCATTTTCAGAGGTTGTGGTGCGTTCGGGACTCCTGGCTCATCTGGCTTTGCGTCTGCGGCCGAAGAGCTAAACCAAGGATGTTAGAAAGAAGCACAAGATGACTGCTGCTGTAATATCTTACGTTGCTTCTGTCCACCCTGGCTCTCTCTCCATGCTTTCTCTCGGGCAGCCTCGTGCTTCCGCCTCGCATTCATTGCAGTTTGATGCATCGATACCCATGTCGGCATATAACTTGTTCATTTCGTCTTTGGTCATCTTTTGTCGCCTATAAATCGTATCGGTGATGTTGATTCCAAAGGGGTCGTTAAAGCCTGCACGCACCCGCCTCTCCCAGGTATCCTCGTTGCAAGTTCCAACATAGGCAGCTGTAATGCCTGCATTCAAAGACTGGACGGATTGGCCCATTTCAGCTGCAACTGAGGCCGGTTACCATCTTCTTCGAATGAGCAGCATCCTTTGCAGCTCACCTTCTCATGTCATGAGGGGTAACAACAGCGCAGAAGCCGGCCTTCAGAGACCTTTCGCGGATGGTAGTGATTTCTTGCCGGATCTCGGCGGCCTTGTCAACTACAACAGCGTTGCTCTGGTTATGAAAGGCGCATAGACAGGACTCTCTCTCTTCCGTTCGCCCACTGCACCGTTTTGTCTTGTCGTTGTCGAGTCGCTTCGAGAACTTCCTCAATTGTCCGGCCATTCACAGCACCTAGTCTCATCGCTGAGGCAATAATCATCTTTATGGGACAGAGGATTCCATCTTGGGGGTCGGTCAGGCAGTGGAGCCGCACGGTACGGTTTTTCTTCGGGTCGTGTCTATCGTGTCAATATTAGTATAAATAGGCAGGGTCTATTTCGATAGAATTACTCACTTCTTCTTCTTTTCATTGTGATGAGGATGTCGGCCTGGAGGTTTTCGAGCTTGTCCCCATCAACCAACTTAATTGTGATGTCGCTATAACACAAGAACTGGATCTTCTGTGTGTCGCGCGTCGAAGTCATAATGTCCCCGCTTCTGCACCTCTTGAAAAATAACAGTAATCAACCGCCGGACTAGAACGCTCCCGATCCATTGCACCTTTCTTGACGGTTCTTTCGTGATCCGTCCTTCGTTTAAGAGCTGCTGGAACATCGTCTTCATCCTAATCGAGTCGTGCTTCGACACCCGAAAATCCGCGAAGTGGAACGTGGTGATTACAATGAGGCGGCGAAGACCTCCACGTAGCCATGTGAATGCTGGAACCTCATTCGACCTTGGTCTTACTCTGGACACAATCTAGCATAGGAATCGTTCGAGCTCATCCATCGACGGCGTGTCATCTGGACTATACACATTGTTAAGACGACAGTAACCTTGATGTAACAAAATAGACGCTGCTTATTCTTACCTCTTATTGATGGAATTCACGCGGAAGGCAACGAATCGATTATACCAGAGGCATGACAGTATTCGGTTTTCTTTGAGGCTTCGACAAATGTAAGTTGCTTGGTCATTTGCTTCGAGCTTCGTCTATCTTCAGCAGCATTGTTTATAATCGCCTCAATACTTTCAAAGCCAGCGCTTGCCAATAGGTTTTGCAAGGTCTCAAACTCGAGTTCATCGCTGTCGTAGTCATCGTCGTCCATTATGCTCACAAGCAATGTAAATAGACCCTGCCTATTTTGAGAGTTAGAGAATTAGACAACGACTTGAACCTGCTTTATCTTACTGGAGAAAAAGGTATCTCGAAGGCAGCGTAGCAAGCACTGGAATGAGGGGTGAGATGAGAGTGGGAAGCGAGGTCGAAGTGAGAAGGAATGAATCACTTCCACTACAAGCATAAAAGTACTACCGTACCAAATAAACCCTTATATCATGCACTGCCCTTTCCTACTGTAAAAGAGGTATCTTGCTATTATTTAAAAATATTAAATGTTATTGTAGTATTTCCGTGTTATATAAAGTTATACTACGAGCTATGTATGGACCTTCGGCGCCGGCGACTGTGGAGATTTGGAATTAAACTAGGTATCTAATGTAATATCTATCATTAAGTAGTATTTACGTATCAAAAATAATTATACAGAAGAAGAGGAAGAAGAGGAAGAAGAAGAGGAACCCTTGGTAAAGGGGGGAAAAGAAAAAGAAGAAAAAAAACCGACGTGTGCAGGGTTCGAACCTGCGCGACCGAAGTCATAAGATATCCAAATTAATTCAAGTCTTACCCATTAACCGCTCTGGCAACACGCCTTACTTATTAGGTTTAGGTTATAATTAATAAATAATAAGTCTTACCCATAAATTATAATCGGATCGGCCCTAATCGTTGTAACCAAAGAATGGAGGGGGAAGCGAAATGCGCGCTTTCGTTCACGTGCGTCTGTTCACTGCTACTCCTCAACAAAACCTTTTCCTTAGCTGTAGATAGTAATTTATATTGTAATCCTATGTAATTCATTCAACGGAAGGGACTCCTTTATCTAAGCAAGAGCAACGACAGTAAGAGCAAACAAAGCAAGAGGGAATGCAGGATCGAAACCAAATAGCAGTTGAGCGGGTGACACACCATAAACGGAAAACCTTCGTATGATAACGTTTATTAACATGGTGGTAAGGTTCATCCCAATGATGTATGAGTCTTGGGTGTGTCTAGAGGATCTTGTGAAATGTGAAAACGGCTAAATTCATTTGAACACGAAGCTCAGACAGCCCGGCCGACGTTGAGTGAGAGATTGGCGCTGTTGTCCCACGCTAAAAAAAATCCCCCCGCCAAACAAAAAAAAATTAGGTCCACAATGGAGAGAGTTCATCTCTCCGAAGAGTTTAAGTCCCTTCGCCCGGAATCGAACCGGGGGCCCCCGGATGAGGTGTGTGTTTTGCAATTACAGTCCGATGCTCTAATCCAACTGAGCTACAAAGGGTTGTGAGTTGTCCAGAGGTCGGGCGTGAGGAATTATATTAGATGGGGCAGATGGGGTGCCCGCGTTAGGGTGTGGGTGGGCATGGATCAAAGTGTGGGCACACAGCGGACAAGGGCGTCATGGGAAGCGATTTAAGATGATGAAAATAACGGAGCCGGGAGGTAAGTAAGTAAGGCAGACATCGGTGTTTTTTTCATTGGTCTATTTCATTATGGGCAGTTGCAACTGTATGGTGGGAAAGAGATGCGGTTTTCGCAGAACTCCACGGATGCAACTCCCCCGGCGCCCTCTTTTTCCCCCGTTCTAGAAGAGCCTAGGCCCTCATATACGCGTGTGCTCTCTTTGATTTCGTGTCCCGTATCTACCCCCCATCCTACACCGCCAACCCCGCCTTCCAAGATGACCCTCCTTCTCAACTACCCAACATAGATGAGGGTCTCTCGGGATGTCGTAAAGGAGTGTCGCGGACGACATGCCGACGCGGCGGGTACCTCTCAAGCTCACTCCTTGCAGACCTATGCACGCTCAATTCACACCCTCCCCCTCGTGAACGTGTATCTCCGCGGCCTCGCCCTCACTCCCCGGCACCTCAGGCACAACCTCCTCATACCTCCTCCTCGCCTGCATATCTCCAAGCTCCCCATGTAGACTGAGCAAATCCACCTGGTCCTCGTCGAGATCCGGCACAGGGCTCTGGTCAACATAATCCTCATCCACGTCCGCTGCGTCAAAATCCGCGAGTCGGCCCGCCATCGACCCCTCCGACGCAGAGCTATCGTGCTGCACATCATCGCTGCGCGCTCCCACTGACCCAAGCTCGACGGACGTCGCGCTCGCTGGGTAATTGTTGTGCGAGTACGGCTGGGCGAGGGCGGAGAAGTTCCAGTTTGGCTCCATGCCGCCTACGCGCGCGCCAGGGAAGTTCCCCTCGTATGTTGATTCAAGGTCGATAGCCTCGTCGCCTGACGCATCGCGCATCTCGATGCCGTCGTTCATGATAGCGTCCCTCTCAAGGAGCGGCGCGCCGTCATCCTCAAGCGCGTCCTTGTAGTCAGGTGGGCTATCAATGTCGGACGGTGGCACGATTCTAGTATTAGTCACGCTTCTCGTCGCTGCTACTGTGCCCGCTGTGGTTCCACTGACCGAACCATGCCCTGCCTGGCGAGTTGCTTCTACTCCGGTCAAAGCGCTCGGCGACCCACGAAGGGAGGAGTCCGCGCCGAGACGCTGGCCTTCCCCCGAGCCGCTGGACTCATCTTCGGAGGTGGCAGGGGGGTTGTCGAAGCGCGCTAAGATCTCCTGGAAGCGCGGGCCGCCGAGGGGCTGGTCTGAGCGACGGCGGTAGAAGAGGAGGTATGCTGCGCTTGAAATTACGTGCGAAGGGTCTTTCAGCTTGCTGACGGCGGAGTCTGACATGTGTGTTAGCAGGGGCGGGAGTTAGTTAGCCAGGGTTCTTACCATTATAATCATACCACGCGCCGTCGACGAAAGACTTGGCATACGCGGTGTAATGTCCACCACCAAGACTACCGTAGTGGTTGTCAACGGCAAATAGGTCATAGATATCTTTCTTGCCATCTTCGCGCTCAAGAACTCTTGTACTCATGTCAAGGCCGTCGATGGGGAAGGTGACTTGGATATCCAGCTTGTCTCGACGCATAGCAGTGGAGCTGAAACGCTTCAGATGGAACACCATGATATCCGGCGTCCTCCACAATTCGAGTTTCTTGCTGGCACGTCTATGCTCCTTACACCTCGGACAGTACCATGTATCCATCTCAGACAAGATTTCCTCTTTCCCGAACTCGTCTAAGCACTCATCCAGAAACAACCCCTTTGAGCGGCGGCGTAGACGAGACTTGCGCTTGGCCTCAAGGACTGGGTCTTCCAGCAGGCCGACGCTGGACCAGGTCTCCCGGCCACGCATCGTATCTTCTCGGTCACCTTCAAATAACGTGGCGAAAGGGTCTTGATACCAGTCGACAACAATGCCCTCCCCAAGTCGAACGAGAGGTCCTGGATTAGCGTCTTCCTCAACTTCCTCGCTAGACATGCGTGTCCTCTGCGGTGTACGCTTGTTACCCTTTTTTGAGTAAGTCCTGATGCCACGTCTGAAGGCTTTCATTTGACCTACTTTATACACGGCGTGTTGGGCGATTGGGCGAACAGGTAAAACCTAGGTTGATTAGCCTCTCTCCATTGGTCAAAGACGTGGGTGCGCTGGTTATAGGAGTCCAGGAAGGCAGCCTCCAAGCTAAAATGTCACAAACATACCCTTGTATTCGGCGCTAAATCATCATCGTCACTTGATTCCTCGTTCATTCGTGTTGGTGCCAATTGTGGGATGTCGCCAATATCGTCTTCACTACTTTCGCCATCAGATCCTTGGGGTTTATTGGAAGCAAACCCGTTAGACGCGTCATCGTCAACTTCAACAGCGTCCTGGACAACAGGCATCCGACTGGAGAGCCGTGGATATAGCTTCTCCTCGTCCACCACACCCCATCCTGTGGGAACAACCTCTTTTTTGCTCGTGAAATAACTTAACTCGAAAAGGTTATTGTACTCGGAAGGGATGAACTGCTCGGGATCAATCCACTTCGGCCGCCTTGATTGGAATTTTCGCTTTCTCGGATTGGAATCCTTCTGCGACCCGCCATCTACTTCTGCCGGCGCATGTCCATCGTTTTGCCCTGTTACAGTGACGTCGACTACATCATCCTCGCCATCGATCGAAGTACCCACAACTTTACCATCTCCAGACGACGTATCCGAGGCAGTAGTTATAACGATGTCTTGTTCTGCGCTTTGGTCGTCATCAGTTTCATAACCGCTCATGTTATATGTGGTAAGATTGGCAATTCGTTCAAGGATCTTCCGTTGAATGATGTCTTCACTGCGGGCCTAAAGACTGTTAGATGATTGCAAATTATGAAGTGGACTACGAACCTCTTCTGGAGTCAACGTGATAAAAAACGGGGCATAGGCATGGATAAGCGGCTTGCCAAATCGGGTTGGGTTGGGATTTTGCCGCCTCGAAATAACCGGCACGATCATTCGTTCCGCTCTAGGCGAATCCCAGCTCGGAATATCTCCCTCGTCCTCGTCTTGATACGGGTAGCTTATGTTAAGCATTGACCTAGACTTCTGTTTGGGCTTCCGGACAGGCGGCCAATTTGTTGGTACTGCCTCAAGCTCGAAAACCATGATGCGGTCGTTGGCCTGGATGTCCTCCGATACTGACTTTGTGTCCTCAAGAATCCTGTATATTTGATTGTTGAATTCCTCTGCGATGAAAAGCCGTTCGACGGCAACGCCAACTCTGCTGCTGACGAATGTCTTCAGCCCTTTTATACTGCCCTGTTTGTCCATGTCCACTGCAACCCTGACTGGCTTATCGTTCAAAGGGAAAAAGAATACCTCATGACCCCAAGTACTCTCAATGGGCAACTGCATAGTAACAGTGCTGAACGGGTCAAACGTTATGCTTACTTTGGCGCAGTCCGGACAAACGAGTGTGGATTTGTACATCCCTGTGAAAAGGTCTCCGATAACAGAGTCGTCACGCCTCTTCGTGATATCCCAAACTTCTTTAGCCATTTTCTTCAGCGCAGCTGGATTGTCGACCATTTCGTCTGTTGAATCTGGCTTCTCTATGTACGGCTTCTTCTTGACACGATTCAAGTCTTCCTGTAAAGCATCCAGAAGAATGCCCAGGAACTCCTGAGAATCCTGCTGGCCATATCCTGAGAACGAGCCAAAGTACCTCCCGAACGTGTTTTTGAATTGCCGGGGGGTAATTGACGAAGGCGGAGGCTCTTTGTAGAGCTCTCTTAAAAGTGCGTTGTATACAAGTGCCACATTGCCGCCTTTGCCAAGCGGGTTCTCAGTATTGAGCTCCTTTTCGGCTTCATCTGCCAAAAAATATTTGGTCAATTCCTCGACACTACGGATGCACTGGAGGGCGGAGTTCATGTAGCAAGTATTTCCGAGGTTGGCCAGCCCAACTGTGCCCACTGTCTTGCCAGAAGGTTTCTGCACGCGCCCACGCGTCATAGGCACCGAGGGAGCAGGGCTGCTTCGTCCACTGTCAGGTCTTGGTACTGCCGAAGCCCGATTCATATTTGCTGAACCGGTGGCAATGCCTTTAGTTCCCTGCTTGGCAACCTTTTGGGCATAAGTGGCTAAATACGTATTACTCTCGATAAGCTCATCCAGAACAAGGGCTTGGTCTTTGCCCAACCCAGTCATGGCAATTGTCGAACGGCCGTTATATTTCGGATCATTTGTGAAGTCTTTGGTGTCCACTATCTCCCGCTGCGCACCTCGTGTCAGGCCATTAAACGTCGCGGCCTCCACAAGTAGTTTTGTCCAATCTTCTGCAGATTTGGCCTCTGGAGCTGGTGTGCTGGCTCTTGATAGAGGGGGTGATGCACCGCCGGCAGGTGCAGCCGCCGCTGTCTTTTCGTCAGAGAAGATGGGTACGGTCCAAACTCGCACCGTCTGCTGAGTTTCGATGTTGGCCGATTTCTTGATGCTCTTAAGGAAGTCCTGGAATCTGTCGTTGCGGCTCATAATAAAAATGGGCGCAGGTGGATTCTTCGCCTTCAAAATCTGTGAAATAGGCAACGGGCTGCTAACTGCCCAAAGCCTGTGGATCTTAAACACGACAGGGTGAAGTTCAAATTGCACGTTCGGTACTTGAGGATCCATGCTAGTATCGACGGCTTGCCTTATGATAGGCACCTGGCCAGCCTTCAGGCCATGCCACTGCACCACCAAATTCCATGCCTCTTCGGGGAAGTAGGCGACCGAGCCGCCTACAACTTCGTGCTTTAACCTGGCGAATGGCTGCTGGTTCTGATCCGTTATAATCTCGTAGACAATATCTGCGTTGTCGACAGGGCCGACTGGCTCCGCATTTGACAGTTTGGCGCCGGATGCGTGAGCTTGGACGTTGTCCAACCAAGTGTTTGATATAATATAAGTTTTTGTGTCGGGGGTGAGAGGTTGGCTTTCAAAAGCCTCGTGTAATTCTTTGATCCGTCTTATTTGCTCATCGATAGGAGGAACATCTATGATGTAGTTAGTAATCGTGCTATTCGAACCAGATGCGAACAAGCCCACCTTCAGACATCTCACCATCAGCCTCGGGCAGAGATGTATCTGTATCTTGGCTTGCAGGCTCCTGAAGTTGTGATATTTCAGTTTCTCCATTGCCATTCGCGTCGGGGCCTTGATTCGAGTTATCTGGAAGCTCTTTCGACGTTTCAAAACCCTCCATGTCGACATCCTCCTTATCTTTCGCGGGGTTCTCTTGCTCCAGCTCTGAAGCCGGTCTCTTCAGCGGCGACGACGACCGGAGTGGAATATCTGCAGCGCCTCCCATCATAGCCCTTTGTATAAACGACTTATTCGGCGACTGGCTTCGATTTCCTTGACTTCCAGAGTTTGGGGGTCCACCTCCAGCTCCGGTTTCCCCGCCTCGTTCACCCTCGATTGACAACCCAGAGTACGCAGCGCTCGGGGAGCTTGCTGCGGAAGGGATATTATCCTGAGCTGAGAACGAGGCTTCGTTATGAATGTGGGGTGGTATGTGGCGAGGGAGGCTCCGTTGGCTGTCGCTCTGAGTGGATATGTCGGGTCGTGGTGGGGTTTGTGAGCGCCGAGAAACTTCCTGGTCCTCGATCGATGCAAAAGGAATATCCGATGTGTGATTAGAATACACGAGCTCGTCCTTATCGATCTTTCGTTTCTTTGTGGAAGACGTTTTGAAGGTGAGCTGCGTTGGCAGCTCTTCGTTTGTAGCTCTTCGTTTGTAGCTCTTCGTTTGTAGTGGGTGCAAAGTGGCGGTTTTAACGAGAATCCGTCCTTTCAGAGGATAAGAAAGTGAGGTTTAAGCTTGTCGCAAGACATTCGTGTGAGTATGCTGTTTGTCAGATCCGGCAGTGCGCATTTCCATAAGAATTATCGAATTTGTCGTCGTCTTGCGTTAATTCAGTGCCTGACTTTGTGGTGGCGGGAGTTGCCGCTTACGATTTAGTAAAATGTAGGGCGTCACCAAGTTTGATTTATCATGAATGAAGTAAGAGCACGAAAGGCCGAGCTAAAACGAATCCCAACACCATGCATTTCAACAAAATGAGCACCAAATATTTTCAACACAACCAATAATTGATTCATTTTATTGTGGTTCGTGTGAGTAACATTGGGTAATCCTAATATTAATTCATAAAGGCATAAGCTGATCGAAAATTCATATTCCTCTAGGACACTCGCTCTCAAGGCTTCTCTCTCAAGGCTGAGAACCCTGAAAGCGACTTAAGGCTCTGTTGACGAAAGATGGAGGAAGTCCAAAGCTCTTCCACGGTCAAAGACCACATCATTCCCAGATTGGTCTATAAGCATGTCATCACTTTCCCCTTCGTCCCATTCTCTTCGGATTTTGTCCTGCTCCTCCTGGTATCGAGCAACCATGTCAACTTCAACTTTCTAGGTGCTGTTTAGTAGTGACCCTCATCGTTCGCCACCATAGTGAAGACTTACATGCATCAGAACCAGGTCTCCTTCTCCTTTTCTTAGGCTCTGTAAAACCCTTTGATACTCGACCTTATCACTCAAATCGAGCCAGCCCCCCAGAGCCTCTGGTGGCCGAGCCAGCCTGTACATCCAGGGGCCACCATCGAGAGTGCAACCAAGAACTTCGTCACTTGTAGGAGTCGGGTTTTGTGAAATTATGGTCTCTTCTCTGAGCGTGGCAAGTAAATTGTAGAACGGCATATCGTAGGACAGGAACAGATCCGTCGTCAGAATGTTATCACAGCTCGCTCCAGCAATGCTTTGAAGGGCAAGATGAAATTCTTCGTTTTCTATTCTTGGCTTTTGCTTGAGCTGTGAAAGGAGCATATAATTTGCAACAACACATGCCTGTACTCGTCAGTCAATGGGGCATCGTTGGATAACAAAGGACTTACCTTAATTGCGAGGGACTTCGGGTTCCATGTTTCAGGGACTTCAACCCTTAGCTCGCGAATCTGATTATCAAGGAGAGCTTCGGCTTTTTCCAAAACAGATTTGGACACTCCATGTCGTTGTTCGAGCATGTCTTTAATAACACATCTTATCATCGAACGCTGTCTTACTCCTTCCTCCACTGCTGTGTCGACTGCCTCTAGCAAACCTTTGCTCTCAAAGTCAATGTAGGTTTGTTCCTCCAAATCAATGATGAATGCGTCAGTGCTTAGAACAGCCTCAAAGTCGATATTGTCAGTAGGGGCCGATCTTAGCATATAAAGCTCTGAATCGATGAGGCACCGAACGAGAGTTTCGGGTGACAAGATGAACCATTCTTGACCATGTGAAGTTTGAAATCCCAGCTTCTGGTACTCTTCCTTCGCGTTTTGCCTCTGTGTGGCACCTCCGTTAGCCTCCTCATGGTGGGGTGTCAGTCGATGGTGGACCGGAAGGCTTTGCATCGTATTAGAGTGTGAAATAGGTGGTTCATATCTTTGATTCTTCATGTTTAGTTAGCAGTAGACCTTAAATATGCGACGGATATCAAGATTTCGTTACCTCCCAAACCGTGACCGTTCCTTTCCTGACGAAGCTTCATCCATGGTGGCAAACCTTAAATTCAGTGAGTAAGAGTAAGTGGGAGCAGAAGATTCTAGGAAGTAGAGGTTCTGAAACTGCAGATAACAACCATTATTGAGAAGCGCGGTTTGAATATTATTTTATTTTTCCAATCGTACAATTCAGGTGACGCTGCACCACCCACCCCATAGCGCCAACTATTTCTATATTTACATCCGTCTTATGCCGGCAGAGCGGTGATCATCCAGCATTCATACATCCCCGCCCATTTATGAGTAATCTAAAGTGTTCAAACAAGTGAGAAACAGCGTCGTGCTGGTACAAGTAGTGGCATCTCTTTGAGAGAGAGGATAGGCGAGTGTTCGTTTGCGGGGATATGTTCGATGATTGCAAAAAGATCCATTGTTCATTCGTATTAAAAAAGTGCCTTTCGTGCGACCTGTATTCGATGTTAGTAGCGCTCAACAATCAGTGGGTGTATACACTTACAGCCCATCCGCCCGCCACAGAAGCAACAACACCCCCAGAAATCAACATCGGCCTCAGTCCCCTAGTCGACTTAAAGATCATACCGCTCAATGCGCCCGCAGCAATGCTGTTGGCCGCATCGTGCTTCCCCCTTTGGTGGCCAATGAAGGAGTTGATTCCGTTATATACCAGCGCGATAACACCGGCGGAGTTTCCCAAGAACGGGCCTCTCCGTGTAACGGCGTTCAGCACTGAGTTGAGTCTGAGTTTTGGTGGCTGGCCAGATGACCTTCGTAGGCCTTCTTGCATGCCCCATGCACCACCAAGCGTTAATGCCGAAAGATATGTGACTCCTGTCCCATAGCAGAGATCGTCGGACCAGCCTCGGGAAGGCAAGGCTGACTGTGAGCCGGGGAGGTCGGAGAGCTGAGAGTCCTCGAGAGATATGTAGTCTAGCGTTTGCTGGTTCAGTCCAGCGAGAGGATGAAGTTGAGATGGATCTGGGAAGGCGGCTCCGCCGAGGAAAGAACTGACATCCGCCCCTTCGGATGGGTTGAAAGGAGCCGGCTGGAACGAGGTTGAGGGCTCGGGTGTGGTGGCTGTAGTTTCACCCGAAGATGACTTCGACGAGGACTTCCGCCCGGTCAGCGAATCCCAGATCGACATGGCGGAGGTGATGAGGGGATGATGTGAGGATGAATATGGCTGGTTGAAATTTTTGGATTCGATGCAGGTTAACGGAGAAATCTGGGTACCCAATGTCGACAACATGGTGGTCTGTGCATATGTCTTGGCATGATTTTCTCTTAGCACGACAACCCCAGACATCAGCACAAGTTGGTATAATGTTATACTTCTTTCAATTTATTAAATTCCTCTGAACGGGCTTTTGCATTATAGCTGTGAAGTCATATCCTCAACGGCTGCCGCTTTTTCGTATGCTAAAAAGGAGCTGAAGCATAAATGGATATTTAATTTTCCAACGAGCCATATAAAACCACATGAAAATCCCACAGAAGGACTGAAAAAGCGCCAAAGACTTCTGAAATGGGCTCAGACAAGGCGGTTGACACCCGCTCTATACAAGAACTGTTAAAGACTCTTGCAGGCCAGGAAGACAGGTTATATTCCCGTCATTTTATGCATACCCCTTATTAACCCGTGACCAGTGTTGCCAGAGATCATCTCCATATACTGATCCAAGATGCTTCTCAGCCACGGCATATGTCTGGGAATTCTTGTACGAGGCTATGCTATTTTCTAGAGCAATGCAGGAAGTCAGAATCACCAAAACTTCGAGGCCTTGCATACTCCCATGAGACGTGCCGGCAGTTGTTTGACTTCTACGTTGAGTGGAATGAGAAGAACCAGCACAGATCCATGAGACAGGTCCTAGAGCTTTTAAGTTCTTTGATATCTCTCAATCCCGACAAGGAAGTTTCCAATGGCTTCAAAAAGGAGTCATTGGAGCGTCTTTTGTCTATTATTTCCTACGAATCTGCTCAGCCTCTTGTCAAGCCAGCTTTCAAAGTGTTGGAATGCTTTGTGATCAAAGGCACGTACACCAGCTCTGACTTATTCGAAGCCTATGGCCACATTTCTGGTGACATAGAGCCTACCCGAGAATCGCAATGGGACAAATTAGTTTCTGAAGTCTTCGAGTGGATGTCCGCGCCTGAAACCTGTTCTGCGGCAGCCAAATTTCTCGTGAGTCTCTTTGGGGAACTGAAAACATCGCCTATCGAAGGTTCTGAGGCCGCAGAAAATTATTCGATATACTGGCAGAGATGGATACAGCAAGGTCTTGGTAATCATCCAGAATCTCTTGAAAATGTGAAGAACTATCTATTTGCACCTCTGTTCAAATTGGACAAACCGGGATCGTTGCAATTTCTCAGAAACATCTCTGCAAACAATGCCATTGATACAGTTGGAAATCGTGAGGTAGATAGTGGGGCAACTCTTTTCTTGTCTGCATTAGAGGTTGGCAAGAAGTACGGCCTTGTGGATGATCCAGGTATGTCAATCTCGTGGTATCACTTTCTTGTTATAATTTCTCACTCTCCAAAGACCTCATACCACCACAAAAAGCATCGGCAAAGAAGCGAGACTTTGTGGAGCTTCCTATCCAGGCCATTGGAGGTCTCTTGATACATACAGATACTACAGTCAGATCGTTAGCTTTCTCTGTACTTGTGTCGTCACTTTCATCGACGAGACCGTTTCCAAAAGAAAGTCTTGATATTATTCGTCAGTATTTGTATGTTCTCCATGCAGATACTGACGCCAAGTTTCGTAACGATCTGTTTGCCAGCACTAAGCATATGCTTGAGCGCCTAAGGGGGGCTTTGGCTTTGTTGACCCGCGAGGCTAGCCTGAGTGTGACACGAAAACAGGTTGCGACAGATCCAAATTCACCTAAAGAGCTGCAAACTGTTCACAGCATAGAACAAATCGACAAAGAAGGAAGCGACATACAAACTCACATCCAAGAACACGAACACTTCCTATCCTGGTACTTAAGCTTCCTCGCACAAGAATTAGTGCCAACAGCATCTTACCCAAGACACATCACCTCTTTAAAATCCCTCGAGATTCTATTGAAAACAGGAGTGCAGCTTTCTCCAGGTATACCGACGATCAACACTTCACGTGGCTCAGATATATTTTGGCCGAAACAAGTTAACGCTTTCTCTCCCAGCATCTGTCGATTGTTGTTAGATCTGGTGGTAGACCCTTTTGAAGAAGTCCGAAATTGCTCAGTTAGTGTGCTAAACTCCGCACCAAGAGACTGCTTTGGCCCTCTCTCTGACACCCCATATGGTCCTGTCCCCCAGCTTCTGCAAGACCTTCTTTCAGAAGCCAAGATGGCTTCATCTCAAACTGGCCGAGCAGATGCAGCTGATGGACTTGCACATATGAACGTCCTCCATTTCAAAATCCTCGAACACGATCAGCACCGATTGAACTTCTTCCATACGCTACTAAGTATACTTGAAGATGATATCGAAATTGCTAAATCCGATTTGGACTTGGCAGTAGATCGAGTTCCACTCCATGGCCAATTGACAACCTTAGCGTATGTTGACTCATATCCTTTGCATGCTTTCGGGGTGTCCTCTCGTGATGCACTGAAGCAAAATCCCCTTTTAGGATGATTTTGATATACTGATATTCAATAGTCAATTGTGGGATTTGATGAAAGTATCACCTTATGAGGGCCTTGTGGCAGTTGACTCTGAACCCTCTCAAGTAGGAACAATTGTGGCATTTCAGGATAGGCTGGCCAAATGTTGCCTTGAGATCTGGGAGATTGTGAGGGGTACTTTGTGCCACGACTCCCCAGAAGGCCATGACCCAAGTGGGCCCATTGGATCTGAAGAAGCTGATGTGAAAGGCATATTGAGCTTCAGCTTCCGTGCATGCCACGAATCAAGGTAAGTTAGAGAGGCGATGCTTATGCGATGTTAAATATCTAATCCGGATCTTTTAGTGAACTTATTCAGGCCATTCTGCGCAAGGTCAACATCATCAAATCATCCGATAAGAAGCCGTTTCTCACCTTCAAGGTGCTGCAACACCTCGGAAATTTGACCTTCGTACAGTTAGCCAGCCTAAGACACAGGGGTGCATTTTCGACCGTGACTACAACCTTTTCATTATGCTGCAAAGTTACTCAGAGCAAATCATTTGCTGAGACTGGAGGCCCTGACCTACTCCGCCTTTGGCATGATGTAAGTTTGCAACAAAACTATGTAACAGCACATACTAATCCATTATAGCGAGCATTCCAGTGTATCAATGAACAGCATTCGACAACAAGGCGCTCAGCTGGTCTACCGGGGCTCATCACTGGAATATTGTCTGCTGGTTCTACTCTTGTTACTCTTGATTCTGTGATGGTAAGGCTCCAGGAAATAGCCCGAACGCCAGTCATCAGTAGTGCGAAGGATGAGGAGCAGCTGCCCCAGGTCCATGCCATGAATTCCATCAAGGATGTCTTCAAGAGTGCAACTTTGGGTAAACAGGCCGATATGTATGTTACGGACTGCTTTATCATTGCCACAGACAGCCTGAAGTCGGACATGTAAGTCCCCCATGCCTATATCAACTTGTAATCCACTAATAAACTTCATAGCTGGGCTATTTCAAACTGTGGTCTGATTCTCGTAAAATCTCTACTGGATTGCATGCTCGGTACAAGTGACAACAAAGCTGCAACTGAGGCCGGATGGGACGGCCGATCCATCAGGATCTCCTACGACCGATACAAGGGTTTGCCAGAGGTTCTCTTAGGACTCTTGAAAATAGACTCTAGCATCCCAGCACAGACAAACCTCGTTTTCCCGGCGCTTGAGTTTGCAAGGCGCGTGGGACCCCCCGAGAAAAATCGGGCTCAATTCCGAGGGGATTTTTACAACAGCGTCATCAAGCACCTCAATTGTCCCATATGGATCTTTCGAGATCTTGCAGCAAGAACAGCCAGTACGTTCTTGTTGGAGGACAACTGGAAGGCTCCCATAATTGAACTTTTGGAGTCGAAGTCATTCTCAACGAATGGGCTTCATGGTATCTTCTTGCTCATTAGATACTTGATTGAGAAACGATTGGATTTGGATAAGCCACTGACCAAAGGTATTATAATACCCAGCCACATAACGCACAGTTCATACTAACGACTCCAAAGATAATTTAATCGAGCTGCTGAAAGCGATGAGCATAAGAATCCTGCCATATGGCGCCAATCCTACTGACAAATTCCTCATCGCTGCGTACGAGGAAGCCATGTTCCCGATATACCAGACGATATTCAAAGATATGCCAGGTAGCGAGGACACCGCCTTCCCGTTCTCTAGCACGGAGTGGTTCGATCAAGGCCAGGCTATATTGGACGAGATGGGGATGGCTGTAGTGAAGGAGCTGAACGAGCACCCGGCAGACGACCGTAATAGTCTCGCAAACAACACCCAAATCGTTCACTTGCTTTACATAATAAGGATGGAGAAGTCTCTATGTCGCATAACCGATGGGAGTATTTCTTGGGACAATGTCACGGACGATTCTGCGGCTGAGTTGCTCCAGAGAGCCCCAAAAATATTTCTCTCCTCTAGCTTAACTCTGGATGAAATCGTCGCCATGGTCCGCTTCTTCCAACCCTTCATACTATCTGTCAAACGCTCAGAGAAAGTGAAGAGACTTGCCCATACCAATATTGCAGCTCTTCTCGGGCAGCACGACTTCTTCTTCTTCTCGGATGAGCAAATCAAGGAGCTGGCGGATAACCTCATCAACGAAAGTTTCCTCTCTCATGACCCCATGCACCTTGTCATCAGAGGTGGTGTCGAAATGTCGATATTCATGGGACCCGGCCTAAGAAATGCGCGACTCATAACAAAAGGTCACATCCTCCGCCTACGCGTTCATGCCTTTGAACGGCTGGACCTCCCTGGCACAGTGCAACCTGGTGAACAGGAGCTAAATATAGGGGCTGGACTCCTGGGTTTCGGCATAGAAGTCCTCAGCTTCCTCCACAGCAGCCACGTACGCTTTCCTCTTCTCCCACTCCTTTTTTTCTCCTCCGCTAACCTATCTAGGACTATGATATCCGCATGGCTGCTGCTACAGCGTTTTTCAATTTTTACGACACCCACGCCGATGCTCTGTTCATAGCGGCCACAAAGGGAAAGCACCTCACGCCCCTCCTTGCCCTCAACGTCGCCATCCTTGACTCCCTCATCGACGACGACCCTAACGTCCGCGAGCTCGGCGCTGCTACCTTCAGCTCCCTAACCCTCAGCCCCGCCGTCGTCCCCGAAGCCTCCGCACAAGCCTTCTCCCACTGGCTACACGACAACTACTCCTATTCCGAACCGTTCCTCGCCGAAACCCTCCGCCGCATCACAACCGGCAATGAAGTCGATACCTTCAACGGCATCGAACCCCTCACGCTATCCGACACACGGCTCGCGCTCGCGAAGGCCATGGTCCCCGACAACGCGCTCTTCGCCGAGGAGGAGCAGAACCTGTATATCGACGAGATGCGCGAGGCGCGGCTGTGGTGCGGGGTGTTCGCGCGCGCCGAGGGCAGCCACTGGGACCGCGTGACGGCCAAGCTGGTGCTGTGGGCCGTGAAGTCGATGCGTGCGATGATTGCAATTGAGGACCGCGATGGGCCGCTTGGGTGGATGAGCAAGCCGAAGGTGTTTGCGATTTGTGCGCGCGTTGTGGTGGCGTCGAGGATGCTGGCGGAGCGGTTCGGGAGTATGGAGGGGATCAAGGGGAAGCCCATTCTGGAACCGGTGGTGGCGGGGCTTATGGCGGCGGGGAGGGACTTACTGGAGAGGGGACGGGCTAAGTCTTTCCACCCGCTGTTGATGGAGGAGTTGGATGTGATGGCTATTGCGATGGGTCCATTGAAGGAGAAGAAGTGATGGGATGGGTACAAGTGCTGTACAAGCGTCTGCCCAGATGGAGCCGTCCATGTCGTAACGAAAATAAAAGTACTGTAGATGGGTCCGTTTAGATAGATATTTACGCCCAGAAGAAAAATAACATGCTGAATAGCAATCGCAAACTCCGCCGTGTTCCGCCGTGGCTATCTCGGGGATTTGAAATGTACTCGATGGCGTGCTGATAGCCTTCTGACTACAAGATATAAGACCGCGGCCATACCTCCCACTCCATCCTTCCCGTTCTTCGCTCTCCCACACGTCTGAAAAGAACCCTTATTTTCACGTCACAGCTACTATTCCCATATAACGTACGGGATCTCAGTCCCTCCGCATCCCCATATCAACATTGATGAAAACACCCACTGACACCGTTCCAGCATGCACGACCACCAGGCACCACGGTGGCACACGTACCCAAGATTACTAAACACACCGACCTAAATCCTTACGCAACCCCCTCCACGCACCTCTTCTGCCTTCACCCCTTTGAATTCGGACGCTATTTTCCCCCTTCAACAGCCCATCCGCTCTCCACTAGCGACACAAAGCGCGCCGACTCCGCGTTCGGGTGCTGGACCTAGGGGCTAGTCGGGGCTATGGTTGCGCCGAGGGGCCGATGTGGACGTACAGGACAGTTTCACTCACAAAAGGTCGTTGGTTGCTTATAAACCTTGGGACAGCCACTGTTGCGATTTTTGTACGGAGAAAAAACAAGTTCGGAAATCATCAATCAACCTCTCTCCATACCATACAATCAGATATCGCAGATATGTCGACTGTCAGCTTCACCCTCTCGCAGGATTACGGGTATGTTGTGCTCCGTTCCCTGCGACCGCAGAATCCACCATGTGTCGCAACCACCACGTTGCGCTCTTGACTGCGACAGCGCCACATCTCAGGCCTGGCAGCAGCAGCCAGAGCCGGGCATGGCACTGCAGCGCAGACGCGAGACAGAGAAGCGGCAGCGTGCAGACCAGAGAGCACCAGCTAATACGCGCGATCTAGATACGTAATCCTCGCCGCAACATCCACCTTCATCCTCAACACCGTCCACGGCTTCAACACAGGCAAATTCCGCAAGGCGGCCGCCATCCCCTACCCTGCCCCCTACGCTACCAACGAGGTGGCCAAGGACAACGATGATGGTATGCCGCCCCCCTTCCCCCCTTCGTCCACTCCAGAATCCCCAGAAAAGCAGAACTAGAACTAGAAGCTAACACCCCCTCGCAGCATACCGCTTCAACTGCGCGCAGCGCGCGCACGCCAACTACACCGAGAACCACACCTCTGTCCTCGCCACGCTCCTGATCGCGGGTATTGAGTTTCCCCGCGTCGCAGCTGGGCTCGGCGCTACTTGGGTCGTGGGGAGGTACCTTTACATGGCGGGTTACTCGAACTTGGCGTATGGACGGGGAGGGAAGGGACGTTATCGCGGGATGGTTGCGTACATTGGTCAGCTTGGGCTGTTGGGGTTGACGATTTACAGTGGGCTGGGTATGATTATGGGGTGGTAGAGGAGATACCAACGTGGTAGTGTAGGTTAGGTGGGAATAACAGTTGTATTACTCTAGTGATTGTGGACTTGATTGAGGGGCTGTGACGAAGGTACTGGTTTTGTGATTGTGTGAATGCATTGGAGACAATGGATAATATGTTGCATGTTGACATTTCAATTCGTAAAGCTAGTAATACAGCACCAGCAGAAACTCAATATATACACCTCACCCGCTTTTCCATTCCCACATAATTCATTCCTCATCCCTCATCCCTCATCCATCATTCCACCTGCAACAACCCCCTAACAAGTTTCCACCGCCCCCCTCCCCTTCCACCCCCCAACCACAAACCCCCACTCCCCCCTCGTCACCGGCGTAATATCCCCCCACCCCCCCGGCGTAACAGGCCCCCTACAATACGGCCCCCTACAACTCCTCACCGTCGCCCCGCTCTCCCTCTCCCTCCTCTCCCTCGGCGTCGGCGGCGCCGCCAGCCTCAGCGCCTCTTCTGGCACTCCCGAAATCGGCACCTGGGCCCCCTTATACAGCGCCGCGAACGCGGCATTCACAAGCCGCAGCGCGAACGGCGAGACGCGCAGATGGTCGTATGCGCGCTGGAGGTAGGTGTTCGCGACGGGCCTGCCGGACTGTGCGAATATGAGAGCGCGGAGCTCGCTGAGGGCGCGGGCGAGCGCGAGGGCGATGGCGGGGGCGGAGGCACCGGTCGAGAGGAGGCGGGAGTAGGTTGCCAGGGCGTGCTTGAGGGTGTAGATGCGGTCGAGGGAGAGGATTGTGAGGCCTTCGGAGGAGAAGAGGATGGTGTTTTGGTGGAGGGAGCGGTGGGTGAGGGTTGGTTGGGCGGCGGGGACGGCGAAGCGGAAGGGGAAGCGGAGGGAGGCTTTGTGCAGGATTTTTGTGAGGGTTGCGGCGGCTTTGGGGGTGGGGGGGATGGCGTGGAGGAGGGTGATGACGGGGTGGGGGGTGCTGGGGATGGTGAGGGGCGGGATGGTGCTGATGGATGTCCCGGTTGAGTGCATGGAGTGTGTTGGGGAGCGTGGTGATAGTGGTGAGGAGGGTAGCGAGAAGATGCGGGGAGAGAAGAGGGAGCGTGGTGATAGTGGTGAGGAGGGTAGCGAGAAGATGCGGGGAGAGAAGAGGGAGCGTGGTGAGCGCGGGGAGACGGGCGAGGATGGCGTTGATAGTGGCCATGATGGTGTGGCAGAGGAGGCAGAGGAGGCCAACGAGACAGATGAGGAGGATTGAGTTGGTGAGAGACGGCTGAAGAATGATGAGGTCGGTGAAGAAGGAGACTCCGGCTCGAGAGGTGGGCTGGGAGCGGCGGGCAGCGGGGTGTCTTCTCTCACGAGGACTAGGGAGAGGTTGATGTGTTTCCGGATCAAGCGTGAGGAGATGTATTCGAATGCCTCGGTGTGTTGTAAAGGGAGTGCATTTGCCTTCACCTTCGGCGTAGGAGCGACTCCAACGGGCCCGGAGATGCGGGATTTTTGGATAGCCATATTGACTGTATGGGTATTTCCTTTGCGGAGGCGGTTCTTTAAGAGCAAGTGTGAGGGAGATAGTAAAAGCTCCGTGGGTGGCTTGAAAGACAATCCAGACCAAATACCCAAAATGAAGGAAAGTAATGAAGCCGCAGACCTAGTGAAAAGTTACGGATGGAGTTCGAAACGAGGAGGCAGAAAGAGGGGATATCTATAAGAAAGCGCAAGGCACACTGGCACGGCGCAGATCTTGAAACGAATTCCCCAAGAACCAAAAACAGGGCGATCAAAACAACGACAGATGGTCGAAAATAAACAATTAAGCACCGCCGCTGAAACAGGCCGCCACCTGTGGAGGTGAGGCCCAGTAAACAAGCAGGTTCTCCACTTCCAACAGGCCGGGGATGCAACCTCACCAACATACCAACATATTCTCTCTAGTTCAGTATGCACAGTGCGCCTTCTTTGGACAACCCCGAGACAGACACAGACAGGCACAGTATCTGTGTGCTGCACTATGATGAAGGCACCGTATCGTACAGCACAGCTACCATGCCGATTCCCTGTCATCTCTCTCCCCAGCGCTCTTAAAATGGAAATCTCTCACCTCACGGCGACCATAATAGAACAGCGCTTAATCCCCTATATTGCAGCTATTTTAACATCATTATCTGATGTTACACCGAGGTTGACCGTCCTTTCTTCCCCCGTCTCTCCGGCCCCCAAGCCCATCACAACATCAAAAATAGACCGGCCGGCATCCGTGCACCTTCACATCCAATCCCAGTGATCTCAGCTATCCCCGTCCCAGCCAGTTTGGGATGAGCGGGCGCTTGCAAGCGCTGGGGATTCGCAGGGGGAAGGTGACAGATCAAACGTTTGGTCCACAACTCCTCGACGAGCCAATAATGAGACATTGAATCACGGCCGGCCAGTCTTGGATATGCAGGTCTTGTCAACTTGGACGATGATGCCCCTGTGCCGTGCATGTCAGCATATCAATGGCCTTGGTTGTGGACTGTACGTACTGTACGAAGTACGAAACTTCATATTGTGGTGCCATGCTGCCATATCTGGTAGGAAAGGTCAGTAAGTGCGGGTCGGATGTGCAATACTACTCACTCGACACTTGCAACGATGTGACGCCCGATAATGCAACTATGGCTAGTATTCGAATTGCAGCAGGTTGGAAACAAGAGCATATGTCCAAAGCTGAACAGGTGGAGGAGGCAACAGAGCTTGTGGCTCGCCGCCCGAAACATTGGCAAAGGCCGGCCTTTGGTGCGTTTATATCTGACAAATCTATCAACCACCAATTGTTGGTCAACGGTGCCCCTGCCTTTGACTCTGAGGGCCAGGTCATGATATACAGAGCAAAGTGGGTAGAGAATAATCCCGATACTACACCAGGTCTATCACACGTAGGCCCCAGGCTCCAATGATGCTACCGGCAACGGCAACAACAGCGACAACAGCGACAACAGCAATCGACGACGACGACAGCGAGCGAAACGACAGCAACAGCAACAGCAATGTCGGAACTTGAGTCAGAGCCCAACCTGACCCTTCTTCCATCCTTGATGACTGTACTATCTTCTCACCGGATATTCCCACTGATCCTATTTCCCTTTGCCAGTTTTGGCGGTCATCCTTCAGTCCATCAAAAAAAATATATATATATATTATCAAACCCTCTGTCTCGCCCCTGACACCCTCCATCCACCCCTTCGCCTCCCGACCCGGAACCCGGACTGAGACCAGACCAGACCCAGGCCCAGACCCCCCAGTGAGACCAGCATTCCCATTCTCCTCACACCATCTCGAAACACCAACAAACCAACAAACCCGCAGCTTCACCTGCCCCTTCGCTCCCCAACACCTCCCCAAATCCCAAACTCAGCCTCTAAACAAATCCCATAATCCGCCTCGCTCCGCCCCTTCCCACAATCCTCCATCTCCACCCACCTCATAGCTGCGCTGGCACCAGCACCACCTCTTCATAGCCCAAAGCACCATCCATGACAAGCGTACCTCAGCAGAAACACACCCGTTTAACGCTCACCCCCTCTCGCAACGCCCAAATGCCCAAACGGCAAGAGGTGCGTAATCGATAATCGGCGATCTAGACGCGGGCCCGACCCCGCCTTCGTGCTCCGGAAAGTGGGTCTAGGTGCGAGACAGGGAAACATTGGGAGGGAAATCTTTGCGAGAGCTGGCACTTGTCAGCTTGTGCGGTGCTGAAGATAGGCGGGGGGTATGCGGGCAGGTTGATACGGTTAAGATGGTGGAGTGAGGGGTGGCGAGGGGGAGACGAGGGGAAACGCGTTTGCTGACGCGGTGGCTTGTTGTTTTTTTGGTCTGGTGGTGAAGGGGGATTTTTGAAGGTAAGGGATGGGCGAAGGGATGGGCGAAGGGATGGGCGAAGGGATGGGCGAAGGGTAAGGGGAAACGGGAAAGGGATGGAAAAGGGTGGCAAAGGGTTACTGTTGTTGTTGGGGGACGAAAAGGGTGTATCCAATGTTGTTGGGATGAACAAGTGTTATCCCCCTTTCCCTCAATTTCAAACCCCAAAACGCGTCCACGCGCCAAAGACATCAACAAAGGCCCTCCTCCGTGACGCCGTTGGTGCCACGTACCGACTCTTCTCGCGTCAAAAACCGGACACAACAGGCATCCCCGCCCTCCCCACCAGGAGCTCCAGCCTGCCAGGTAGCCAGCCCGCTCCCACGCAGTTTCAAGATGTGACAGGTGTTATATTTCTACACTATGCGACAATTGTTGGTTCCCTTCCCCGCTGTACTCGGTACAGTTCATGTATGACCTCCCAAACCCGTACTCCCGCCCGCCCAAAAACGCCAAGTCGCTCGCTACAGTAAACTCAACTCTCGTGGTATGGTAAGAGGCCCTTCTTGAGCTCGAAGACGATTTCTGCCGCTTCATCGGCGGAGCGGGCTTCGAAATCGTATCGTTTTGTCTCTGCGGTGCGGTAGAGAACGACCTATTAATGCAAGTTAGCCTTAATCTACAGAACCCATGTACCCCCTTCTCAAGTAATCCCACGTACCTTAAAATTCGTCGGATGCCTCCTCGTAACTTTACATCCAACAACATTACTAAAATGCACCGTTGTCGTCTTCCCCTCCCCCTTCCCCTCAAACAGCGTCTTCCCGCTCGGCCCCGGCATAATATGTAGATACTCCCCATCAATCACGAGCATCCGCTCGTTCATCCCAACGAACCGCATCGGCTGCCGGCGCCAAACAATGTACTTGCGGAAATTCTCCGGATTCCCCTCCTCATCCTGCTTCATCGCCTCGCGCGCAAGCGGGTGCATCGGCGACCCCACCATCCCCGTCGGCGCCGCGGCACCTTTGCGCATCTTCCGTAGTGCCGCGCCGGACGGGGCGTCGAAGGAGGCTCGGAGGGGGGTGCGTGGGGGTGTGGAGGCGGGGGAGCCGGACATGGTGAGCGGGCCGTCGGTGGCGAAGCGGCGGCGCGAGAGGTCTAGGTCGGTGCGTGCGCCGATGGACTCGACGGTGCGGTCGAGGAGGACGACTGTTCCGGAGCCAGAGTGCTTGAGCACGTGGTTCGCTTTGTCGAGGTGTCGCTTCTTGCAGACGATGTCCAAAACTTCGGCGAGGTATGTGGTGGTTGCTACGTTGAGCGTGACTAACTGCCCCGGAGAGGCATCGAGGGAGTGGATGTGTATGCGTAGGAGTTTCTGGGCGCCGCTGGGGGCTGCGTTACCCCGGATGGGAGCGGCAGGCATGTCTGCTAGTGTATTGGAGCGGATGTTGGGCATGGTTCTTATGACGGGATTGTGTGGCGATGGGGTTGGAGCGGCGGAGGAGACGGACGAAGGGAACTTGGGGACGGGTATGAATTCGTCGTCGCCAGTTGAGCCAGGAGATTCCTGCTGGAACTGTGGAGTACGCTGTTCATTCTCTTTTAACTGCTCCTCTGTGGCTTCAACGAGTGCAAATTCGTCGTAAGACGACGACCCAGAACGGGTACGGGCCACCTTGTTATTCACAGTCGTGAATGCCACGACGGGCTTCGTGCGGTCGAGAGCTGGAAAGTCATAGTCCACTTCGTCGTCTTCGATTAGACGGAGGGTCCAGCGGTTTACATTGAGTTGCTTCGCAGCTAGCACGGGCTCTTTCTTCTCCTCCGCATATCTGTTCAAACTCAATCCGATCAGGTCAGCCACCGTAACCTGGCGATCTCCTCCTTCTCCGCCATGTATAGTTCGCCGGATAAGCACTTCGTAAAATGTCTCATTTGATGATGCGAATGGCGCCCATATGCGCAGCCTCAGCGGATTCGGATCACCTCGACCAGAGTAAGACGCAAACTTCTCAAACGGCATTGCTGCCTTCGTTCGTTTCGCACTTATGGCAGCTGATAAGAGACTCTTTGGCTGTATAAAGCTAATAGGGCGAGGAGGTGGTAGTGCTTGTAGGATTGCCGGTGCTGGCTTTGATTTCTTGAGAGACATCTTTGCCAAACTACGAGGCAGCGTACCAACAGCGTGGTGGTTTAAAGAGGTTGATGTACGGCCCTCGACGCTGCCCAATATGGACTGGGAGTCCACACTGTCTCCAAAAGCTGAAGACATATCCGACACATATGAGTAGTCTTCCATCTCACGTCTGCCAGCCTTCGCTAGAACTTTCCCTTGCGCTTGCTGTCTCTTAAAGCCAGAATTATCGAACTCGTTCTCAGACGACATCTCACTGCTTGTGACGGTATCTCGTCTTGCTCTTTCCTTGACGGCTTCGACAGCAGACTGCGATCCACGACGAGCACCAGGCTGTCGTGGAGGGGACGTCATATTGGGCGAGCCTTTTGAGTTGGGATTCCTTATTGGAGAAGAACCAGAGCCTAACCGTACCGGCATCTTTTCAAATTTGATTTGTTGGGCAGCTCGCTGCTCTTCCTCGTCGCTGTCATCGCTGAGATCACTGCTATCTTCTTCTTCCATCTGTTCACGCCTTCTCCTCCTCTTTGTAGCGATCCCAGGGCCAATTGTATCTCCAGCGCCTTCGCCAGTAACCATACCGCCTTCTTCAAATTCATCGTGAGATGATCTTGGCCGTAAGCCAAATCTAGGTGCTTTAAAGTATTCAGAAGTTATTGCGGTAGGTATCGGAGGTGAGTGTGTTCGCTTCACGTGTGAGGGGTTCTGGCGCCATCCAGCGGCCTTGAAGCCAGGAGTATTGAGGAATGCATCGTTGAGGGTAATAAGTCGTTCGCCAACACCATCTTTAACGGTATTTAGATAGTTAGAGCGAAGCTGATATGAAACAAGGCTAAAGGTTTGTTAGTTACTGTGTTCATTGGGGCAAGCAGTTCATGAATGCGACGGGGCGATGAACGATGGCAAAGGCATAGACGTACTCTTCCACTTGTATAACAGACATTGTGTTATATATATTCTCACTGTAACATTGTTACTTATATGGCAACACGTTGTGACAGCAGATGCAAAGCTTCCTGGCTTGTGTTTTGAGGGCTTGTCGTCGTCGTTCGCTCCAGCAACAAGGCGTGGAGATAGGCACGAAGCCTTATCGCATATGCCGGTTACAAGGGTCACGATTTAGCGTATTTCAACAGGAATCGCAGCCTTCCCAGGTGGCACCATTCGAAATCATACTTCACCAACGCCACCTCACTTTACAATAACATGGGTCTAGTTGATTATTCAGACTCCGAATCTTCGGACAATGAGCAGGTCTCAGAGTCGAAGAAGCCCACCAAGGGATCATTTCAAAAGGTGGTCGATCGTTCAAACCCAGGAAAGATAAAGGTATCCTTACCTACAACGGCAGCGCCAACCAACGATGAGCCGCCTGCGAAGCGCGCGAAGACAAGCGGAGGGACATTCGGCGGCTTCAACTCCTTTCTGCCTGCCCCAAAGAAGACGGGGGCGGCTGCTCCAGAGACCTTGGGGGGTGGCGCAACGGGGAATGGAAGAGGTGGCGGATTAGGCTCCGGGGTCAGCTTGAAGACTGGAGCGGCGCCAGCATTCAGTCGAGATCCGAAGCCTGTCTACGACGGCGGAGATAATTACGATGGTCGTGAAGAGGCAAAGGGTGGAGACAGCAGCATGGGTCTACCGCCACCAACGTTGGCGCAAACACCTGCAGCAGAAGTGAAATTGGTGGGGAAGCCGTTGATGTTCAAACCTCTATCGGTGGCTAGGAAACCACAAAAGAAGAAGAAGCCAGTCATCATACATAAAACAGCAGAAGAGCCAGCTTCACAAGGGCCGTCGTCCACAACTTCAGAGGCACCGAAGGCACCACCGCCGAAAGTCTCGCTTTTCGCTGTGCCCCAGAATACAGATGACGATATTGCTCCTGAGCGAAAGGGAGAGTACCAGCCAATGTTATACGGTGCAAAACCCGAAGAAGAAGAAGAGCCTGAAGTCGTCAAAAACCCATACTACGAAGATCAATACAACGACGCTGAATCTCATCACACCGTCCCGCCACTTGCTGCCAGGGCTGCTCCAGCATCTACGACCTCCAACTCCCTCGACAGTATTGCCTCTGATCTGCAACTGTCAGCCTCAGAACGACGCCAACTCTTTGGGCGGCAAGGCGCGCGAAATCTCACTGGCAGCAAAGTTATAAACTTCAACACAGACGAGGAGTACCGCAATAATGAGGAATTGCGCTCCGCTGGCGAGCAGGCGGTGCACAATCCTGTCCGCTCCATCGCACCAGGCAAGCACAGCCTCAAGCAGCTTCTTAATGCGACCGTGAGCCAGAAAGAAGCATTGGAGGAGAGCTTTGCAAAGGGGTATGCGAACCGGAAAGAGGCAAGTGGGAGGTATGGGTGGTAGGCGTCTGGCCAAAGAATCTGCCATATTAGGAAGATGTACGAATTGAATGGACATAATGATACCCTTATTTACTCTGAATGGCCCCTTTTATGCATCATGTGATGGTACCACCAGCTCACGCTCATATAATACTACGTTATATCGTATATTCACGTCTCACTTCGTCAAGGCTGCGAGCAACCCATGGTACAATCCCCTCGATGCTCTCGGTATCAGAACCTGAGATACAATATGCACCAGTGCGACGTAAGCTTCTGACGTGCCCTATTTGCATCTCCCCACGTTCTTCTCGCCAGAGACATTTCTCACCAAAGACTCTTCTCGTCGAGGACTCTTCTCACCGAAGGCACTTCTCTCACCAGAGGCACATCACACCGAAAGCTCTTTTTTCAGTCAGAAAAGGCACTTCTTGCCGAAGGCACTCCTGTCTTGTAATACCTCGTTCAAGGTTCTGTTCGTACCCTGGTAATACCGTGATTGAACCAAGTCTGACCGCGGTCAACCATGTAATTAACCACGCAGCATAGTGCTGCCGTGCTTGTGGGGTCCCTCCCTCTTCCATAACGCACTGGAAGAAAATGTTTATTTTGACGTTCGTCAGATTGTTCTTTTGAAGCGAGCTTTAATATGCTCGGCCTCCTTGATTGAGCAAGGATTCAGGGTGATATCATGATATGGGCGGGCACGTATGGCTGCACGCGTGGTGGATACCAGTATAAGTACTCTCATTTCCTAGTATGGCATGGCTGCAATGGCACTCTATGTCTTGGGCTTCACTGTGCGAAACCTGAACCTGCCCATTCCGCCACTTGTGGGTTGGATGGAGATTTCGAATAGTTTCACGGTCGAAATAGAATCGTCTCTCATCTGGTGGTGGGATACCTTGTCCGGTGGGGGCACGTGGCGGTGTGGGCCATCAGTCACATTGCAACTATCTATATATTAATATATTATCACCTCGTACACCTCTCACCCGGCTCCCTCCACTCCAACCCCAACCCCTCAAACACCCTCTTCTCCGCCGTCAGCATATCCGGTGCTTTCCCCCCCACCCCCTCCAAATCCACCCACGCCCCATCATCCCGCCTCCTCACTCCACTACTATCAAACTTCAGCCCCAAAACCGCCTTGACATAGCGCCTCAGGTCGCGCTGGAACGTCGTCCCGCTCGTCCATCCTGCCACCGCGCACCCGACCGTCCGCCAGGGACTAACAATAATATCGACTCTGCGGTGGACATTTGGGTTCTTCGCCCTTGGGTCAGCAGCCAAATCTTCTTCGCGTGTGGGCCATTCTGGGTCCTGCCACACCACTAGTGCTTTGTCGAGGGTGTCGAAACCCACGCCGAAGCCACCGGTGTGCCCCATGTCGCCTTTCCAGCTCACGGCCGTCTGCTTGCGCTCTGAGTTCGCAGTCGATAGTAGTAGTGTGTGTGTGATCCACTCACGGCGCTCAATCTCTTCAACTATACGCTGGACGAGATATAGCGTGACTATCTCATCGGGGTTACTAACGACAACATCCACATCGCCACTCTCTGGCTTGCCACGCCGATACCCACCGACGATAGTCATTTGGCAGCCTGGAGCGACATGATTCGCGGCTTCGAGGATGACAGCGCCTATGCGCTCGACTTCGTCGCGGGGGATCTTCTGCTGCAACTCTTCGTAGTATTTCACCCCTATCTGCTGCACTCGTGATAGATTATTCCATCCGAACTCGACCACGTCGTCTAGGTCCCGCCATCCTTTTCTGTAATAGAAGTCCCTGGCGCCCTTTGGACCAACGCCCCAGATTTCATAGAATAAATTCAATGTCTGCATCTCGGGATCCTTGTCGATGTCGTCCACTGCGCCTATATGGCCGGTGTCGTTGAACTCCTGCCACAGTGCTGCGATTCTCTCGGAGCATCCTGGTAGGTGGAGGATCTCCTCGGCTGTCGAGATGGTATGGGGGTATGCAGCTAGTGAAGCAATTGAAGTAGAATATGCGCGGACGCCCACCTCGTCATCGGTGAGGATCCGCGACTGGCGGATTCGGACGAGGAACTCAATGAAGGGGTCGTTGAGGGTGTAGAGAGGGGTGGTGCGTTGGCAGGAGTAGCTCGTTTTCAGGTAATCCGGGATAGGGGGCAGTTCGGGGGGGTTATCGTGCTCAGAGGTTGTTTGGCGGATAAGTGGTGTGGGACGTGTCACAAAGGCCTGGGAAGATGGAGATTGCTGCAGATTGGAGCGTCTGGGGAATGGAGGTGACGAAGCGTCCGGCGAGTCGCTGTGGGCGCGAGCGATAATTTCCCCTGGTAGTGAGCTTTTGGGCGGCTGGAACTTGGTTATTACTTTTGATATCTTATATTCACATGGGCTGGGATGCATACCTTCATAACATTACGATGTTTTGGAGCTTCCACCCGTCGTCCCTCATATACTATATACCCATCAAGTGGCAGCATGTGTCCAGCCGCTACGCTTTCCTCAAACCAGGATAGCTTCACAACTTTTATTGTGCCATTCCCATTAAATACTGGCCCTTCTGGGCTGGCAGTTGGCGTTCTGGGTGTGTGCGGCGATTTCTCTCTCGGGGGGCTGCTGGTAATCTCTTGTCTTGGGCTCTGCGCAGGACTCTGGACATCTTCGGACTGCGTGCTATTACCACTCCGTTCTCTGGCACTCCTTTTTTGACTTTCATCCTCTTCGGCTTCGGATTCAGTGCTAGAATCGAGGACCACAACTTCCACGTGATCAGGAATCTTAATTGGACCAGTGCGTCTCTTCTTCCTCGCAGGTCCCTCCTCCTGGCTCCTTCTAGCACTCCCTTGGTCCTCAACTAAGTTTTTCTCTTCTCTTTTGGTCCCCTTTACTTCCTCCGTCCATAACTTCCTACTTCTCAGCTCAAATTCAGCCCTCTTCTTCGTCGCTACCTTCCCAAGCACCAGCTTGGCCTCGGTGATGTCATACGTCAAATTAGGGATCTCATCTTCGAGCTGCAGGCGCTTGTCCTCTGGTATGTGCGCGGATAGTAAATATGTTATGGGAAGGTCAAGAGGCATTGTTTAAGCTATTTGAAATGAGAGTGCCATGGTGTCATCGTGGTGTGGGTGGTGATTATGATGGGCAGTCTTGTGGTGGCAACTGAGACTGGCTAGCTTGGTTACATCTTTAAGGAGAGGTCATTAGAAGTTTAGTTTACTGCGCGCTGCCAGTATTAGCTAGAATACTCTAGTTGCAGTTGTTGGGCTTGAGTGAAGGTATTGTGGCTCTGGAGGTGCTGTCACTGTCAAATAATCTACTCGGCTAAATATATGGACTACCATTTAGTATAACAACGTATTTCACGGGCGAAGCGATCACTTAATCGTCGGTGTTCGCACCGACCATCCTCCAGGTGGTCGCGGAAAGCAGTTTTTTTTTAAATTTTTGACATTTCAGATTGATAAGCTATTCCTAACGTCAAAATAAACCAGGATCTAAATTGTCCTCTAGATCAAGCTCATGGTCTACAAAAAAGCTATCGCTCTCCTCCACATCTAACCCACTGAATCTAGTAAAACCAGTATCCTCATCTTCGTCTACTTGCGACTGTGAATAGCCCATTGTTGAAATTAGCTGGGAGGTAGCTTCTTCGTGGAGCTCTGATTCTTGAGCTAATTTCTCGGTCTTGAATTGGCTTAAGTAAATCAAGAGGAACCTCCTTATTTGCCTTTAACAGAATACTAACTTGACGCTTTCTTGCCTGCTCAGCTTTGCGTGCTTCTACTCCACGCTTATGGAGTGCCTTCTTGACTTTGCTCAGTGCCATTGTCCTCCAGTGTTCCCATTAGTATAATACTTAAGTATTCGGGCCATTATGATACGGGGCATATCAATACGGTACGGGTGAAGCTTGATATGATACTAGTGAGCTCTGTATCAATACTTAAGTATTAATACAGGCAATACTTAAGTATTTCATGTAATGTTAAAAATTGAAGCTGTAAAAACTGTATACTCTATAACCCTGTGAATTTCAGAACATATTGAACTAGCTAGATATCATAGTCATCGCTGCCTCTTGCAACAATGTATCTGGGAGTGTTGACAGCTCATCATCTACAAACGGCAAAGCTGTACTCTTATTCTTCTTAAACCAAGACTTCAAGTACTCAACAGCTTAAATTGCCATAATACCTAGCCTGTTCCTATGGTCGGAAATCGTGATTTTCGCACCAGAGAACAGCCTTTCAGGCGCTGCAGACATTGAGGGTATTGATACAAATCTAATGCCATTACACTTAAGTTTGGAAATGTAGCCCGTTGAGTAGGCTCAGCCCACCATGCTCTCGCATCATCAGTTTTAACAAGTGGGGCTTGTAAATACTGAGTATATTCATCTTGAATAACGTCAATACCCCGCTTTTGTGTACGCCATGTAAGAAACTCATTCGAAAGCGGCTTCTCAGTATCTTCACCTTCAACTTCTGCGATCTCTGCACTAACTGCCAATGCTTTGTACTTGTTGACCCACAGCTCCTCAACCTTGACACGTGCTTCAGCAACCCAATCAGCCTTCCATTCTGATTTGAAGTAAGTCCACTTCCATTGTGGGCATAATACTAACGCCGCTGTATATGCTGAAGTCCTGTCTGTCATACTGTAGTTTTTATCCAACTTCTTCCACCCAGCATTACAACAAGGACCAAGGAACGGGTCCATTGCATAATTGTAATGGTGGGTGCACTGTAATGGTGGGTGCACCAGATGTGAGAATCTAGCCACCCAAGGAAGGGATGATTTTACTAAGACAACACACTGTCTTAGGAAACAGAGCCAAAGGGTTGTAGCTTAGACTATTCCACAACGCAGCAATCAGGTGTGTGATGTAGTGAAGTGGTTCAGACAAGTTGCAACAAATGTTGAGTCTGGGAACTCAGGGGTAAGTCAGAGGTTAACACCTCACTGACTTTTCAGAAACAAGGAGTAACAAGATGAATGCTTGGAAGCTTGGAAAAGACGTGGAAGTATGTGATAGTCGATTTACTGTATTGCCTGCTTGCCCTTTCTTAAGGAAAGGGCAATCCTATTTATGCTAAAGGAGTGTAGTTCTCTCATTTTCCAAGACTTTCCATGACTTACCAGGCTTGGTAACTGTAGTCGACGTAAGAGAATCCCATAGAACCATCTCTTAGGTTCGTAGCCTATAGGAAGTAAAAGGAGGTCCAAGGTCAGAGTACCCCTATAGACAAATTATGTCATAGACAAATTATGTCATAGACAAATTATGTCATAACTTAACCAATCTTGTGGGTAACTAAAGAGCGATAACATGTAATGAATCATAGAGGTTCGTAGGAGCTTTTAGAGCTATCGTTCATGCTCCTAGGCCTCTAGTTGGTAGAGATATGTCATGTGGTAGTATGAGTGATGTCATGTAATGAATCATAGAGGGTTGTAGAGATATGCTATGTGGTAATATCGGCCCAGTAACTAAGGAGCGATGACGTGTAATGAATCATAGATGGTTGTAGCAATCGTTGAGTAGTATTGCTCTTGTTGTTGGTGTGATAAGCCAAAATATGTATAGTGACTTGTAGGTTTGAGGAGGAGATTTCCAAGTTTGCTCTTGAGTTTGATAGCAAACTGAGTGCAACGAATGTCAGTATGTCATGCACCAGATGTGAGAATCTAGCCACCCAAGGAAGGGATGATTTTACTAAGACAACACACTGTCTTAGAAAAAGAGCCAAAGGGTCGTAGCTTAGACTATTCCACAACGCAGCAATCAGGTGTATGATATAGTGGAGTGGTTTAGACAAGTTGTAACAAATGTTGAGTCTGAGAACTCAGGGATAAGTCAGAGGTTAGCACCTCACTGACTTTTCAGAAACAAGGAGTAACAAGATCAATGCTTGGAAGCTTGGAAAAGATGTGGAAGTATGTGATAGTCGATTTACTGTATTGTCTGCTTGCCGTCTCTTAAGGAAGGGCAATCCTATTTATGCTAAAGGAGTGTAGTTCTCTCATTTTCCAAGACTTTCCATGACTTAACCAGGCTTGGTAACTGTAGTCGACGTAAGAGAATCCCATAGAACCATCTCCTAGGTTCCTAGCCTATAGGAAGTGAAAGGAGGTCCAAGGTCAGAGTACCCCTATAGACAAATATGTCATAACTTAACCAATCTTGTGGGTAACTAAGGAGCGATGACGTATAATGAATCATAGATGGTTGTAGAAGCTTTTGGAGCTATCGTTCATGTTCCTAGGCCTCTAGTTGATAGAGATATGTCATGTGTAGTATTAGCCCAGTAACTAAGGAGTGATGTCATGTAATGAATCATAGAGGGTTGTAGAGATATGCTATGTGGTCATATTGGCCCAGTAACTAAGGAGCAATGACGTATAATGAATCATAGAGGGTTGTAGCAATCGTTGAGTAGTATTGCTCTTGTTGTTGGTTTGACAAGCCAAAATATGTATAGTGACTTGTAGGTTTGAGGAGGAGATTTCTAGGTTTGCTCTTGAGTTTGATAGCAAACTGAGTGCAACGAATGTCAGTATGACAGCTAGGGCTATTCAGTGGAGTCTTCATTGGTTGAGTCAACGGAGGGCCACAGTCTATTGCAGTAGCTGATTTCTTGGAGTAGGTAACAGTGCAAAGCTAAAGAGGAAAATAGCGTGCCCTTATATATGTTCCGGCCCAACAGCGAATGGCCCAGTCGCGAATAACACCAATATTATAACATATCTCAACAACACATAGGTAAAATTTTCTAAGATTTAAAAGATATATTACTTGCTATATATAGTTTAATGTTTAGCTTTAATTTTGTAAAATATAGTGAACTTTTGTACTAATATATTACCTTTTGTAGCTTTTAAATACCATTATAAATGTGCTTATATCCTACAAACTTAAAGCTACATTAAAATTCTAAATAGGCAAAGTTAAAGAGAAGTGTTTAAAAAGATAATCACCCTCTATATACCACTACACTCCTCGCATATACTTCAGCCTCTTGATGTTAGGTGCTTTGCGCTACTAAAGCTTTGATACGGATGTTAGATTAAAACCTTTGTACAGATGTTAGATTGAAACCTTTGTACAGAACAGGCTAAATCATATCACGAAGCTTGAGTTTCTCTCTGCATTTAAAGAAGCATTTAAAGCTGCATTTACAGAGCAGAACATTAAGAGCGGATTCCGAGCTATATGACTAGCTGTAGAATGTCCTCTCTCACTTGAATCTACACTTCAGGACTCCAACCCCTCCTATAGTTAAGAGTGACAATTAGACTTCAAAGTCTCCTCAGACTATAAGGGAGCTTAACTTACATTAACAACCGCATCGTACGACATCAGAACAGCTATCCTAGCTCAATTAATGATGCTGTTAGCTGCCTTGTTAAAGGATCAGAAATGATGATGCATTCTGCTGTTCTGGAAGTTAAGGTTCTACAAGCAGCAAATGAACAGAAAACTAGGAGGGAAAGAAAGCGTAAAAGGCGTATAGTGCAAGCGGGTAGTCTCTCTGTACGAGAGGGAGAGGATATCCTTTAGAGTGCTGAGGTTGAAGCTCAAGTCCGTACGGAGGTGGAAAGTAGGACTACTCGGCAGGTGGGCTCTAAGGGCTAGCAACGGCGCTATGGCCAATGTAAGAAGATTGGACATAATACCTGTACGTGCGAGGCGCTAGGAATCAATTACAATAAGGTCATTATGTAGGGTGGTGGTATAGTAGTAGTAGTAATAGTCAAATTTTGGTGGTGTTGGTGATCGCTTCGCCCGGGTGATCGCTTCGCCCGTGAAATACGTTATACTTGTCGATCATGGCCACAATTCAACAATACAGCGTCTGAGACGGTTACTAAGTAAGTTGAATACTCAGCAAAGGATAGTTGATATAATTTTATGGTATTTTCCCCATTGGATTCGAGATTCCCTAATTTGAAAGTGATTAAAATTGTTCTCAAATGGATATAATTTATACTCTTAAAACTATTTTCGTATGCTTTAAATCTCATATATATATATATCTCTTTCTCTCGCCCAAATTTTCACAGACTTGCTAAACACACAATCATTGATTACTCATAGATCATAACTTCGCTGACGCCAAGGTACATCTTTCCGCCATCTCTATTCCCTTTCCACCATCTTCACTTCAATCTTGAATCCCAAATCCGCAAGGCGGTCTATGAGGGGTTGACCCAGGGTTGCCGGGGTCATGAAGCCTCCACCAAGCTTCTTCGCCGTTACATCGTCTTTCAGGAGGGTAAGGGCAGCCTGGGAGACAAAGAGACCAGACACTGTAACAAGGGTTAGCAAGGCAACTAGTGAGCACAATCGCTATTATCCGCCTTGTCCTGAGCACGAATGAAGCGAGATTGGAGTGCTTACTTTCATAGAGACCACCGGTGTATCTAACCCTCGCATGGACCCTCGTCAACGTGTCGGCGTTAGGTCGTCCCACCGCGCGATACTCTACAAAATGGCTCTTCGCTTCCTCCTCCGACGCTCCGTATCCTCGCGGAGGAACCACCTTACGCATCACCCACGTGGCGAATGGGAACTTCAGTAGAATCGTCCCAACTGTCAGAGCAAAATGTATGAAGAGTGCAAAGAAAATGCTCCTGGCCCTGGCGTACTCCGAGAATCTGAAGTTCGGGCCATAGACTTTTCCATTCCCAATAAGACCCCATGACCGCTCGACGATGGGCACGTCGCTCGATGCCCCAAAGTATGTAGTCAGAATTCCCAGATCGGGGTGCTCTCGCACCCCAAGGATGTTCGTCCATGCTGACTGCGTGGTCGGCGCCGTGGGTCCAGGGATCGGGGAGTGTATGAAGGGTTTCTTGATACGACGGAGGTCAGCAATGCTAAAGTGGTCTACGACTTCCAGGATCGAGTGCAAGGTCCCGCCAGAGAACGTGCTCCTACATGCGATTAGTGACAACTCTCGAGAATAAACACGTGATCATAGAGATGGATTTAGAGGTCGCTGGTAGCGTAAAAGGAGAAAACCTACTTGATGTTCTCCACCGAGAATATGACTTCTCGTGTCGTCGTGGAGAGTTCTTGGTGGATGCGCTTTACAATCGCATATGTCACCAGATCCGAAGGTAACGATTCAACGGCGGACTGTGATATAAGAACAGCTCCTGTGCTCTTTGCCACCTTCTCATACTTCTTGACCATACTCATGACCCAGGGGACCTCACCCGTTATGTCCAAGTAGTGCGTGCCATTCTCAGCACAAGCCTTGAGCGCCGGCTCGCCGTAAACGCAGAATGGCCCAACGGTTGCGATGAGGACCGTCGTCTTCCTGGCCAGATCGGCAAGTTCGGCCTCGTCCAGGTTGCATATTTCAATTGCTACACGTGAATGTCAGCCAGTGCCGACAATGGCGGCTCCAGCCTCGCGATGCCTAAACGTTGGGAGGATTTGAAGCGCTGCTTTTTGACTTGTCTTACATGGCTGGACCCTGTCTGGGTTAATCTTCGCACATGATTCGGCCACAGCTTTCAGCTTCGATTCTGATCGCCCGGCAATGGCCCATCTGATATCCGTAGGATAGGACCTCGCAATGTGTTTTGCTGTCCCTTTTCCGGTGTAGCCGGTGGCACCCCAAAGTACGATGTCATATTGGCGGGTAGACATCTCAAATGACGGCGATGTGGATGCTAGTGTAAAGATAGAGCTTTAATATATCTACCTATGTACCCTTATATAGTCTATACGGACAACAATTGAAATCGTGAAACGGCGAGTGTTGGAAGAAAGGTTAACTCAAGTAGAGTACAGATATTAATAGATGGGTCCTCATGTTTTTTCTCTGATTCAAAGAGGAATTGTTGGTACCTAGAGCCTAGATTTGTCGATTGATCATATTTAGGCTTGGGTGTGTTTCGTATGGATTATGTAATGTTGTGTTGGACCTGTTGGGTTGCACATGTTTTACCCAGATGTGGTTAGTTTGGTCACGGTTAATTTTTGCTTCCCATTGGTGTGGTCGTTACGTACTCGTGTAGTAGCTCGCTCAAGTCTAAAATTAAGGCACCCAGGCCGCACTTTTCAGATTAGGGCTCACTAAAAAAGATCTCGCGAAATGCTATCCAGAAACACCGAAATCAGAGCAGACGGCCCAGCGACAAAGAACATCAACGACTTGTTCATCACCGCCAAACCACAGCCAAGATGACCAAACGCACCAAGAAGGTCGGAGTTACCGGCAAGTACGGTACTAGGTACGTTTAATAAACCCAGGAGAAGAATCCCTCGACGACATATACTCTAGTGCGACCCTTTTCGACTTTTCGACAAGTGGGATCCCACGAGGACCATTTGGGCACGAACGAAACAATCCGAGCAGCACACCATTCGGAATACCGCTCAGCGTGGGACGCAATTAGCAATCGGCAATAGAAAGGAGATGAGAGAAGAACTGGCGCTGACTCTTCTCTTCCCACAGATACGGTGCTTCCCTCCGTAAGCAGGTCAAGAAGATGGAAATCACACAGCACGCAAGATACCTCTGCACGTTCTGCGGAAAGACCACTGTTAAACGCCACTCTGTCGGCATCTGGGACTGCAGGTCGTGCAAGAAGACCGTCGCTGGAGGCGCTTACGTCGTTTCGTATGTGCCCCTCGTCACCGAAAATTGCTCATAGAGCCTGTCTTGAGTGGGAATACTAACAGACATTGTTACAGCACCCCAGCCGCCGCTGCCATGCGTTCCACGCTCCGCCGTCTGAGGGAAATTGCTGAGGTTTAGATGGGATGACATTGTTGTGGATACATTTGCTGGTGCATGGGATCGGTCCCTCCGGATGAGAACCGATATTTTGTCGATGCGGACTTCGATCATGGCTGCGATAGAGTCTCAATGAAATGAATCAAAACTCTCACTTGAGAGTCAGACTTGGTCGGCTCTTTGCTGCTATTGATAACGTGATATGAATGAAATGGGAGTGGCTGGATGGATGACGTGGATAATATGCTTATAGGAACCGAGGGGTGCTCGCTGCACTGCAACACCAGTCACAAAATAGCCTTGGAGCAGTCGACTGCCTCACTGCTATGGCTATGGATGATGGCACACAACCATGGCAAACGAGTATCGATATTGCCACCAGATCAGAGAGCTTGGGTCGCAATGGCGCGAGTTCAACTGGGCTTGGTGAATATATTGGTATGGTCTTGCCTTCCCTTTCTGGTTGGATTTGACTAGCATATTCCAGGTCATGTGCTTTCGATACCGCCACACAAGCTGCAGCGAGGCAGATGGCTACCTATATTTCCCTATCCCACCCATCCGAAGTTCACGGACTGCATCTCGACAACTCTTCTCTGACCCACACCTATTTCAATGATGTATATATCCAAGCCTTAACCTCCAGTTGCGAGACAGCAACTTCGTGACGGTTTGTTAAATCCTCATAAATCACGTGCTCGCTACATGTCTAAGAAGGCTCCAGAAATGCAAGTGTCATGGGGTCTTTTTTGGCAATAGCTGGTCATGGCCCTCAAGGTGGCCGCACTAGGGCGCGTGGAGACCCGTGGAGAGTCAAGTAAAAGGCTCACACGTCCTGTCCTCAGGTCCAAGTGTTTTCAAAGATCACGTTTCGTTTTGCGACAGTAATAGATCTGTGGTTTCCAGAGGAAGGGAACATCGATCGCATCCTGCTCCTGCGCCATCCGCCACGGACAACCCACGGACAAACACGCCACAAGGCCGTGCCTGCCTGGCGCTGTACAAAAGAAGGCCTGCAACAAGCCCTGGCGCTACAGTAACAGAACCCGTATATTACAGGCGGCAAGAAGTGTGGTCACAACGTCCTTGCGTTGCTGAGTGTACCTACGGTCCTGCACGCCCTCCTGGAGTCCTGCAGTCCTGCCGTTACAAAAAACTCCATAACAAGGCATAACAGGTATAACTGAAATAACCGGTAATACTCATAACATAGAGAGTGGTGGGTGGTCGACAAAAAGCCAGTTTGGCACAGTTTTGGCACAGTTTTGGCACAGTTTTGGCACAGTTTTGGCACATTTTGCTCTCATTCGAACCATTCGGCCGCCGATGGCCGATTCGAGCGAGCCACACACACTTTTGAACCGTGGTCACCGCCCCAGGTACAATTCGTCCATGCGCCTCGCTTTTGGAGGGGAAGATCATTCTCAATTGGACTCGCTTCCGCAATGCGCTAGCGTATCCGCAATAACCCATCGTCCGCCCAGTCCCTTTGCTCCGCCGCCTCTCTTACCCTCCAACGCCCCGTCCTATCTCACTTCCACTGCTTGTTCACTATCGCATCTCACCAGAAAACATGTTAAATTCACAAAGCCACCCTTATGACTTCTTCAACTCTACAAAACATTGACGACTTTTCTACTGTACTCTATCGGCATGGCTGATCAGTGTATCGTCTGCCTGGACGTTTTGGACGTCGACGATGCCTTACCTCCCAAGGGAGACATCGTCGAGTCTGAAGTTATAGTCAAATCCGAACTTGGAGATCTCGCCTCCACCACAGCTCACAACCACCACGCCGACACCCAACAATTACTTGCAGTTATACAAACCTGCGGGCATATACTACATGATTCGTGTCTGAAAGAATGGATCCAAAAAGCAAACAGCTGCCCCATTTGCCGCCAGCAATTTAACCTTGTCGAAGTCCATGACAAAACGTCTGGTTAGTCTACCGCCCTGGCCCCCACACCTCCCAAATTACTACAGAACACTCTGCTAACTCCCCATTACAGGCCCGATACTTTCTACATACACAGTCGAAGATAAAAAGCAAGTCGCCGACTTTGACCCACTCGCCTGGATTGAGGATCAAGCCCAAGAGGAGGAGTTGTCGAGGCCATGCCCAATATGTGCCAGCTCCGATGACGAAGAAGTTCTTTTGCTATGTGACTCATGCGATGCGCCATACCACACATACTGTGTTGGTCTCGATAGTGTGCCTCATGGGCACTGGTTTTGCATGGAGTGTGAGCACGAGGGCGCAAATGCCCGCACCGCAGAACCGTCCATGGGATTTGGCGGAACTCGCCACAGGAACAATGAACGCACACAAGCCCAGGTCCGACAGGCACGTTCAAGACGCCGTAACCGCACAGAAGCATGGCAGGGTGCTTGGAACCAGATCAGCGACCGCATTTATGACGCCTTGGAGCTGGATATCGACTATGACGAAGACAACTCTCTACAAGCATATCGGCAGTCCCAGCGTCGCACAGAACGAGAGCGTCGTGAGCTTCAGCAGTGGCAACAGCGCCTCGCGATCGCTAGCCGTCAGGGCGCAAGAGAGGTTTTCAGGAACTCAGCACGGTCAATACTGCACAACAGAGTTGAACCACCAGCACCCAGAGAATCTGATGAAGAGCGAAGAGCATGGGAAACATATGATAGAGTCCGAGAAGCCGAAAATTCTGGCACTCCCACTCGGAAACGAAAGTCACGCTCCACAACGCAATCCCCAAGAGAACCGGCAACCAATGAGCCGGAACGCAAACTCAAGCGTCCTCGTACCCGTCGAGTTATGGAGAATTCAGCAGGATCCTCATCCGATGGGAATCCAGAATCGCGGCGGCCAAATGGCCACCGCAGACCGGTTGCTCCTGCGCCTCGCAGGCCAATGACTCCCAGTGCCCCCACTCCCAATCCAACGGCAGCGGCACCATCATTCCTCTCATCACTACTCAAAGAAGTTGAAATGGGTGCAGCCAAGGAAGATGACAGCGACAACAATGAGCACGTCTTCGTGAACACGAATTCTACGAGCCCCGCGGCAGAATACTCATCTCCCGTTTTGTCGCCAGCCACCAGCAGCTACTCTACGCCCCGCGCCATGTCATTGACACCACCCCCCAATGGAAATGGTATCCGCAGATCCGGATCTCCATTATCACTCAGCTCGAGAGTGGAGCCAATCTACCCCCCAGCCGACTATTCTCCCAATCGCTCGCCTCCAGAGAGGACGACGAGAGCCGAGAATGGACACTCAAGGCCTAGCACACCGCCTGCTAGCCATCTCCGCCATCCCAAACCCCGAAGACCACAACAACCAATTCCAGCAGAGAGTTTTTCGACACAACCCATCTCCATCGAAGCCAAAGAAGGCATCCAAAAGATAGTCAAGAAAGCACTTGACCCACACTATAAGAAACCGTCTGGCATCACGAAAGAACAGTATGCGGATGTCAACCGTTTGGTTTCAAGGATGTTGTACGATAAGATAGTTGACCCTACTGCCTTGAACGATGACGAAAAGTCAGCGTGGGAAAAGGTTGCCTCAGCTGAGGTAGCCAAGGCCGTCGAAGGGCTTTCTGCATGAGCCAATTTGGCGTGTTTTAGGGCATACTCTTGATGATGGCGTTTAACAAATTGGCGATACAATGGGCGTCTTTGCATTTTACATAGGATACCCACTGGTTGCCGGATATGGCTTGCCATTAGAGTTTCGGGGTTTTTCACGACTAAACGATTAAGCTGGGCATGCGAGGGCGTGCGAGGGCGCTGCTCATTGTGTATATTTTAGATAGATACGAGTTCGTAGAATGGTTGGATGCCAATTCAATGACATTTTATGATATACGCCCCAATATTTGCTTTCTACATGTCATTTCGTGAATTCTTCATTCAACTATAGTGGATGTCTCGTCTGTGTATGAAAATACTCGTACATTGGACACCAAAGTCTCCATTTCTCTGACCGATACTCGAACAAATTCACATATGTCGGCCTACAGGCTACTTATAGTCAATAAATACATACATTGTCACTCAAAAACCAAAGCGAAAGACATGAAACCAGAGCATGTAAACATATAAATTCAATATTCATGTATATGGAATATCAGCAGTATCTATCTAACCGTACCATGTAGGGAAATCTGCAGGTACCGCTAGCGAAAAAAAGTCTGCAGGTAATTCTCTCTAGGCACCTATAAATGATCGAAACATTCTCGGAGGAATAGGTCTTGATGATAAGGAAAAGGTGCCATGGATTGAAGAAGGAAGAATCTCTCCGCTCGCGTCTTTTGTAGGAAGAATTATTTCTCGGTTAGCACGTGACTTAGCGTGGTAGTTGGTAAATTAAGACTAGTATTAATTGGGAATAGCGCAAATAAAGTTAAGAAAGTTGAGCTCGTGTCTCTGGACGTCCTCAAGTAGACTTGGTAGCAGAGCAAGCACCACCACAGGCTCGAGCAAGACGATACCAAGATGGCGGCATCAAGTAGAGGAAGTGAGGCTGCGGCCTCGCTCATACGTATGTCCATCCCACTCAATGCCAGCAGACAGACCCGTCAACGCAGCACAGCAACTAACCCATCTCCCAGGAGCAACGAAAAATCCCCGTCTCTGCAACACCTGCATCTCCTCCCTCCCCTCCCGCCGCACCTACGCCGCCGCCGCCGCGCAACTCAAGCCCTCCGAGCCCACCCCTTCCGCCTCCCCCGCGACCTCCACCGAGCTCCCCCCCTACACCATCAAATCGGGGATCTGTCTCTCGCGCCCCCCTTTGCTCACGCAGCCGCTGCACCCCTTCGAGTCGGCATTCTTCTTCTACCAGCGCCGGCTCAACGAGCGTCTCGCCATGCCGTTCTCGCGTTACTTCTACTTCAAGAAGGACACGCCCCTCGACTCGGCATGGAAGCGGAAGGCGGCTACGCGCGGTGGGACGCCCGCTAGGGACCTCGGCGCGTATAATCCGTATAGTGAGACGGGGTGGAATGATGAGGTGATGGTGGGGGATCGAATTAGTGAGAAGAAGGCGACAAGGGGGGCGCTGGTGGAGGATGCCATGAATCGCGGGCTTAGTGCTGAGGAGGCGGGTGCGGAGGAAGAGGAGGTGGTGGAGATTCCACAGGAGAGATATACAGAGGCGGATACGGCGAAAGATGTTAAGAGGCTTGATAGGAAGTTGACGAGGACGCTGTATCTGGTTGTCAAGAACAAGGAGGGGAAGTGGACGTTCCCTTCCGGTGAGCTGGTTGGCAGGGAGAACTTGCACCAGGTATGTTGATATCTCCCTTGAGAGGTTGGCTATGCGGGTATGAAAGCGGATACTAACTACAGCTACAGGCTGCGGAACGTGTGCTTGTCCAGTCAGCGGGGATGAACATGAACACCTGGATTGTTGGCCACGTGCCTATCGGACACTACATCTCGAAGCCGCATCTTGGCGGCGACTCGGCGATGACGAAGCAGGGTGACAAGACCTTCTTCATGAAGGGCCGCATTATGGCTGGACAGGCGGACTTGAAGGAGAACGCGTTCGGGATTACCGACTGGAAGTGGCTGACGAAGGAGGAGGTGCAGGGGCATGTTGGTCCGAAATACTTCAGCCATGTTACGAATATGATGGCTGCAAGGTAGACATGGGGAGGAGAAGGCATGGAGTCTCAGCATCGATTGGGGGGTGGGATGTCGACCGGAAGATGGGGGGATACTTGTAGTATAGAGAGTGTATCATATTGTCAACATTACGGTGTATAATGTCTATCTTTTCAGGGCCGTACATATGAGTCCCTTCTGCTTCCAGCTCTCTTAACAAAGAACATGAACAAATATGTAAGTCCAACAATAACATCAATTATCTGCCTTCTCTAGTTCTTCAATATCAACAGGGTCCTCCTTCTACAGTGCCCCAATTCCGCCGCTGGATATTGCTAAGACACTGAAGATAAAGAATCAAACGACGAGCTACAACCAGGTTCGAGTAGCTCAGACGAAGAAGCAGCGTCGTAATGCTGCCGTAGTAGGGAGATATTACCCTCTACTCTTGAATGTCAAATCTATCGTTGGTCATTCTTACTGTCGTTGGCCGTTCCTACTGTCCTTAGTAGTTCTTGCTCTCATTGGTCGGTCCTGCTGCCCTTAGCAGTTCTTGCTGTCGTTGGTCGTCCCTGCCGACATTCCCGTTCAATGGCAGCAGCACTTCCAGTTGTCGGAGGCAGCGGGAGCAGACAAGCCTCAACAGGCCGAAGATGAAAGCAAACAAGCAAAGTCATCCCCACCCAGAACGATGCGACGGCGTGCTCGGACCATGGATTGTTTGAATGTTGTAAAATCACTGGCTGTATAATCGCCGGCTGTAACCCTGTTCTATTGGTATACATCCGAAGATGGTAAATTCCTGTAGCTTGAGCTATCGTTGTTTAATCTCAGTGTGCTGATCTGTGTATCTGGTTCGTCGACTTATCCATTATTAGCTATGTAAAGTCCTTCTGTAGACATCGGGGCGGGCACATGTAAGGATGGGAGACTCTCGGTAACAATGTGAGACTTCAAGATAGCGCATATCATTTTGAATCATATCTACAGCTTAGAGCCATCCTTGTATGGTCTGTTCACTATCATCCAGGCTCAAGCGGAACCATGACTATGATTTCTGTTGATCCACTACTCTTAACGCCCAGGCATCCCACATTCATTCCACCCTTAGAGCTCCATATCGCCCCCCTCCCCCATTCATTTCGGAACCCCATACCTTGAAAACGTGCCAAACTCCAGATCCATAACGTTTTAGTTCAAATGTGCTACGTCCCCCGTACTGCCGCCATCCAACTCGCATACCTCATCCAGCGTCCCATACACGCGCAGCTTATTAGCATAAACCCGCCAAAACGGCGCTGTGAGGGGTGGCGCAAAGTCATTCCCACGGGCTGCATCGGCAAGCACACTCACATCTCCATCTTGCCCCAGCGGCGGCGAGCCAGCCATATCGTCCTCGATATCCGAGTCCAGCAAGCTCGTTTGTCTGGCCTTCTTCTTGAGCGGGCTCGGCTCGCTGAGGACTTGGAAGCGGTTCGCAGAATGAGGCGCGGGGTCGAGTACGACGCCACCGCTATCCTCATCAGAGCTTGTGCTATCAACGGATCCAGTGGAAAGCTCAAACGGGTCCATAGTGTGCGTGGCGCCTTTATGGTTCGGACGGCCAACATCTAACTTGGCAGCGAGCTTGAGGAAGATCTGCGCGGTGAGATAACTGTCGTAACCTGCTTCATGGAGTTGGTGGCGATTCTGGTAGGATCTGAACTCTTCAGGGAGGCAAATTTCTGGTATGTGCTGGGATTTCACATCTTGGTGGAGATCTTGAAGGCTGGACGATTGACGCGCGTCGATGAGTTTGTCGCGGGTGGCCATATATTTCGTATCGATGACCATAGGGAATAGAGCGTGGATCTTCTCCTGGAATTCCGTGACGGTTGGGGGAAGGATTCCAATGAAGGTGTGGTAGAGGAATATGAGGTCGGTGAAAAGGTTATGGCCGACAAGTACACGGGATTTGGCTGCCAGGGCTTTGGCGAGGCTGGATAGCTCGAGCTTTTTTAAGGAGGTGTCAATGAAGGCGGACTGGCCGGCAGCGTTGACACAGAACCAGTTAGGGGCTATAGCGGAGAGATCGCCACCGGCGAGAGCTTCAAAAATATACCGGAAGCCTGATTGTTGTGTAAGTACGTTGTTAGAGGCAGGAGCAAGAGAAAGAAAGAAATAGCCAACCTACCAACTTGTTTGGACAGTTGAGCTTCATTGGCTATGACCTTTGAAGCAGCAATCTAGAGAAATCAGTATCACCCCTATACTAAACTCCAACCCACATACCTTAGCCTCCTTCGCGGAGTCCATCTTCTCCACCTGCACGAAATCGGCATTCTTCCTCGGCAAGAACGCCCTGTACTCCTTGAACTCGGTCCTGACAAGTTGGTAAACCAGTCTTCGCTGATAGCCACTTAGCCCACCCGGCACAGAGACGTTATAAAAGCCCATTGCATCCCGTACGTCCTTGTTCTTGGGGTCCGTCCATTCCAGCAGCTGCCTTCTGGCATTGCGGTAGAAGTCGAGAGTGACCTGGTCACCGGGGCCGATCTTGATATCCGGAATGGTACTGTTCCGGTTTTGGCGCTCTAGGAAAGCTTGACGAGCCTGGGTTTGCTCCTTGCGGGAGATATATGATATCCCCTTCGTGAAGACGGCGCCGATGTCGAAACAGTTCTTCCTTAAGAAATGCATAGAGCTTGATGATAGGGTAATGTCACGGTAGATAGCGAGTTTATCTCCATCTTCCAGCAGTGGATTGATATTGAAGTTGTACGGGCGAGCTGTGTAAACTCCTACGGCCTGTTAGTCCACAGGAATTGAGCGCTGGCCCCTATCTCGTCATGTCCAGCTGACGAGGACTGACCATTCTTCCAATCTTCTTCCACACATGTCAGGCCGATCTGCAAGACTTGGTATCTCTCAGCTGCCTCTTTCGTATCCTCGTATTGCTGTTGAAGCGACGGCTTGCCGGTTTCGTTGAACCGTCCACTAGGTGAGTATCGTGACTTGGTTGAGATCCCACTCATCTCCACGTCGACTGTAACGAAGCTTGCAGTGGAAATGGCTTTTAGAATTGGCAAAAGCTCATGCCAGAAGTGCTGCTGGTCGACCTCCATATTGATGGAGTTTAATTGCAGATCTTGCCTTTCGTGGCATATGTTTTGAGGGTTGTATCAACTTCAGGTGTATCAACGAAGGGCGCGCGTCACTTGGGTCGATCTACCATGAGAGAATGAACAAGAGCCGCCTAGCTATGAGGAAGTTGCGGGATAGCCGTGAAGCTGCTTTGACAATGAAAATACATACAACTTATATCATGGGTGACGGTTGTGGCTTTCAAGTCTATGTCTGACCGTGTGAACTTCAAGGGATATAAAAGACGTGCTTCATTACTTTAATCACAGCAAGAAAGAGCCTATGGATCTGAATGCAACAGAGAAGAGATATATGGAACTTTGGAGTAATGTTTGACTTCCCTGAGAATTGTTTTGCCAGCACTCATGATTCAACACCAAGCAAATAAGTCACGGCTGGTGCTTGTCAAAAGGTGCCTTCCATGTAGGCATGAACCACTTGAAATGACGGCCATCGCACAAATTTTGAATCGCACCTCACGTGACCATCCCGTGCGGCTAGGTTCCGATGTAATGTCCAAATTGCCGAGGCTCCCGTAGGCGATCACCTGCTAACACTCCGACAGATCTCCAGATTCTCCCCATCCATTCCTCGGAGCTAACGACTGAAGGGCCTCACATCCCCGTCCCCTCTAATCTCCTCGGTCTTGTGCATCCTTCCCCAGATGCCCTAGACGCTAAACAATGGCTTTTAATGGGTCCACTCCTTCACTCCTCCCTCCCAACGACTCCGGATCCTCATCCTTATCCTCCTCACAACTACTCTCGGCTTCAATGGCGAGCTCGACATCCTCACGACATGGCTCCTCCCAGATCTCAAAGATCTACCGGCAGTCCTCAACCCTATTCCTGACGCGTCGATTGCCGGAGTCGCTCTCTACCATCCTCCCCGTGATCACGGCGCCGACGACTACAGACTCCAACGGCAACGTCTCGGTCGTGGACCAGGCCCCAATTGCCAAATCCTCTCGCACCACCAGGATCAAGGTCTGGAGTCTCTACCTGACCATCCTCAACGCCATCGTCGAGCTTGACAGCGAAGAAGGCAAAGCCGCCTTCGGCACCCAAGAATGGCGCAACCTCGTCACCAAAGTCCGTGACGGCATAGTCTGGGAAGAAGTCGTCCAGAACGGCTACCGCGGCATCGAAGGCGACGTCGACGCCGACGTCGTCATTAACCTGTTCGTCCCCCCCCCGCCTCTCTCTCCGTCTCTCATCTCCCAATTCCACCCCGAATCACATGCTAACCCTACACCCCCCCCCCAGAGCAACCCTCCTCCTTGCCCACGCCCGCACCCAACACCTCAACCAAACGCGCCTCGAAGCCTACCTCGCCGCCGCCCGCACCCCCAACCTCGACCTCACCGGGCGCTTCAGCGAGACCTCCGTCCGCGGTGCCAGCCCCACCCGCAGCGTCGGGACCGACACCCCGCGCGACCTGAACGCGCGCGTCAAGATCCTCGAGCTGTACACGCTGCACGTCCTCCTGCGGAACGATGAGTGGGCGTACGCGCGGGACTTTATTTCCGCCTCCGAGGTCCTCGATGAGGAGCGCCGTGATGCGTTTTTAGCTGCGCTGCAGAGCTTAGAGGATGAGCGCGAGGAGGCGGCGTTGAGGGAGCAGGAGATGGCTAGGGAGAAGGAGGAGAAGTTGAAGGCTGATCTTGAGGAGGCGAGGAGGCAGCGGATTGAGAGTGAAGAGCGCGAGGCGAGGAGACTGGAGGAGCAGCGCGAGGCGCGGAGGGTGGAGGAGCAGTACGGGAATAGGGCGGGCAGTGAGGTGGATTATGGTGTTGATTCTTCGCATCCGGTGCAGTCCAACGGGTCCGCGAATGGGAGACCCAGCAATGGCTCAGCGAGTAGGAAATCCTCGCCCTCTAGATCGGCGTCGACGCCGCCGCCGAAGAAGGGGGCTATTAAATCGCGCGTCTTGCACTCGACGCGCCCCTCCGGGTCGGGACAGCGCGCTGCGGTGACGACGCCGCCGAATATGATTCAGCGTGCCACGGCGCTGATGGGGAATGTGCAGAAGCTGATTAAACTGCTCGCGGCGATGCTGCTGAATAACCCGGGCTCGGTGCTGAGGACGTTGGCGTTTGCGGTATTGATCTTGTTGGCGCTGGGGAATCGGGCGGTGAAGGAGAGGGTTAGGGGGGTGTGGGGGAAGGTGAGGGGGACGATGGGGATGGCTACTAAGGTTAGTTATATTTAGTGACGGGGGAGGGGGGGTAATGTCGTATATGATTGCATATTTGGCGCTGGTGGGTAGGTAGTTTGGGATTTTGAGGCGGTGTTGTATGTATAGTAAATAGTAGCCACCCAGAAGAAGGCGTTTGGATTGGAAGGGGAACACGGCATGTCTGTCTGCCTCAATAGTTATAATTTATTTTATTTGTACCAGCTGCTCTGCCTCATCGGACGCTTTCCCCATTACGCGATCTACAGGCCCCTTCCCCTTCCATAGTCGTCATAGTCGTCCTTAGCCATCTCCCAGCCGTTTAGTGGCGCGACAGGAACGGCGCCGTCTCCACCTCTCCAGCATCCTTTTCGTACACCCCCCCCCCAAAGATCTGGCGGATCTTTGAGCGTGTCGACTCGGGGATAATAGCTTTCCAGCACCCCTCCTCCGATTGACGATAGTCGGAGCAGCGGAGCTGAGTTTTTTGCAGTCTCCTCCCTTTCCACAGTCTCGTCGCCCCGCTGGTGTTCTCGGATTTCAGAGCCGATTCCTGGCTACTGAAGGCATGCTGGAGCTTGGTGAGGAGTCGGGTGTGCGATATCCCGATCCGGGAATTGTCGACAGCCATGCCCATTAGATGATCTTTTGGTAGGGACTCGTAGTGTGAGGATCAGAAGTTGGGAACGTCCCTGGGGATTCTCACAGGTGATGACGGCTTATAAGGGGGACGGGAAGGACAAACCATCCCACGCAAGCATGGCAGAGAGGGGAGCTATGAAAAAGGACATGATGCCATATGGTGCGTAATTACCGTACCTAGTACGAGAAGGCTTATCAACTACAGTAGGATATAGCAGTAGTGTGAGGATTTCCGGTCGATATTGGACCCTGTGACGACATCACGTCGTTTGACAGGTCGGCAATCTCAGTTCCTCCATCTCCCCAACGGCTTATTTCCCACCACCGCCACCACTACAGTCCGTAATTCCAACTCTTTAAACCCAATGCTAACAGTCATACTTCATTCACGTCATTAACTTGCAGTAGCCAAAAAAAAATATCAAAAATGGTGCAAAATGCAAAATAAAAATGCGAAATCGCACTCCAAGAGGGGCTCGAACCCTCAACCTCAAGATATCACGTGAACTATTTCATTCAAATGTGTAGTAGAAGTCTTGCGCGCTACCATTGCGCCATTGGAGCTATGGTTTGCAGTAGCGCGACGAAAAAAGTCTTATGAGTGATAAATATTTTTGGTGCGGTGACGAGAAAAGTCTCATGTGTGATAAATATTTTGGTGCGGTTTTGTGCAACGCCGAGGAATGCTGTGTGTGGTGTGGGAGTGGATGGGGGATTGATGGTATGGACTGTTATAAAAGCACAGTGCTTTTACTGATGTATGTATGTGGTGGGAAATCAAGATGCTGGGTCTCTTCCCATACTGAGTACTTCCTGTCCTATTTTCAAAATAGATATAAATGGCGGTTTCTTCCCACACAACCCATATCTCTTGTTTCTAGATTCAGTAGAAGCCACTTCTTGATTCAAGTATCTACAGCTACCTAGTAATACAATTACACCCCCCATATCCTCAAAACCAGGGTTAGCAAATCGAATACTGTATAAACTTGAATACTAGGCTAAACACCTGTCTCAACCCACTACCCACATCCCGAGACACCATGTCGTCAGCCACCACCACCACCATCAAATCAATCACCAAAGCAAATTTTGGTTTGTTTTCTTTTTTGTTTACGAGTGGTGTATTATTATATATATTAAGCTATCCTACTTCGTCGCCGTCCTGTGTTACCAGCTCCCTCATCGCATCATATTCATATCATATATACCCATCATATATCATGATCTCAAAATGCCAAGCGCTGTTGTGATATACCCAATCCCACCCTATCCCATGATGGCAATCATAAAATCCCCTGCAAATGCTTCCTTCCAAATATTCCCAAAACGTATGATCCAACCAGACTCGCGAGAGTAGGGTAGTAGAGGAGAGAAACGAGGCAGACTGAAACCCCACCAACAGGCGTAATCAAATGCCACCAACAGGTGTAATCAAATCCACACTCCTCGTCCTCCCCCCCCACCCGCCACGACTCGGCAGCGGCCTCTCCCCCGGGCTAGATACAACCCCAAAATACCCCTTGCTGTTGCTCTTCCCCCGGTAGGCCCAGACAATCCCATCAGAGTCTTCATCCGACGACTCTGGCGGGGACGGGTGATCGCGTTCTGCCCTCCTCGCGATCCCCGAGGATATCGAGCGGAGAGATGCGAGTGCAGTCGGTGGGGTGTAGAGGGAGGGGGAAGAGAGAGTGGGAGACAGACGGGGGATGATGTCCCGACCGGGGTTGGCGGTTGTGGTAGGCGAGGCGGGGTGGTTGTAGGTGGGGGAGAGGTAGGGTGATGGAGGCGGGGATGAGGGGAGGAAAGTGTGTTGTGTGGACACCGGGTGATCGAGTTGACGGCAGCGTTCTGAGCAGTAGAGGGTGTTTTGGTGTGGGGTTGATGGGAGCTGGGAGTCGCAGTATGTGCTATTGGCTGTTAGTTTTTTTCTATTCCCAACCTCGGATCTGACCTGCTTGTGTTGGGACAACGTACCAGAAATCCAAAAACCCCTCATCTCCACCCTCCGCAGCGAACTCCTCTTCCTCAGCCGAACGCGCAGCGCGGCCGCGGCGCTCGCGCTCTTGCGTGCTCCGACGGAAAAGCATTGGGCGGTGCGTGGAGCTTTTGCGGCGGGGTTGGCGGGAGGAAGGGCGGGTGGCGTGGGGGGGGGGGGGGGGGAGGTGAGGGTTGAGGAGGGGGCCAGGGTTGCGGGTTGGTGGTGTTTGTGCGGTGGTGGGTTTGTTGGTGAGAGTGTTCTCTTGGTTGGTGATGGGTTGTGGCAGTTGTGTGTTGAGTTTGGTAGTGTGGTGGTGAGTGGTATGAAGTGAGAGAGTCGACAGGATTGGACGGTCGTGGGGGTTGATATATAAGAAGATCCCGATATGACTCTGATAAGGGGAGCTGGGATATCGACTATCGGATATCGATTATCGAGTATCGGACGGGTGCAGACGGAATGCTGGATGGGGAAATTGAATGGATCCTGGCCGTCTTCTCTATCTGGCGTGTAATGCTCGTACTATGTGTGTCTTCTCTTATCTGTGGGTTGTGGGGAAGAGCTGATAGAGATAAGGTTGGTGAGTTGAGTCTAGCGGGCGAGATTGGAGTTGTGCGGGGTGGTGGTTGATAAGTGGTAGGTGGGATTATATATTTTCTTATTATCGTGGGAAACAAAGGAAGGCCGAAGTCTTTATATATGTATGGATATGGATGGTCAGAGGAGAGAGTTCCTGCGTGTATGTGTGTGTGGTGGGCATTTGTAAGGAACCCAGCACCATCGTGAGTCAAATGGCGAGCGTGCCAGCAAAAAACCCCACCATCTTTTCATCTTCCTACTCCGTAGTTACTGTAGTACATCCGTAGTGTGTGTACAGTACGGTATATGTACAGTACATCTCCCACTACTCCCACCTGTTTGCATCACCTCCACCCCACAAGTCCACAATTCTCAGCCCAGCTATTTACTGGCCCGGCATCCGGGGTACTTGCGCACACACCTATTCCTGGGACGCAGCGGATGTACCACATGGCCAGCTTCCACCCTACGCCATTGTTTTTATTCTCATTTTGATTTTGATTTTTATTCTCATTTTGATTTTGATTTTGATTTTGATTTTGATTTTGATTTTGATTTTGATTTTGATTTTGATTTTGATTTTGATTCTCATTTTCATTTTCATTTTCATTTCATCATCTCATCATCTCATCATCTCATCATCTCATCATCTCATCATCTCATCATCTCATCTCATCTCATCATCTCATCATCTCATCTCATCTCATCTCATCTTTCAACTCCATTCCCTGTCCACAGCGCAAGACCCATTCCTCCGTTTTTAACAAATCCAACAACGTGGAAGAGAGTTACCCTCCGGGTAACTCTCTTCCTTGGAAAAATAGCTTCAATATCCCACTCCAAGCGCCGTCAGCTCGTCGGGGATGGAGACTTGGATGGACACGGATAGTAGCAGTAGGCGTGCAGGGCTGAATATACAAGTATCACCATATAAACATGTAAACCACGCAGGTACAAGTATCACCACACCCACGACCACTACCACGACCACCACCACCACCATCCACCACCACTACCATCCACTCCCACCACCACCACCACTACCATCCACTCCCACCACCACCACCACCATCCACTCCCACCACTCCCACACCCACCACCACCACCACCACTCCCACACCACCACCATCCACTCCCACCACACCCACTCTCACACTCCCACCACTACCATCCACTCCCACCACCACCACCACTACCATCCACTCCCACACCCACCACCACTCCCACTCCCACCCCAACCCACTCCCACGGCGCCTCCGATCCAAACCGCCGATCATCCAACGGTCTCGACGACGGGGTACAGTACAACCAAGTATCCACCCATCCCCTACGTACAGTACAACTCCAAGGTACTCGAGTACTCGAGTACCTCCCCCCCCCTTAGCCGACGATTGCGCAATAGCAGCGGAGAAAGAAGCCACGGATTAACCTATTAACCCAACCGTCTTTTCCTCAGCCCCCCGGCACTTTTCCACATCTCCCACTCTTCCCGCAACGGTGCTTGCTTCACGAGCCACTCACCCACGCACGTCCACACACCACACCACACCACCCACTATCCTCGCTGCCACGGTACGGTACTTGCATCCCGTACTCCCATACTCGCCTACTCCACTCCCATACTCGCCTACTCGCCTACTCCCCTACTCCTCCACTCCCCTACTCCTCCACTCCCCTACCCTAAGTACAAGGTAGAGGGTCTTTGGTTTGGGACATCTTCGGCACGGGGGATCAAATAACACCGTCCGTAGCACCCCACGTGTCTACCCACTCGACGCAATTACTCTTGCTTGTTGTGCGTAGGAAAAGTTCTAGACCGAGGAGCATGGATAGCAAGGGGTTTGAACCCTGAACCCTGATGCGTGTTGAGAAACCTGAACCCTGATGCGTGTTGAGAAAGCAAGGCAGAGGATAGTCCATGCGATTGTATCTGGATATGTGTATCTTGGATATGCATGTGTATCTGGATATGCATGTCTGTAACCCTACCCCCCAAGGCTACCACAATACCACTAACCACATATAGGACCACCTACACCACAACACCAAACCACAACACCACAACACCACAACACCACAACACCACATCACCACACCACATCCACCACCACCACAATTCATGTCCAAAGGCAACCACTTACAGTACAGTACAGTACAGTACAGTACAGTACAGTACAGTACAGTACAGTACAGTACAGTACAGTACAGTACAGTACAGTACAGTACTGTACTGTACTGCCCATGCCCACTTCTCCAAGGCTACCACATCCCCAAGGCTACCACATCCCCAAGGCTACCACACCCCCAAGGCTACCACATCCCCAAGGCTACCACATCCCCAAGGCTACCACATCCCCACTCTAACCTCCTCCGACGCGACGCGTCTCCCTTCTAGCCACCAAGGCCACATGTCCATCTCCCCGGGTGTCACGGAAGAGGAAAAGAGCCTTCCTCTCTCTCCCTCCTGATCAACAACGCCGCCCTCACCCCCCCCCACAACAATCAATCTCAGACCTCCGATACCGCTCCCTCCCCTCCACCACAACCTCGCAAACCTATCGATTGTCTCAACTCTGTTACCTTTGGACGCTCGATTGAGTCACGTCGCTGCCGAGTAGTGTACATTCCAGACCAGAGCACACGGGAGATGCGGGTTGGATAGGTTGGATAGGTTGGGATGGCGGGAGACACGGCAGAGGGCACGCCGTACGTGGGAACGGAGGGGTGGGTCAGACACCACGTTCAACACCCACTTCCAACATCAGCACGTACTCGACTTTCATCTTTACTTTCGGATCCAACCAGCTCCAGATTCAGCTCAAATCCTATTCATCCCAATACACCCCCAACCCCCCTTTCCCAATCCTATCGTTCATCGTACATGTATCCCCCCATCCATCCCTTCACTAGATGGGGGGGAAAAAAAAAAAAAAAAAAAAAAACCGCCACAGAACCGCGTAGTATCTACATGAGAAAAACTGAGAAAAACTGAGAAAAACCTGCGCTTACATACCCCCTCCCCTCCTCCCCCTTTCCTCCTCCACTCCCGCTCCCACCACCATCCCTCACCCTCACCCAACACCCACCAGAGGTAAGAAGCCAAGGTAGCATGTCTGCTAAACTACCTCCCACCAACAACCCCGCCCTTCCCAGCCCCAGCCATCTCGCCATACCGCCCACGCTCGCGGGTGGTATCGTACGCGTTGAGCACGCGCGTCTGACTCTCGTCGGCTTGGGAGAAGGCGTAGCCGCGCTGTTTGCGCATGCGTTGGACTTGGCGGACCTTGCGGATTGCTTTTTGGAATTGTTCCATCCTTTTCCCAACCATCAGTTCCAGGTCGTCAAGAGAGGGGGTGGTGGGAGATGGCTAGGGAGTAGGGTGGGAAAGGGCGATGGAAAAAAGGGGGGGTGAAAGAGGGAAGGGGAGAGGGAAAGGGAAAGGGAAAGGGAAAGGGAAAGGGAAAGGATGAAAAACAACATACCTCGGCCGATAATCCTGAATATTGTACTTCTGAATCTCTTGAATATGATGATAAGTCTGCGGATAGTACATCCTCTTCGCATACTTCCACGCGAAATCCCTCGTCAGACAAAGCACCGGTAATGCCACAATCTGGAGCCAAAACACCGGACTCGTAAACAGTCTCGGAATCACCCCCTCAAACTCCATCGAGATCTTCGCTAACGGCATCACCGTGCCGTACACGGGGATGAAGACCATCCAGATCAGCAGCGAGCCGGGGATGGCCATCACGTGGTACTTGGTCCACGTGTTGGTTACCAAGGCTGCTTTGCCCAGGACGGTGACGAGAACGGCCGTGTACAGCGCCGTGCCCCAGACCCAGTGGCCTGCGATACGGCCGTCTGACTGTGGGAGGTCACGCCACCAGATTGCTTCCGCGGCGACGTAGAGAATCAAGGAATGGTAGAAGCCATTGAGGACCCAGGCCGCAAAACTGTGCATTTTGAAAAACACACCCTTTTGTCCTAACTGGTACAATTGTGGGTATCGGTCCAGCAGGCGCGCGGAGATGAACTGGTCGAAGATGCCCATGGCGAAGGGCGGCAGCACGGCGAAGATGACGTTGTAGAAGGATAGCGTCCAGGACTCGTAGATGACCTCGCCCGAGAAGACGTTCTGGAAGACGTACCAGAACTGCGTCATGTAGAGGACGATGTTCTTGTAGAACGAGTACAGGATCACCTTACTAATGCGCTGGTAACTCCACGCCCCATGGACGAGGAGGAGTTTGCGGAGGTACCTGAACTGCGCGATCGACACATCGGCGCTCCGAGCAGCCTGCAGACCTTCCATCCCGCTAATCCCGACGCCGATATGCGCAGCTTGGATCATAGAGACGTCATTGGCACCGTCGCCGATGGCGAGGAGGATAGCCTTGAGATGTTTCTTGACCAGCTTGACGACGAGGGCTTTCTGGAGGGGCGACACGCGGCAGCAGATGACGGCCTTGCACATCACGGCGAGGTCGAGGAAGTCCTTCTCCAGGTCCCTTTCGAGGGCGTACGTGAGGGATCTGCCGTCGATGACGAGGGCGAGGGTTTCGAGCTCGAGCTGGCCGGCGCCTTGGCTGCGGATGGCGTCGAGTTTCTTCCGGAGGTTGTCGCGGGTTGAGGGGGCGTCGACTTCGTTGACGATCATGAGGGTCATGTCTTCGCTGATCAGCTTGCAGCTCATTCCGATGTTGATGGCTGTCTCCTGTCTGTCGCCAGTCAGGACCCACACCTTGATCCCAGCTTCCTGGAGCGTGTGAATCGTCTCCGGCACGCCGTCCTGGAGACGATCCTCGATAGCCGTAGCACCGAGGAGGTAGAAGTCGCGCTCCAGGAGCTCAGCTGCTTTATCTAGTTCGTCCCCGCGGTTGCCGCTGACGGTCGTCTGCGCTTTGTCGTACACCTGCCACCACTCCTGGAATTCCTGCTCGGGGATCTCGCGCATGGCGAGACACAGCGTGCGTAGTCCCTCCGTGGCGTACTCCTCGAGATGCTGGAGCGTCACGTCGGTGTGCGGGTTATCAGGCGAGAGACGCTCGAGGATGACGGTATCGGCGCCCTTGCAGTAGCATCTGACCTTTCCGTCGGGGCAGCGGACGATGGCAGACATTCGCTTTCTGGTCGAGTTGAATTCGCAGACGGCGAGGAGCTCGTATTCAAGCTCCTGGTTGTCGACTACGATCTGCACCGACCGCGGCTTGCGCGCTGTGAACTCATAGCCCATGAGCACGGCGCCTTCTACCAGGGCACCCTCGTCGGGTGACGCTGCTTGGTATCTGATCTTTCCACCTTTCTCCTCGAGTCTTTCGGGGATGACGGTGTGGCAGGTCGCTAGAAGTGCTAAGAAGTGGTGAATGGCGTTGGATGACTCGTGGGCCTTGAGGTTCTCCTTGAGCCTAGTGAAATCGTGGATGCCAACCTCCATGCCATCCTGAGTCGTAGCTCTGCGGTCTTCTGGGACTTCAGTCGCATATTGGATGCCGCCGATAGAGCACTGCTTGAACTCCATCTGGTTGCATGTGAGAGTGCCCGTCTTGTCCGAGAAGATGTATTCGACCTGTCCTAGTTCCTCCACCAGACTCGACGTCCGGCATACAGCTGGGGTGTCGTTGACATCATAGTACATATCGAGATCATCGCTGATGAGCATCGCCTGGTAGTACTTGACGATTTCAATCGTCACGAACAGCGAGATAGGGACGAGGGCGGAGAACAGAACCCAGAACGTAAACATGTCGAAGAAGAAGGTCTTGGCATTAGCCGCTATGCCGCTTGGAATCTCCAACTGGAGATACTGGAGCTTCTCAGAGAATCTTTGTCGTGAAATAATATCTCCGACCGTGCCGAGCACACTCAGAATAAGCAAGATGCTGATAAGCATGAGAATCTGTAGGTTCAGCTGGCGCTCAACTGCGGTTCTCTTGATAGGCGCCGCAGTGGCGTTTCGCATCAACTTCGTCTCGTGGCCCGTGAAGACAACAATTCCGTAAACCCAAGGGGTATTTCGCAGGGTAGCTCCTCTAAGTAGAAGCTGATCGGGCTGGAGAGGCAACTCCTTCTCTCCACCTCCAGCTTGCATGGTGAGCGTGGCCTCGTAAGTATAGAGACTGCTATTCGGCTGTTCCGACTTGAGCTTGCCACCCAACCTACTCAACTCTGTAGGGCTGACAATCTCCGAGGTTTCAGGGATAGCCTGCTTGATCTTGAGATTCGTCTCTCCATCCAAGTTCGCCGTTTCGATGTAGCATAGACCTTCGGGTTCCGAACTGGCAAGCAAGACTAAATCCGCGGGAAAGGACTCCTCAGACTCAATCCGCAGAACATCTCCCACGGCGACATTAACCCACGTAGTATCCTGGAATGATGACCCACGGAGCACCTTTGTTTTAGAGTAGTTCAACTGCTTGTCCGCCGATTTCCTTCTGTAATCCTCCACCAGCTCCTTAATCGCAGAGACGCACAGCACAACTATCAGAGGTCCAATGGTGGTATATTGATTCGTAGGTGAGATGTTCGGGATCTGCTGTAGACCAGCAGTGAATAAGAAGAACAGATTGGCGTATTTGCTGAACTGCTCAAAGAGAAACTTGGGCAAGAAGGTGGCGACGTTGTACTTGGCGGTCGAGACATGGTTGCTGGAGAACTTGTTCGCACTGTTCGCGGGAGGATTGTTCAAGTATATTAACCGTGGTCCAAGAGTCGAAGGGTCTGCTTTCCCTCTACCAAAGCCGAACTTGAAGTTGTCTAGATCAAAGGCCTTGTGCTCTTTCTTCGGCGCTCCCAAACCCGGATCGTCAGCTCTTGCTTGCGCTCCCGGTTCTGTGAGTGGTAGGTCCATCTCTGAATACGCCGGTGCCATGCCCAGCATGGTCTTTGCCTTTCCCACCAGCCCTCCTCCCATACCCAACACACTATTCCTGTTCAGCGGTTTTGACGTCCGCTGGCCAGGTCGTCCGCCCGCCGGTTGCCCCCCATTATAGTACATCGAATCCGTATCATCCGGATATCCATCCCCATCGTCGCCATACCGGTCGTAATTCCCCAGCCCAGACGTCTGGCTGGTGTTCGTCCTCGTTATGTCATTGTTATTATACGGGTCCGAGCCGCCGCGATTGAAGTTTCCTGGCCTTGCGGGTAGATCCCTCATCGAGACTCCCGACGGTGCAGGACTGGATCCAACAAAGTCATCGTATGAAACCGACGGTCGCGGCTGCGTGTCATCGTGGTCCGCGTTATATGCCCGCAGCATGTCCTCATCGTTCATCGTAGGCCGGCTGCCTCCATGGTACGCCGGCTGGTCATAGTCGTTCAGGTCGAGGAGCAGGTCGTCACGGTTGCTGGACGATGCCCCTGGAGTCCGCCCAGCCATGCTGGAGAAGCTATTGGGCGTCGCAGTCAGAGTAAGTGATCTCTCCCAGCCCAGTCATAGATGATGCCGATGCAATGAGCCGTATTATCTCGTCGCACGTCGCAATGTCGTCGCCAGTCGCGAAAGCCACGATGTTCTTGGATATCTCGTATAACACAGCCTCAATAAAGTTTCGGGGGTCAGACACGGTCGGATTCAGGTCCCGTGCTAGCTCAAATCGTGGGTTTTTGCGACAGTGAAGAGGACCTGGAGCTGAAACGCAAGAAATAAGGGTCCTGATGATGCGAGGAAGCGTAAATCTCACAAGTCGAGCTTCTGTAATGGAGTGCAGCTAACCTGACGTTGGTATTCTAACTCTCAAACATCCCCCAAATGATCCCTGTTCGCTTACGTCCCCAATGCATAGTAATCCAACCCGCCGCGCATCCTACAACGACGCGGCCGTGTACAAGCGACCTTTGATTGTTGGATTGGGGGTGGGGAATAGTTTATCCGCGCTGGTGGCGCTGGTGGCGGCTGTCTTGTTTGTGAACTACACGAGACACAAACAACCACAATACTTGCCACAATACCTGCCACCATACAAGACGACGATACGGCGAGGCTCTGGGTACTATATAGGCCTACGAAAGAGCGAGAACAAAAAAGCACAACTAAAAAAGACAAGCAAAGAGCTCAGGAAACAAACCCGCAGCCATGTCGCGCCATCATCCGTAACGTCGCCCCTCTCCCCTTCCCTCAAAACACAAGCTAACATTCATCTCCAGCGATCTCGTAATGTGCCGCAAGCAACCCGGCATCTCCCTCGGCCGCCTCTGTGACAAATGCGACGGCAAGTGCCCCGTCTGCGACGCCTATGTCCGCCCCACAACCCTCGTGCGCATCTGCGACGAGTGCAGCTTCGGCAACTACCAGAACAAGTGCGTCGTGTGCGGTGGGGAGGGAATCAGCGATGCGTTCTACTGCTTTGAGTGCACGCGCCTTGAGAAGGATCGTGATGGGTGTCCGAAGATTATAAATCTGGGGAGTAGTAGGACGGATTTGTTCTTTCAGAAAAAACAGCAGAGGGTGTTTGGGACGAGGGGATGAGGTGTTTGGGAGGACGGTTTACTATGGCTTTCTGGGGCTGGTGGCGTTTGGGGTTAGGTGTCTGATGGTCGCGGATTTGGGATGGGGGGGGGGAGCGAAGGGAGGATAGAGGATGGACGATTCACAGGAACGCTCAACGAAGGGACGAAGATAGTCCAACAGGGGCCTATAGATTCCGCCGCCAAGTCGTGCAGTTTGGTGCGAGACAGGCCACGTGAGCTTTGGCTGTGCACCTCGAACAAGGGCATCTGTGCCATCATGTCTGCCTGAGAGCCGTCAACCATGGACAGAAGACAGGCCAATTCCATGTGCCACAGCAATGAAAACCTTGTATGATATTCCTCTTGTCGCTGCATATTGCTTGATGTCAGGAGGCAGATCCGTGATTATGTAAAAGCCTGGAGGCAAATTCTATCACCTCGCATATAATTGTTTTACAGAAAAGAGTTTCTCTAGGTGACTTTTGTGGTTTTTATAATTACGTATGCAATGTTCCGAAGGGCATTTTAGTAAAATGGTAATGAAATCTATGTATGGACCTTAAGACTTCCTAAGATCGTTTTCCAAAATAAACCTCCGTTATATTATAATTATATAGTAGCATAATACTTGTTATCCCCCAAATTAATACGTTACCCATCCATCTCCTCCCACCCCCTTTCGATAGTGGTATAATACCTCCCCGCTAAAAAGAAACTTCGCTCGCGCCCACGCACCCCCAGATAATAATAAACACGCCTCTCCACCCCCTACTGATCCTCCCCATCCGCAAGATGCCCCCTCAGCAGCGTCTGCACCATCTCCAGCGCCTCCTGATACCTCTCCCCCACGTCCTCCGGCACCACCAGGCTATCAATCTGCGCCCTCAGCATCTCCCCCGCCGCCGTCCTCCCCTCCCTCCCCGCATCAGGAACCACAGGAACAACACCCGCCCTCAACCCCGCCCCCAGATCAGGAACGACGCTAAAAAACCCACCCCCCTCCGCCCCCTCCCTATCGTCCCCCCTCACATGCACCACCTCCCCAAGCACCTCCACCCTCCCCGCCGCCAACCTCCTCCACGCCTCCTCCAGTCTCGCTCCCTCCAACTGTCCCCCCTCCGCAACCCCACTACCCGCATCAGCAGCCGCGTCTAGAAACCCCCCCGCCCCCAATAGCGTCAGCCTAATCTCCGGCCTCAACCTCTCTGCCGCACCAGCAATATCCCTCCTACCCTCCGCCTCCTGCTCAGTCGCTTCATTAAAAGCCAGCCTCGCCCCCCCTGCCATCTCATTCCTCTCCACCTCTCTCGACGGCAGCGCCGCCTCCCCCATCCTCGCCTGCTCCCGCCCCACCCTCTCGAGCTCCACCCTCCTCCTCTCTAGCATCCTCCTCCCATCTACCTCCGCCCTCCTTCTCTGCAGCTCGACCCCCTGCCTCCGTACCTCCGCCGTTCTCCTCTGCAGCTCCGCCCCCAGCCTCTCCATCTCCTCCACCGCCTCATCTACCGCCTGATCTCTCTCCAGCTCCATTTCCGCCATCTGCGCGTCCTCCTGAATCCTCGCCAGCTCTGCCATCCCCCTCCTCACTTCTGCCCTCTGGCTCTCTAGCCGCCCCATCATCCTATCCACCTCCAAATTCCGCCTCTCTATCTCCCCCGCAATACCTCCCGCATCCATAAAAACCCTCGGCACATCCATCACCTGCTCTCCCACCGACACCACCCTCACCCCCATCACCTGGAAAAACACCCTCTGTCCCTCCTGCATCTGCTGCCTTATCACCCCCGTCACGCCCCCCATCGTCACGCCCCCCATCGTCACGCCCCCCCCTGGCCTTATCGCGCTTAGTATCCGCGCCTCCTCTGTAGCCAGGGCGACGGCGCGAGCGGCGGACTGTACCTCCTTTTTCTCGGCGGGCGTGATGGTGATGGGCGGCACGGACATGGCGTTAGCGGCTTTGTTGGCGGCGTGGGCGTTGGCGCGGGCGGCGGCGCGGGTGTATTCGAGGAGGGCTTCAGTTGGGTCGGTGTGATGCTGGTGAGCGTGGTGTGCAAGGACCTGTAAGTGTTAGTGGCGTTGTTCGGTATCTATGCTGGTGCAGATATGGGCAGGATGGGAGGTAAAGAGTAAAAAAAAAAGACTCACCACCTCCCCCTCCAACACCCCAAAGCTCTCTCCAAGCCTAGTCTTCAACCTCCCTAGCGCCCCTCCCCCTCTCCCCTCCCACCTGTCCTGCTCCTGCCTCCCCTTCTTCGCCACCATCCTCTCAAGCAACTCCACCATCTCCCTCGTCGCATCCTCCTTCTGCCTCTCCACCTTCTCCCTCCTCTCCCTACTCACCCGCTCAAACTGCGGCCCCGCCCCCATCATCCTCGCCCGCTCAGCCATCCACGCGTCACGCGCTGCCAACGGAGCCAGTCCCGCCGCCCTCTGTTGTGCAGGATCCTGTATCTCCTCCGGCCCCCTACCCATATCAGCATCCGGCGCCTCCGCTCCTGGGACGTTTTCAATCCCCACGAAACCCGGACCGAAGCCTACAGGCGGGCTTGGTGTCACCATTACGCGTCGCCGCACACTAGCAATAGCGGCGGGGTCTCCCGCAGCAGCCAAACGCTCCATCTCCTCCTGCGCCATCGCCTCCGCCTGCGCCTCGTCCGTCCGTGCACGCTCTTGCGCTATCTGTGCCTCCGTATTAGGTGGGCGTCCCCCAAAGAACCGCAAATCGAAAGCCGCCGCCGGCCCCTCCGCCTCCGGCCGCCTCTCCCTGTTCCTCCCCCCCCGCCTCTCATCCCGGATCGTCTCGCGGCTACGCACGATGAGCGCTTGCAGCGTGGGCAAGTTGGGGTGTGCGGCGGCCGCGCGCCTCTGCCAGCGCTCGCGTTGCTGCGCGTCGCTCTCGCGCTGGCGTAGCTGACGGTTTTCCCGACGCTCTTGACGGCGAATCTCGCGCTGGCGCTGGCGGTCCTCTCGCCGCCATTGCCGCCGATCGAGGCGGTGCTGTTGACGCTGTTGCTCGCGCTCCTGTTGGCTGGTTTCGCTGTCGGTGGTGGAAGAGGAGGAGGCTGAGGCGCGGCCGGGTTCTGTCGCGGTTACGGGGGGGTTGGAGGGGTCGGAGGGTGAGTCGTTGGTGGGATGAGGGGGCGGGGCGGGGGAGTTGTCGAAGTAGAGCCTTTGTATGCTGCGGATGCGTCGCGGTGGTGCGGCAAAGTCGAAGGCGCGGCCTAGGTTAGCCCGGATCGAAGCCTGTAGACCAGCCTCGGGTAAGCGGGTGTTGTTATGAGGAAAGACGCGCTGGGCTGTAGCGTGAAAGGGGGATTGGTTGTTGGCTGGTGCGGCATCGTTGGTCGTGAAAAGGGAGAAGAGGTTTGGTTGGAGGGTGGGGAGGGTGATGTTGGAGGGGTTGGAGAGTAAGGGGGGAGCTGAGCGGTAGGGGGGGTAGGGTCAGTTTGGGGCGGTTGCAGGGCGGTAGGGGGGAATAGAAGAGTGGTGTCAGTTTGGTTTGGTAGCTGGGCGGGCGGGGAGGGGGGATGTCCGTCCAAGGTCGCTGTTGTGGCCCGGGATGAAGGTGCGGCGTGTGGTGAGGGTTGGGGTGGTTGTATGGGTCTGGGAGGGTGGTTAGTGGGCTGGATTCGTTCAAATTTGGAAATGGAGGAGTTACGGGTCTTCTAATCCGGCCACTGGATCTTCCATCGGTTCCGCCATGATTGAATAGAGTCTGTTGCTTATCCTGCTACCACGAGGTTGTCGACGACTTTATGGACCGCCCATGTTATATTTGAGCTGAACCGAGGGAAGGGCGAGGCTGACAATAGGAGCTTGGAGCATGGAAAATAATTGATCCGCTGTAACTAGCGGGATTACCCTTATCTCGCCCCATCCTATCCTTATCAGATGGCCGCCGTCCCAACTTTTCCCAAACCCACCTCCACAACCAGCCTCGCGCCGATATCCCCAGTCCAACTGCCCACAATGGTCTGCGCAAAATGTCAAAAGCTCACGAAGCCTACCTCCCTCGCCACACCGGGCGTCAAGAAGAAGAGCGAGATGTACTACGGCTCTCCCGCCGGCACCAAGACCGCATCTGCTGGCAGCTCCGCGACCTTGGGGCAAACCAGTATTGGCAAGGTAAGCTCCATTCCTCCCCGCCACCCCACCAAGTCCACCTCACTAACACCTCCCCCGCAGTCCAAGCTCCTCTCCGCCTCCGCCAAAAACCCCTACGCCGCCTACGCCGCGAAATGCACCGGCAAAGAATGCGTCACCAAGATCGAGTCGGGGAGGAAATACTGCAATAAATGTGCGTATCGCGCGAATGCGTGCGCGGTGTGTGGGAAGAAGAATGCCCCCGAGAAGAAGGCCGCGCCGGTGATTGCGGGGCAGAAGTTTACGCTTAAGTGAGGAGGGAAGGGGGGAAGGAGATATATTGTATATTTATTGAGGGATGGGGGGGAGGGGAGGGTGGTGGGGAGTGGGAGGAAGTAGGATTGGGCACGCGGGAGGAGGATGCCGCGGTAGAGTGGTAGATGCAGTGGTTGGGTGCCAGAAGGGGCCGAGATATACCTGCATTTATCGCTGCGGCAAAGAGTCGGGGGACAGATCCCTTATATTAATCATCGAGGGTTGTGTCTTGCAAGTCTCAAGGTTGAGCCATCGGCACGGAAAGCCCTCCGCCACGGACCAACTCATCTCGCTGGAACGAAGAGAGTCTGACAACGGACCGTCACGAGTAGCGGAAGGCACATACTCTGTATGACTAGACAGTGTGTATATATATATACATAGAATTCGAAGACAAATCAACATCATATACTACACTCATCTTTCATAATCCAACCATCTCCATTCATTGTTGTCTATGCTATTGAGGCTCTAAGTTTATCTATAAAGTTATGCGCGCGTGCTATTTAATTGTACAGTACAAAGACAGAACCAACCTAGCTACACTGCCAATGCGAATGCCATCGCCCCCAAAAACGCCGTAAGCTTCCCAAGTTGCTCAAAAATCCGCCCTCCCATCATACATAACGCGTTCCCAAAAATCCCACCCCCCTAGATCTCGCTCAATCCACTCCCACCTCTTCTTCACCACGTCTCCGCAATATACTGCCCCGCCTCCTTCTTCAACCTCCAAAACTCCTCCGACTCGGCCCGACTCAAATTCCCCATCTCCATTCCCACCTGCACCAGACTCGACTCCACCCCCTCCCCCATCCCCTTACTAGATCCACACACAAAAATCCTTCCATCAAGCGCATTAATCACAAACCAACACAAATCCTTCTGCGCCACCACCTCCTCCTGCACGTACCTCCCCACCCCCGTCCGAGACTGCACAACCTTCTTCACCTCATCCTCATGCACGCCCCACTCCCCGCTATACAGCTCGTCGAGCAGCGAGTCCCGCACGCCCTGCAGGACCCAGACTTTGTTCGCGCAGTTTGCGCTCTTGAGACGGCGCTGGACGAAGCCCCGGAAGGGGGCGACGCCGACGCCGGCACCGATCAGGAGCATAGGGCCGTCGGAGATGAATTCGCGCGCGAGGGGGTTACTCATTAGACCCTTGAACATGGGGATGCGGAGGTCGGGCTTCTCGCCGCGGGCTTCAGCAGCGAGGAATTTGCGTGCCTGGCGCTCGAAGAATCCCGAGCTCAGGCCCGTGCGGTCGCCGCGCCAGGACTCGGTCTCGTGGACTGTGACGGCGATCTCGATGAGGCGCGAGCATCCCTTGACCGGCACGCAGTTCTCGTGCGGGTCGTTGGAGAGGGAGTAGAAGCGTGGCATTAGCTGTTTGAGGACAGACAGGAGGTGGTCTAGCGGGGGTTTTGCGGAGGGAAAAGCGTGCAAAAGGTGCGCGAGGGTAAGGTGCGGGCCGGTGCGGAGGTCGCAGAACTTGCCCTGGCCTTCAGCGGAGCAGAGGTAGTTCAGGATCTTTTGCTCGTTCGGGGCGGTGGTGTGTTCGGCGAGGACGCGGAGGAGGGATTTGTTGGGGGGGTACGATTGGATGTCTGCGCACCAGGTGAGGAGGTCGCGGCGGGTGGAGACGAGGGAGCGGGGCTTGTCTTCGCCCCAGATGGTGGGCCAGCGGCCGCTGGTGGTCGTGACGAGGACTTTGCGGTCGCGGGCGACGCGGGGGATGGAGAGGAGGTCCATTATCTCTTCGACAATTTCGTCTTCGTTGGGGGCTTGGACGCCGATTGCGCCGCCGACTTTGAAGTCTACGCCTGTCTCGGCGGGGTAGTCGGAGACGTCGAGGTCGAAGTGGAAGGTCCGCTTTTGGGCGCCGGCTCTTGTGAGCTCCCTTGTGTTGAAGATCTTTGCGGAGAAGACCTCGTAGGGAGGATGTGGTTTCACGAACTTGGGTGGGTGTTCGCTGGAAGTCGGTGTGCGGGTGTGTTGTAACTTTTCGTCGATTTTGGCTGTGTGCGGGGTAAAATCGATCGACTGGTCGACGGCTGGGTTGAATGGCTTCTCGTCAGGGTCTGCGCCAACGATGGCGGGAGCCTTGTTATCTTTGACGGGAGAGAGGGAGACTGTCGTTGGGGGCAGCTCGTGGATGACAGTGAGATTCTTCGGTAGCTGGCCCAGGTTCAACTTAAGAGCCCGGAATGCGTCGTTGTCGGGCAGAGGAACATATTCGAATGACTGTGACTCGGCCTCGGGTGCCAACATGCAGCATCCGCCCCCGCAGCATGTCTCGATGAGCCTTGTACCGCTCTCGCCGATTATCCTTCTCGCATCGTCGGCATTCTGCGAGATAAGGACGGTGGATGCTCTGCGCCGGCGTGGCTCTTTCGGGATCTCCTCTTCGTCGGCCGAGGAGTTGGAGGTGAGGGATGGGACTGCGGACCTCGGGGAGGTGTTGTCGACGGATGGCTCCTCTGGGATACAGTGCGAAGTCGTCTTCGTTCGGATAGCCATTGATCGGAGCATGGCTGCGGTTTAGGTTGTGGGTGAGGGGCGAGGGGCGAGGGGCGAGGGGCGAGGAGCGAGGAGCGAGAAGAGATGAGATGACTGTGGCAGAGGACGGCGATATGTCTGTTCGCATCCAAGACTGTGCGTGTAGTAGTTTGCCTGTGATCTACATCTCACTTGGAAGAGTGGTGGAAGGGTGGAAGAGGTGGAAGGGGTGGAAGAGGTGGAAGGGGTGGAAGGGGGGTTGAGGTGCGGATTGAATTTGATTTGATTAGTGGCGTTTTTTTTTAAAAGCAAATCCGGGAGTTCGGGGAGGGGTGCGGGTGCCAAAAATGCAAAAAAACTTTATTTCAAGGTCACGCCGAGGATCGAACTCGGAACCTTTTCGGATATCATATTTAATGATACTTTGTGAGCGAAACGTCATAACCATTAGACCACGCGACCTATTTATATATTAGTTCTGACCTTTAGTTTGATACAAGTGCCGCATTCTGATTTCTAGATGTCTCTGTCCTCCGTGTCTACCTTCATTCATGTCCCTAGACATACTACTTAGCTCAAGTAATCACCACCGACAACCTTCAAACTCTCTGAAATCCCAAGTCCGCAACGACTGCCCCCCTCCGGCGATAGCCCAACTCCAACACCGTAGCCCAACAACCTGTGGATGAGCACGAATGGCAGGACGCTTTGTGCGCGCGTCGAAGTATCGTATGTCCTCCCCCCCGCGCCCAGCCCCCCATCACGCACTCGACGAGCTGACATTCGCCGCAAGGACACGTATTTGGGAAGCCGACAAGGAAGGAATCCACCTACGATAACCTGCACATCAGTCGCAATGCATGGGATACCAATTTGGTCAAGGTATGGCTGCTTCGCCTACGCAATTGAGCTCGAGGGAGTGAATGCTGATAGTGCGTGCGTGTAGGTCAACCCGGAATACCTAGCTGTGAACTGGGAAGCTAGCGGTGGTGGTGCTTTTGCTGTCATTCCGTTGAATGAGAAGGGCCGCTTGCCAGAGCATATTCCGCTGTTCAGAGGACACACTGCGCCTGTGCTTGATACTGACTGGTGAGCAACGCGGGCCCCTTGCTTGCACTACACCTGAGACTCGAGCTGACGCGTGCGCGTAGGAACCCCTTCAACGATCGCATCATTGCATCCGGATCCGACGATGGAAAGGTCTTCATCTGGCAGGTTCCGAACGGATTCTCGCTATACTCGGACGCTGAGGAGCCAGAGGATGTGTCCCCCATCAGCAAGCTCACTGGTCACTCCCGCAAGGTCGGACAAGTCCTATTCAACCCTGCTGCCGAGAACATCCTGGCTTCGGCCTCCGGCGACTACACGATCAAGCTATGGGATATCGAGACGGGCAATTCTCCCTTGACTCTCAAGCATGGCGATATCGTGCAGAGCTTGTCTTGGAGCGCGGACGGTACAATGATGGTTACCACCTCCCGTGACAAGAAGCTTCGGATCTGGGATGTGCGTCAGGAGAGACCGGCACACGAGGTTGCAGGCCACAGCGGTGCGAAGAACAGCAGAGCCGTGTGGATGGGCGAGCACAACCGTATTGCGACGACCGGATTCTCGAAGATGAGTGATAGGCAGATGGCGCTGTGGGATGTTGGCGCACCCCAGGAGCCCATTGGAGGCTTCACAATTCTTGATTCTATTTCTGGAGTCTGCATGCCATTCTGGGGTTTGTTTTGCAGCTCTTTGTTGATTTTTGACGTGTGCTAACGCTTGGTGTTACAGACGATGGAACTCAATGTTTATACCTCGCCGGAAAGGGGTAGGTCACCCCCCCCCAAACGCTTAGTTTTGGAAACCGCTAACAATTTACAGCGACGGCAACATTCGCTACTTCGAGTACGAGAACGACAAATTTGAGTTCCTCTCAGAGTACAAGTCTGGAGATCCTCAACGTGGTTTGGCATTCATGCCGAGACGTGGTATCAATGTGAGTTACGAGATCGATGTTACACACACAGCGCTAATTGTTACAGCTCCATGAAAACGAGGTGATGAGAGCCTACAAGACAGTCGCCGACTCCTACATCGAGCCAATTTCATTCGTCGTCCCACGCCGCGCCGAAGTCTTCCAATCCGACATCTACCCACCTGCAGTCGGCTCGAAGCCCGGCGTGTCTGCCTCCGAGTGGCTATCCGGCAAGAGTGCGCTCCCACCCAAGATCGACCTTGAGAGCGTCTACGAAGGCAACGCACCAAAAGAGGTAGCATCGGACTACAAGCCGCAAACCTCTGCCCCTGCTCCAACCCCAGCTGCAGCCAAGGTCTCCGCACCAGCCAAGAAGGAGCCAGAGCCTACGCCAGTCGCCCAAAGAGCACCCGCTCCAAGTGTCTCCCAGAACAAGTCCTCCATCTCCGAGATGGCATCCAAGTTCCAAGACAACGACGTCGAGGAGGAAGACGACGACGCCTCCAGCTTCGAGGAGATCCCCAAACCCGTCGTGAGACCCCAGCAGGCAACCGCAGCCGCAAAGCCGCAGCCAAAGGCCGCTTCGCCCGTTGCCCGTCAAGCCCCCGCCCAGGCCGCAGCAGCGACTACAAGCGCAGTACCATCCGGTGCCGCGACGACGCCATCCGGATCCCCAGCGTCATCTACCCAGGCATCGTCGTCGGTTGAGAACTCGCTGGATCAGATCAAGAGGCTCCTAGAGCAGCAGACCAAGACTATCACGGCCCAGAGCGAGCAGATCGGTCATCTGGCTTCGGAAGTCGATTTCCTCAAGAAGAAGTTCAGTGGTAGCGAGCAGAACGAGCGCATCAAGCAGCTGGAGCAGGAGCTTGAGGAGGCGAGATCTTAGGATTAGTTATAGCAAGCTGTGCTTCATGCGCCTCAATTGTGTCGCGTTTGTGGATTATTGGTTTTCAGCGGGGCAAGCATGCGGGTGAGAGTGGTAGAAGACGGGAATTGTGATATCGTGGGGAAAGGGGGAGGTTTGTTTCTAGAAACTACAGAGGAATTGAGGGGGGAGGGTGTGGGTGGGGACGTGTCAATTACGATGTTGTTGTTTAACGATGATAAAAAATGAAGCCCCCGTTTGAGAGAGCTCCCATAATCACCTCTGTTGCTGAGTAAAATCCGTAAAAATCCCGCGGAACCACTACCCGCAATAGTGCTGCCCAGTCACGTTACGTCCTCGAGAGGGAAAATCCGCCGTAGTTTCGCCCCGGGATAACGACCTCGTTTTCCTTGGTTAAATTATTTGTTTTACCCAACTACTCGGTGTTCCACCCACTCGCTTCGCTCGTAGGTGGCGACAGCAAGTTGTGCGTGCGACAGCAAGATGTGCGTACACCGCTATTTTGATATATAGAAAAAATAATAGTATTCTTCATAACGTAGTATCTACAATGCCTCAAAATAACGATCCTACTATGATTGCTCGCCTTAATGAGGCCCAACAGTTCTTCTTAAAACAACCAAGTACATATACAATTGCTTGGGTTGCAAATAAATTCAATGTCAACCGTGAGACACTCCGACGTCGTATTACGAGTACTACGTCTCCTCAATTACCCCACGGAGGTAGCAATCGAGTCTTATCTCAATCGCAAGAGACCGCGGTCTGTCAATTCATATACGACCAACTTGAGCGCGGGGTCCCTGCCAACCGATCTATGATACTACGGGCAGTTGCAGACTTACGACCTAATCGTACGATACCATCACAACGGTGGCTACAACGCTTTCTAAAAGCACACCCCGAATTTCATACAATTCACACGAAGACGTTAAATACACATCGGAAGCAAGCACAAAAGAAAGAGGTGTTTGAGGAATTCTTTCTCACATATAACGCCCTTATTACAAAACATAACATTAAGCCATATAATTTATGGAATGTTGATGAGACAGGCTATATGATTGGGTGTTATAAGTCTACGGCTGTTATTGTACCAATCGGTGTAAAGCAGTGGACTGTTGATAATCCTGAGAATCGGCTCTCTGTTACTGTAATTGAGGCAGTAAATGCAAGTGGTGCTGCACTTGCAGAAGCTATCATTATCCCTGGCAAACTTCATATGGATTCATGGTACAATGATGACCTTGAGCCAAATGCTCTCATTATTGTAAATGAGAGCGGGTATTCAAACGACGACATTGCAATCCAATACCTTATGCATTTTATCCAACTATCTGCAGAGCATATGGCACCAGATGATACTCGCCTCTTATTACTTGACGGCCATGACTCTCATAAAACAGAGCGCTTTCTTACATTAGCAGAAGAGCATAACATTGTTATTTGCTGCCTTCCTGGTCATACAACACATCTATTACAACCTCTTGATGTAGCGGTTTTTAAGCAGTGCAAACACTTTCATCAAAAGGCACTTGATCAAGCAGTACGTAGCTACGACTATGAGTATAAGCTACGTACGTTCCTTTCAGACCTCCCGCAAATCCGACGGCAATCTCTAACTGTCCGTACAATTCAATCTGGTTGGAGAAATACAGGACTATATCCATATAATCCTCCACTTGTAATTGACAAGATACAAGAGACTCGGAATCAAACACCTGATTATGAGCCATTTGCTTCATATAATATTATCTCAACACCGAAAACAACTATGCAAAGTGTGCAAGCGGTTGAACATTGGCAGAAGAGAGCAGAGGAAGCTTTCTCATCGCCTTCAAGAGAAGGGTTTCAATCATTTGCACGTGGAACTACAGTTGTTCTACACCGGGCAGAGCTCTATAAGACCGAGCTAGATATTATGACTCTACGTGCAGTAGAGCAGAAGGCAGCAAAGGCAAGGGCACGGAAATCACTACAGAAAGGAGGGCAGTTATATGCATCAGATGCACGGAAAATGCGGGAAGAGAAGAAAGCAAAGTTGCAAGCAAAAGCAGACGCAAGAGCAGCAAGGGAATCGGACCAAGTAGTAAAGCAGCTACAAGCGCAAGCACGTAAAATCGAAATTGAAGAGCGTAAGGTTGAGAGGAAGCGGGTAGCAGAGCGGAAGAAGGAAGGGTTGAAATCAAAAGTGATCATTTTACGGTATAGTAAGGATCAAAGTGATAGTAGCAATAGTGGCAGTAGCGATAGTGATAGTAGTTCTATTGATTTTATGTTTTAATTATATAGTTATATAGTTGATATATAAGGCGTCTTTTTCTTCGTTTTATGTGTCGCACATCTTGCTGTCGCACGCACAACTTGCTGTCGCCACCTACGAGCGAAGCGAGTGGGTGGAACACCGAGTAGTGACTTCGCCGCACTCCCCACATTACTTATGGATGACAAGCCGTGAATACGAATAAGTGGTTCCTATAACTCTCCTAGCGTCTGTTTTTCTATGGGTTCGCGCCGTGATTTAGAATGCTTCCAAAGCGATTGCTCAGCGTTAATCAGCGTTAATCAGCGTTAATCAGCGTCTTGACTCTCTCTACCCCTCTACAGTCTATATAGCTTCGTTTTTTTGCAAGTGGATTATCCAGCAGCTTCGAGTCATTGAAAATAGCTTTGACAATGCCGTCCTCCGCTCTCGGTCTCAAATTCGCCCCGCTATTACGAACTCTCCCCTCTCGCCGCCGTCAACTATATATCTCCCCCTCTTCCACCTCTCTATTCCACTCCTCTCCCATCATCACCAAATCATCAGCCCTCACCACCACCCACAGCCACCGCAACATCTCCACCACCACAGCCAGAATGTCCGCTACACCCTACCTCACCGCTCTCGCGGCCCGCCGCACCATCTACCCCCTCAACAAGAAGTCTCCCATCCCCGACTCGCGCCTCCGCGAGATCATCACCGAGGTCATCAAGCACGTTCCCTCGTCGTTCAACGCGCAGTCTGCCCGCGCTGTCCTCCTCCTCCACGCTGAGCACGATAAGCTCTGGGATATCCACGCTGAGGTCCTGAAGCCTATCGTCCCTGCTGAGGGATGGGCTGCTACCGAGGGGAAGATCAACATGTTCAAGGGCGCCTACGCTACCGTTCGTCTCTCCCCAGCTTCCCATTTTATTATGGGCGCAAACTAACACCCCCCAGATCCTCTTCTTCACCCACGCCCCCACCATCGCCGGCCAACAAAAGGCATACCCCATGTACGCCGAGAAGTTCCCCCACTGGGCCGCCCAATCCTCCGGCGCGCACGAGATCTCCCTCTGGACCGCCTTGGCTGCCGAGGGTCTGGGAGGCAACCTCCAGCACTACAACCCGCTTGTCGACCAGCGCGTCAGGGAGACCTGGGGCGTGTCCGAGGATTGGGTTTTGGATTCTGAGTTGGTTGTTGGTACGCCTGCTGGAGAGGCGGGGGAGAAGATCTTTTTGCCGGTTGAGGGGGAGAGGCTTTTGGTTTTTGGTGAGAAGGCTTAGAGGGGTTGAGAGTTTAGAGAAAAGAAGCGTTATTTTTGCATAGCTTGCGGGTTGGTTAGGGATTTAGATTAGAAGGTTTTTGGTCTGGAATTGACGATTTATGTCTATTTCAAGTTGTGGTTCTCCTTTGAACAAAATGATAGTGAAAATGTGGCCATAGCATTCATTGCTTCACTTCAAAGTGCGACCGAGACGACTGGGATAATTAAGTTTTTTTTTTTTCTATTTTACAGTGCCAAACCTACGTCTAAGCAACTGTGGTCCAAACCATCGCCTCAGTGAGAGGAGTATCGCACACTTTATTTTATATACAACGTCCGCAACAAAAAATCATTGCGCACACGGCCCGCTCGTCTATACTAAAAACGCCGTCCATCAAACCTTCCACCCCTTATTTCTTCACCTCGCCATCTACACCACCCCCCGACTCCGCCCGCTTCTCCTCCTCCGTCTCCTCCTCCTCATGCGCTTCTTCCTCCTCCGCCAAAATCGCCTCTCTCGCAAGATTATCCGCAATAACCTCACTCTCCGTGACATGCCCCCTCCCTTCCCTATTCACACCCACCGCCTCCTCCGTCCCCTCCCCCCCACTCATCTGCCACTCCATCAGCCTCGTAAACGCACTCTCCGGATCCGTAGCAAGCTCCTTATACGTCCCCATCTCTGCGACCTTGCCATCATTCCCCAGCACAATAATGCGATCACTGCGCTTAATAGTGCTCAAGCGATGCGCAATCGAGATGGTGGTGTTATGCCCCCTCAACAGCGCCGCCAGCGCCGAGTTAACCAGCGTCTCGCTCTCCGCATCCAGCGCGCTCGTCGCCTCGTCCAGAATCAGGATATCCGGATCCTTGAGCAGCGCGCGCGCGATCGCGATGCGCTGCTTCTGCCCGCCGCTCAGCTGGGCGCCGCGCGCACCGACCTGCGTATCGAGACCCTCGGGGAAGTCTTCGATGAATTGGCAGTTGGCTTTGCGGGCGGCGGCGATGATTTCGCTGCGGCTGGCGTTGGGGCGGCCGTAGGCGATGTTCTCGGCGACGGAGCCGGACATGAGGACGGGTTCTTGGCCGACCATGCCGATGCGTCGGCGGAGGGATTTGCCGTTCATGGTGGAGATGTCGATGCCGTTGATGAAGACTTGGCCGGAGGTGGGGTTGTAGAAGCGCAGGAGGAGGGAGCCGATGGTCGATTTGCCGCCGCCGGAGGGGCCGACGATGGCGACGTTCGAGCCGGAGGGGATGGTGAAGTCTAGGCCGGAGAAGATGTCGACTGCAGGTCTAGTTGGGTAGGCGAAGTGGACGTCTTTGAATGTGATTGGGCCTTGGGCTGACTTGACAGGCTGGCCAACAGTGGCGTGGATGGTTGGCTTGCGGTCCTGAAGTTCAAACAGACGGGATGCTGCACCAACGCCCTTCATTAACTCGGAGTAGAAGGAAGACAATCCAAATAGTGAAGAACCGGCGTAGGCTGTGTACATAAGGAAGGATGTTAGGTCGCCGATACTAATCGCTCCGCTCTTAACCATTGCACCACCAGAGTAGAGTAGGGCCAAGATAGTCATATTTCCCATGAATCCCGTTGAACTGAAGAAAGTCGCACTGATAATAGCTTCTTTCTTTCCCAGAGCAAAGATTTTCTTGATCTGCTTATTATACCGGGACACCTCCTGGATTTCACCCGCAAAAGCCTGGCTGGTTCGCACGTTCCCCAAGCGCTCTTCAGCGATCTTGGTTAACGTGCCTAGGTTTCGCTGGATCTTGCGGCTGAGATTTCGGATCATTCGGCCATAGAAGAAGGCGCCGATGGCGACAGGCGGGAACATGAGACACAAAATGCTAGTGAGTTTGATGCTGACCCAAGCCATAGCTGCGATTCCGGCACCACCACTGACAAACGCACGAAGACCGTCAGAAAGGTTCTGGGTGATACTCTTTCCAACGATGACGGTGTCGGAGCTCAGTCTCGATATGAGGTCACCAACGCGGTTCGCATCGAAGAACTCGGCATTCTGGACATATGTGCGTCTGTACAATTGACTTCTTAGGCGCGAGACAATTCTTTCACCCACAATTCGTAGAATAATGATACGTCCATAGTTAGCCGCAGCTCCCAGGGTCAGCACGCAACCAAGCGCAATGTAGAACTGCTTCAAGTCCAGGCCAAAGAGCTTTCCCTCGCCGCTCTCATTTGTCGCCAAATCAAGGATTTTTCCGATCGAGAATGGAATCGACATGGTAATCGTGCTCGATATGAGCAGGAAGACGAATGCGAGTCCCAGCCATCTGGCCTCGGGCCGCGCAATCTTAATCAACCGCCATATCTCGCCGAAGCCGGCAGTGTTCTTGACCCCTTTCGTGTCACCCAGTCGTGCGGAGAGGTTCACTTGTGCCGCGCGAGATGCCTTCTCACTGCGACCAAAGCCGCGCTCGGCTTCCAAGTCTTCTTCCTCTTCCTCTTCTCGCCGGGCTTGCTCCTTCCAGTCTTCCTTCTTAGGAGGTGTCGGTGCCGGCTCTGTCTTTTGTACCTCCTTCCGTTGCGGAGTTGTGGAAAGCGCTCGCAGCTGAGTCGCCGGCGACGGCCAAGTCGGTTTAATAGTCGTCCATGACGATACTAATTTCAGGTTCGCAGTGTTCAGCTTCGGTTGTGTAACTGGCAGTCTCGCCTTCGGCAAAGACGCTGTGGTCAGCTGCCTCAATGCAGCTTTATATATCGGCGACGTCTGCCTCAGAGGTCCCTGAGCATGCTGCGTAGCCGGAGCCTGTCTCGTAATAACGTTGTCCAACAAGGCCCCCAGTGCCTTCCTTCGCGGCACAAGTGAGCCGCGCATCGCGCGAACCCTAACTACCAAAACAGCTTCCGAAAAGGAAAATGATATCAGAACCGGTTGAGTAGCAATAATTGACGTCGTCTAAGTCTCATTGTCGCGATTCATGGCCAGCGTAAATGTGCGATGCTTCCGGTGAAGCTCAACATTTCTCATCGAAGACTGACTCCAACATAGGGTCCATGATGCCGGCGCCGGGCGCTAACGGAGCTCGGCCTTTGTTCATCCCGCAAACGAGCTCGAAAATTGGTAAGCACGTGCGACTCATGCTTTCCCCAGGGCAATATGTTGGAGAGGGGTCCAACAATTGTCGTGAGGAAAGATGAGGGAGGTGATTATAGCAGTATTTTAGATCTTAATAACAGATTGCTAGATGGTTACTTACATATATGGCACTTAGGGTCGTTTTACGTTATGTTACAAAAATAAAATAATCTCGATTAAGTTAATTAATGGTTTGTGTTTATTTATCATTGATTTCTTGGATCATTATTCTTCCAAAACCATAGAATTCCACCTTGAAGAAGAGAATGTAAACTATCCAATCGTTAAATCGGGACGAATTATAATTTAACAAAAATCATGATCTGGCCCGCTCCTCCCACTCCATTCACCCATCAAATCACAAAAAATCTCCAATCATTATTCCTCAACGTAGGTTTCCAAAAACCTAGATCCCATCTAACATATATCTAAAACTTATCTCAAGATATCAACAATCTGCGGCTCCTACAAAAGCAGGGCAACAGCAGCAACACCCATCAACAGGCTCACGCTAGCTCCAATCCTGTCTGCAGAGCTACCGAAAGCCGGGCCGGTAGGCTGAACTGGAGTAACTGGCTTCGTAGGCTGCACTGGAGTAACTGGCTTGGTAGGTTGCACAGGGGCGGATGACTTGGTTGGGTTTGCAGGTCCTCCTGTACCAGCGGGTCCGGTAGGGCCAGCGGTCCCGGTCCCGTTGCCATTTCCGTATGGGGGAATCACAGAAGGAAGACCGGAGTAGGTTGGTAGGGAACCAACGGGGCAGACGGTGGTCGAAACTGGGTATACGGAGGTCACAACAACGGTGGATGAAGCGGGGCAGTCGGTGACAGTTTGGGGGCACTTGGTAACCGTCACGACGTTGGTGGCATACACAGTCGAGGTGGTGTATTCATCAGACTCAGGGGTAGTGGTAGGGACAGGCGTGTAGGTTGGGTTGCCAGGACACCGCGTCGTCAAGCTTGTGATTACCTCTGTCGTGACGTGGCCAAGCGGGCAGTTTGTCACAGTTGGCGCGCAACTAGTGACGGTATACACAGAGGTAGTGACGACGGTGGAAGTGAGAGTAGGATACGAGGTTGGGGCGGTCATGGAAGAGTTGCTGTATGTATTCGGCGACAGAGTGCTGACAGGAGGTGTGGGGATAACATCGCCGGTGTTCGAGGTGGCGGCTTCGGTCGAAGTTGAAGCCTTGGTCGAAGTTGGAGCGTCGGTCGAAGTTGAGGTTGAAGCCATGGTCGAAGTTGGAGCGTCGGTCGCGGTCGAAGCCGAAGAATAAGCCTTGGTCGAGGTTGAAGCCTTGGTCGAAGTTGAAGCATCGGTCGAAGTTGGAGCGTCGGTCGAAGTCGAAGTTGAAGCCTTGGTCGAGGTTGAAGCCATGATCGAAGTTGGAGCGTCGGTCGAAGTCGAAGTTGAAGCCTTGGTCGAGGTTGAAGCCATGGTCGAAGTTGAAGCGTCGGTCGAAGTTGGAGCGTCGGTCGCGGTCGAAGCCGAAGAACAAGCCTTGGTCGAGGTTGAAGCCATGGTCGAAGTTGGAGCGTCGGTCGAAGTCGAAGTTGAAGAACAAGCCTTGGTCGAGGTTGAAGCCTTGGTCGAAGTTAAAGCGTCGGTCGAAGTTGGAGCGTCGGTCGAAGTCGAAGTTGAAGCCGTGGTCGAGGTTGAAGCCTTGGTCGAAGTTGAAGCATCGGTCGAAGTTGGAGCGTCGGTCGCGGTCGAAGCCGAAGAACAAGCCTTGGTCGAAGTTGAAGCATCGGTCGAAGTTGGAGCGTCGGTCGAAGTCGAAGTTGAAGCCTTGGTCGAGGTTGAAGCCATGATCGAAGTTGAAGCATCGGTCGGAGTTGGAGCGTCGGTCGAAGTTGGAGCGTCGGTCGAAGTCAAAGTTGAAGCCTTGGTCGAGGTTGAAGCCATGGTCGAAGTTGAAGCGTCGGTCGAAGTCGAAGTTGAAGCCGTGGTCGAGGTTGAAGCCTTGGTCGAAGTTGAAGCATCGGTCGAAGTTGGAGCGTCGGTCGAAGTCGAAGTTGAAGCCGTGGTCGAGGTTGAAGCCTGTGTGCTGCTAGGAACCGATTCTGGGCCGACTTGGTAAACCTTGATGCTATTGATAAGCCAATATGCGTTCTTATATTTGCTCGGGTTTGAGGCCACGTAGGATGCACAGCTGGCGTATTTGGTTTTGTTGGACTTGTAGCACGTAGTCGCTTGCCAGAAGACATCCTGGCCAGCATAATCACCACAGAAGGTCGTGTCGATGATCAGGTTGTGGTTCTTGAACAGGTTCTTAACATCGCAAGAGCCTCCGACGGTGGTGAGAGTCGCCTTGCGCCATTTGGTCGGGTCTGGGTTTGCGCTCAATGCGTTGATACCATCGGCACTGAGGTGAGGGAAGTTCCAGATCTTGATAGTCGTTCCGGTCCATTCCTATAATAACTGTCAGTAGGAATCGGGAACCGATGCCTGTCTGTACTTACCAGCGCGTAGATCCCACCTAAAACGGAGTTGAAGCTGTCGCCATAGTTGTTGGCGGAGTTGGTACTATCAACAGAGCAACCTTGGTTCTCCCACTGCGTCACATGGTCTGCGTAGTAGTTGGAGCAGTGCGAAGTAACCAAGCTCCCTCCCTGAGCAGCCTTGGAAAGGGTGCAGTCCTGGGTCCCTGTGTGCAGGGTGACGGCATTCTGCTGGGCCTCGCTGATATTCTCGATGATATCAATCTCACCATCATTTGGCCAGTTTTGCTGTCCGGAAGTCCAGAATGCCGGCCACACACCACAGACGGATGAGGGCATGTGGGCAATATCGGCGATGAAGAGGCCTCCATTATAGAGCTTCTTGCTTTCCACACGAACACTAGCCCTGCCGCGCTTGTTCAGGTCCGTAAGAATAGTCGTCGAGTCAACTCCCAGGTATGCTTGTCCAAGTATGTTGACACTGATCAACCCTTGGCTCTTGGCAACAGCCTGCGTCTTGAAGTCGACGAATCCATGGGTCGGGTCAACATCCTATCAATTTTCAGCATTGCAGGATACACGGCACCAACAATACATACGGCATTGAAGTTGAAGTGATCAAAGAAAGTCTGTCCCTGGTATACATCTGCAACCTTGTACTTGGTTGGTACAGCGACAGCTGCCGCTGCGGCCGATGATGTGAATGCAGCCATGGCGACGGCGCCGGCCTTCACAAAGACTGATGAAGGAGCCATAATATAAATCAAATTTCAAAACAAGAAGCGTAACGACTGTGGTATCGATGAATCGATAAAGGAGAGTTGACAAGCAGATCCCAAAAAGAGTGATGGGCGTTGAAGTCAAGCTTTGAGAGAGAAGGGGCAGGCACACTATATGAGAGAACTCACTCTTCAGCCCCGGATCATGAATATGGACTGGGGCATTTGTGCCTATCGTCGTTCTGCATGGGCATGAATCCTTCAGGACGGAGTATGTCCGCCGTATCTTCAATCATTGGCCCCCATGGTACACACCAAGACCATGCGCTCTCTTTTCTCTCGTACCTGGGACCGCGTGGGATGGGGAACAGGTAAAGAAAAACGGGTAGTGTGGATTTTGAGGCTTGCTACGCCGCGAATGTGCATGAGGCAGGGTCCATCTGTAAGCCGGATTGGCTTACAGATCGGTCTAGAATAGACATATACGACGAATTGTCATATAGCCTCGACTCAGACTGGTGTTGGATATCCTGCAAGGATATGGCGTGGACCGAACGTATATTGGGAATTATCGCTGCCACTCACAAGCCTCCAACATGCATATGGTGGCTGGGCTCGGGTCCGGATACGGAAATTAGCCAATAATGAGGTTATTAAATGCAGGTACCTTCCATACTAACGATTAGAACAAGCTCCTGGGCGTCTTCCCGTCTCGCACCACATGGAGAGGTCAGAGATCACTTAAGATCAGCGCACTCTGATCGAAGGCTCTCTATTTAAACTGTACCCTAAAGACGTAGAGAGTAACACGTTTGTAGATCCAAAGACAGACCGAACAGACGTACGTCGAGACGCGGGGAACTGCAAAGTTCAAGCACCACCCATATACGATCAAAAGTATGAGTAAAGAGGCAAAAGAAAGCTTTATTGAAATATAACCGGGCTGTCATCCAGTAGTGCCCAGTCCTTGCCGCTGAGTGTAGGGCTGCCTAATTATACACAATCCTGTTCCTTTGGTTGAGGAAAGGAGAGGTCGCTTGGCTCTCCTTCTGCCCTTGGTCAGTTTTGCAGTGTCAATGGTTGTATCACGTGATAACACCTCAACAAACAGAGCAAACTACCCGTAGACGTCCGTATCTCATGGAAGGTTCGACAACATTGCCATACAAATTACTGGGCGTGTTATATGCTCCAACACACATAAACACCTTCAAAGGTTTTACTAAAACTACTCTGAAGACCTTGAATACTTCAAGATGCCTTTGGATTATAGTAAATGGGTATGTACCTAACTCCTATCTAAATCCGAAGCTCTATTCTCTACCCCACCAACCCCGCGTTGGCCAAAGCTGACCACCTCAGGATGCCCTCGAGCTGAGTGACGACTCGGACATCGAAGTTCACCCAAACGTGGACAAACGCTCCTTTATCCGTGCGAAGCAGAATCAAATCCACCAAGAACGTGATCACCGCAAGCTCCAAATCGCCACATTTAAATATGAGCGCATCATCAATGACGGTTTCCTCAAACGCATTGAGGGGCTCCTCAAGGCTTTAGAATCCCACAAGTCTGAGGCCGAATCTCGCAGTGCCGATGAAATTATATTCCAATCTCTTATGGAATCAGCAGATCCAGACTATGATCAGCCTCCCGCAAGACCACAGGGTGTCCATACGGATGAGAAGGAGCTGCCTTCATACTCCAAGATGATCGCCACCCTCATCGACCAGGTTAAAGCCACAGTCGCCGAAAAGAAAGTGACCGACTCCGAGAAGCTACTCGCGTACCTAGAGGAAGTGAAGCAGCACAAAGCAAAAGTGGACGACCTGCAGCGCCAACTCAATGAGAAACTCACGGAGCTCGAGCTCACCGATAGAAACAAAATTACCAGCGAAAGCATACACACTGGCTTCGACTCCTCTTCCGTTAACAAATCCAACCCTCCTCCACCCCCCTCAACAGCAAAGCCCTCTGCTGCGAAACCAAAAGGCAAGGCAGTTGAAGTCCTGAACCCACAAGCCCTTGACAAGACAACCAACCGAGATTCCGGCGCAGACGCCGACGTCGACGAGCCTATAACAGCAGCGCCAGGTGACTCCTCCGACGATGAAGATCACCACGCCACTGAAATAGGCAAGAAATTCGCAAGAATCAAGATGGGTGACTACCGCGCCTGCGTCAACTTCATTGGCGAACATCCAGAGGTGATTGCCGAGCGCGAGACCGATGGCCTCCTAATCATGGCGTTCGACGCCGAGCTTGCCGGCAAATCCAGCGTGGCGCAACAGTGTGTCCACCAGGCGCTACTCTTGCAATATTGCAGGACGCTCGGATGCGACGGTGTCGGCTTGTTCTTCAAGCGCATCACGACGCCCGGGCACCAAGCACAGAAGGTCTTCACGGACGACGTAAAGGATACGTACCTGCGCATCCACAAGCGCGCGAAGGAGATCCTAAAGGAGCGCGAGAAGGAAGAGGAGGCTGGAGGAGTGGAGCAGATCCAGCTGCATGCTGTGGAGCCTGGGACCGAGATCAAGATCTTCGTACCGCCGAAGGAGCTGCTTGAGTCAGCGGACGAGGAGGAGCGGAGGAGCCGCGAGATCTTTGAGGCCTTCCCACCTGGACTGCAGCGTGCGCTGGAGAGCGCGAGTCTCGATGAGGTCAATAAGGTGCTGGGGAAGATGAGTGTGGATGAAGCTGAGGAGGTGGTGGGGCAGCTGAGTGAGGGGGGGATGTTGAGTTTGGGGGAGCAGATTATTGATACCACGACGGCGGAGGGGCAGGCCGAGTTGAAGAGGCTGGAGGAGGAGGAGAAGGAGTCGAAAGAGGAGAGGGAAAAGTTGGACAAGTATGCTGGGGACCCGGAGTGAATAGAATGAACCAGGGATTGTTGCGTGGGATGACGACGAGTAGTCACTCGCTCTCAAGAACGCATCTAGTACCTTAAAATAATGTATTTACATACCTATATTATTTACCACTACTCGTCTTGTAAGTCGCAAAGAGATTCGTTGGAGCAGCTCGTTTAAATTATCTACGGATGCTGTCACGATAGTTGCAACATTAAAAGTTAAGTTGACTTGTTCTGTTCCTATCTGCCCAAGCAGCTTATATCATACACAAACTTTACAAATAGCCAGCGGCCTCTTCTCCATCTAGTTGCACCGCCTGCAAGCCTCATACTATTCCGCCGAAAATAATATTGATCACACTTCCAAATGGCTCAAACCATTTCATTGAACATCAGGACGCCCATACTGTCTATTTCGGCCGGCCTTTGCCCCAGACATTGGCATCTAATATGGACCCGTCGAATCCTTCCTCAGAATCTCCGCCACATCATCATCAATCCCGTCCATGTCATCACCGCCCATTTCAGGGAAATCATAAGCCAGATTCATTTTTCGCCTCTTATTCGCGCTCTCACCGTTTTCGTGCCCATTAGTTGCCGAGAGCTGGCCGTAGGGGCCGGCGGAGAGGCTAGCTAGAAGGTCCGAGCCGGGAGCCGAGGAAAATGATTGGGTGGCTGTTTCCACTGATGGCTGGCTTACGTCGGCTTGTGCCTCAGGGGCAGGAGGTGGGCTCGATGGCTCGCCGGGAGGGGGGGTCAAAGCTTCCACTTCGGGCCTGTCAACTTCTGGGGCTGGCGTGGTTGGTGTGTGTGATTGCCCAGGAGTTACATCAGTGGGCGTAGCAGGGTTGCTGCCTGTACCGAAGCCCTTCATTATGACATCTTCAACTTCGCGCTTCCTGGAATCGATTTCTGTGCGCTGAGCTGAGAGGTCGGCGAGCTGCTCCTGCTCCTTCGAGAGGACGCTGCGGTTCGTATTGAGGATTTTCTCGAGGCCATCGATGAGGAGGGTGCGCGCTTTAATGCTTTCGGCCACAGCCCCCTCTGCGTTGGCGAGGGTCTTGAGGAGACCGTTTAGGCGTGCAGCGTGGACCGGAGCAGAGGGAGGAACAGAAGTTGGGTCGGTGAGCTTTTCGTAGTCGATGGTAGCAGCATTGACGGCGGTTTTCATAGGAGCTGCAAGCTTCGTGAGGGCTTGTTGCGGAGCGACGAGGGGAACGAGCTCCGTTGGGACGGAGGCGCCACCTTTGGAGAATATACCGCCATCGCCAAAGCCTCGTTTGCCAGACGACTTGTTTTTATCAAGTTCATCAATACGAGACTCTATGGAGTCTTGTATTGGTGTCTCAAATATCTGTCGCTGCCTCCAGACTTCGACGACGCGCCTCAGTTTTTGTTGGACGTCGTTCGTGGCTCCTTTGTAGGCAGTTGCTGTTGCTTCTGCGATGACCGGCGAGAATGCAATCAGGAAGTCGTCCTTCTTGCGGGCTTTCGATTGTTGTGCCACCTCTGTGTGAATAGTTAGCACGGTCCCTACGATCTCGGCGATTTCAACATGATGATTGCTGGGGGATACAACATACCATTGGCGAGGTAAACCAAGTTCAACCTCTTATTGCTATTGGAGTCCTTAAGGCGTTGGAGCCAGAGCTGGCCCGTCCTATCTGCATGCCTCCTGTTTGCGAGGGTTAGCAACTGCATACTGCCGCTGAGGGATTCATTGCGTTTCGTACCTGTGGAACATCACCCATTGGGCGACAGTGACAATGCTTTCTTGAGTCTCATTGAGAGCAGAAAGCTTCGCAAGGACGGCATCATCAGTGTAGGCCATGATTCGCAGCTTTGGCAGATACAAGTTGATTAAATTTCGCAATATATAGATCCGCGATGGGTTTCTTGGTTTGTTGATTCCGACTACAAAGCTTTGCGTCGAACGGCGATGTTTGTAGTAGTTATGGCAATTATCTCAGCAATCAAGCAATATTGTTATGGTGCTCTTCAAAGAGAGGACTTGTAGAGAAGGCAATATAAGGGAGATGTTCCACTACATGTAGGCATGAGGAGTTGCATATGAGAGTTGTCGCATATACGTGGTGATAGCTAAAGCTGATACTGTAGCTGCAGCGCTGTGGGGCTTTAGGTGAGGGCGTCCCGGGTAGTTCCGTGGGGTCGACCTCCAGGTCCCAACTTCATGGTCCTGGAGACCAAGCGTCGCATCTGACCCTATAATTAACGATCAACAAACCATCCTCAATCCTGTCATAACAATAAATACAATATGGCGGATAGATTTCCTTCCCTCGAGGAGTTTGACTCCGGAGGTAAGCACTTTCTTAAGGTGATCTCATTCTGGCTTATCTGACAACACAGTAGCCCAAACCGAGCGCAAAGGAGAGGCCAACTTCGATGTCAGCTCCCCAGCCGGCGACGACTTCCTCTCCCGTGAGAGGGCAGTTCTAGGAGAAGATGCCACTCAATTCGCCTCGAAGAACGACAAGGCCGCTTTCGTAGATGATGATGACGAAGACGATCTGCTTGGTGGAGGCAACAACGGTGGAGAGGAGGTGACTGAGTTCCAGAACAACTATCCTGACGTCAATACTGCCGATAATGTCCGCATCTCAAAAACCTTTGTCGCCTTGACAAATTATACTGACAAATCACAGTTCGGTCCCACTGGTGGCGCCATAACTTCGAGCAACTACCCTCAAGACAACGAGCCAGAGCCAGAAGTTGTCCGTGAATGGCGCGAGCGCAGGGACCTTGCTTTACAAGATCGCGAAGAGAAGTCGAAGCAAAAGAAGACAGAGACCATCAAGGACGCGCAGCAGAACATTGACGATTTCTACGATAACTACAACCAAAAGAAGGAGAAGACTGTTGCCCAAACGCGCCGCGAAGCCGAGGAGTTCCTTGCGAACAGAGAGGACACCAGCGCCGGAGGCACCAGCTGGGAGCGCATTGCGAAGCTTGTGGATCTCAGCGGAAAGGGTACCAAGGGAGGCGCCAGCGGAACTGGAAAGGAGAAGTTCAGGGAGCTGCTACTAAACTTGAAGAAGGATGAGAAAGCTCCAGGTGCAAGTGGACTTTAAGTGCTGCGTCTTTGGGCTTGTAAATTATATTGCGTTAAGGGTATTTGAGACGGAGCCAGATCTCACTCCCTGAAACTGGCTGGCGTTAGGAGAATAATAAACCGTCACACACTACCATAGTTAATTCCCTTTGCCAAAAAGTGTGATATTTACCCCACAACTGTCACTGTTTGAGCCTGGTGCCTTGTTGCATTTGTGTAATATGTGGTTGGTTCGATCGATCTAACACTATAAAATGCAACCTGACATTTGGTTCACCTAAATACCAACAGCGGAACTCTACATTTCAGTCAAATAGCCATCTTAACGATAGTTCATCGGCATACGGGACATAAAGACAGGAATATCCTCGGATGCTCATTCTGATGGGGATGCACATGTTTCTCGATACAAATGAGATGTAATGAGATTGCGGCGACCTGTTCAATGTCTTCTATCTTCATGTACAGTACAATAATCGTCCAGATGCCGCCATCGGTGGTATGCCCAGTCCCCGTCTACCCATTGGCCCATCACCTCCTAGTTCTTGCCAAACCACGTCTTGTGTCCGAGAACCATGCGGCTCATCATGTACATCGACCCTATATTGTACGTCAGGAAAGGCTCGGATCTTCGATTGCTGCGCCACGGAATTGGATAAAAGCTTACCAGCCAAGCCACCGAAGAGGATGGTGTAGTATGGGTAGAGAAGGATCTTGCTTCTTGCGGTCTGTATGACGAATTAGTTCCAAGTTCAAATATTTGTCTTTGCTGCCGAGCAAACGGGTGGCGGAAGACGTGGGCAGCATCATACCTGGTTCCATTGGCGGACACCATTCTTTTGGCCCTCCTGGAACAGGCGCTGGTAGTAAGGGACGCGATTCTCACGGTTGACGAAGCTGTCGGCAAAGATTGATTAGCATTCTATTCGGATAGTTCTGGACCGGGTGCGGAGCCATTGGAAGGCCAACGTGGTGCTTGAGGGCTGCAGGTTTGCGCATAGTGTGTACACAACTTTTGACTTACCCTGCCATTGTGTCTTGTTGTGAATTGAAGCGCTGAAGAGAGATTGAGTTGTTGCAATGCGATGCGTGGGCTGATGAGTAGTGAAGTTCCGAGGACATCGGAGGACCTAGGTTGGGATGACTAAGCGGGATTTGCTTGGCGATCAAATACATACATACCAATACATACATAAATTCTTGGTGACTAGGGTAGCAGTATGATAGCTCCAGAGAAACACAGTGGCGATGGCATCTGTAATGCTATATCATGCTACTAGGCTAACGGTTATGAAATAGTATGCGCCCAGCGCTTCAAAGGCTTCTTTCAAGGCCTTCGTCGCTGGATTTATTGCGGCTCATCGTCGATGGCCCGCCGTGCATGAAAAGTCAATCGCTGAGGCCACGACGAACCTCAACTTACAGCTCGACATCGAAAGCCAAACCTTTAAATAAACTATCTGTAATGCCCTTGGATAGTAGCGATGCCCGACTGGAAATATCGAATAGGAAAGGAGAGAGGCCGTACACATCTTGTACTCGCCAGAAGGATGGACAGTTACCCAGTATCCAACCTGAAGTCCAAAACAATACTTTTACCAAGCGGGGTATAAACGAAGCCGAACCTATACCAAAACTGTCCGATTTAGACTTGAAATCCGTTGTTGACGAGCTGAAGAAACGTCAATTGAACACTTCAACCGCAAGGTCTTCCGGAAATGCGGTTGGGCAAGAGAGCACGGAGCGGCTGTGGACTTATGTGGAGTGCGGACTGCATCAGGCTGGCAATGAAGCCGTGCGAGATATATGGGAGCATATCAGGTCGCCAGGCCTGCATCTACCTGTGCAGGGCCCGTCCGCAATGAGCAAAGGCGGCCTGGCGGACAATATCTGGGTGCCTATCGTCGAACTTGGGTTTAAAGAACCCGAAACATTGAGCAGTATATGTCAATATGCCAATGAAATGTACGACACGTCTGGGGCACGGTGGTTAAAGCTTTACTTTTATGTTATTCAACATATGCTTCTAAATCATCGTGGCTCGGAGGCCGTTCACTGGCACGAAAAATTGTCGCGTCGTCACCGCCCTGGACCAGCGACCTTCCAGCGTCTGATGCGAAATGTCATTATTTCCAAGGAGGGAGACCACAAGGCCCTGAAAAAGATTTATATTCGGAATCCATACCAGTCAATATACTCGAAAATCGTCCCTATTTTGCTTCAGAATCAAGAATTTGATAAAGCTTTCGATTGGCACATGTTTCTACAGCACCATCGCGATTTACCTCTCAATGCGGACGTTGTTCAGCCGCTAATACAATATTTTTCTATATTCGACCCAAAGACGGCAAAGGGGATCTCAAGTGGCCTCACAGTTTCTGGTAGTAGCTTGGCTCCCGGAACAACGACAGAAGGAGACGAGGATAAGTCCAACTCTCGAGAGGACGTGCTGAGCATAATGAGTGGCGAGGCCCCGGGCTCTGTAATAAAGGGATCGCAAGCCGACCTGTGGGTTGCCCGTTGGTTTGCAACGAAATGGGTGACGTTAGACATCGCCATCAATACCGCACACGCTCTTAAAGTCGAATATATTGGACCACTTGCACTGCAGGCGATTGCACTCCGTGAGCCAGTAGCTGCAGATATCACAAGCAGAATAGGCCAGCTGGAACAGCGCGGTATCGGTGTTGGCCAATCGACATATTCAAAGGCGCTGACATCATTCGCAAAGCGAGGCCAGCAAGGCCTTTTGGAAGCCCTATTAGAAAGTGACCAGCACCCACTGTCTTTCGATGACCGAGTTCTGCAGGAAAAATTGTTGACGGCCTATGCAAAGGCCGGCTATTGGCGTCAACACCAACTTATCTTGGCTGTGCAACTTGCCAGTGCCATTGATCCGGTGATGGAACAATACAACATGCAGCTCCGTAACCATGCAACACAGCGGGACCAAGCTGCAATAGTCAAGGTGCTGGAAACCATGCGCATGAACCGAATCGCAGTAGAAATTGCAACAATACGCTTTATCCTCCGAGCTATACTTCGTCCCCGAACCCGTGGCCATGGGCCAGACAACTCAGTACCCGGATATGTGGAACAGGATATTGGCCTGGCCATCTCAATTCTGAAGAACATTATGGAGTACAATAGATTCGTCCCTATAACGGTATGGCGCGAGGTGACACGGAGACTGGGCATGTTGGGTCGAATGAATGACCTCCATGGCCTCAGCCTGTGGCTCGTCGACCAGTACGGCCCCGACAATAATGGACACACGCGGATATTAGGTACCAGCCCGACACTTCCTGCCCGTCAGCCTCAGCTCTCAACCGGCCACCCACTGCATCCTCTTCGCCTATTATTCTCGGACGTTAGGCAGCGCTCAATTGTGGAATGGGGCTTCATCTGGGGCCTGATGTCCTATGCAACGTCAGTGGATTCTAGTCCTGGAATCATAGCGGCAACTACTGCCGAAGAACAGAAGAACCTTGCTTTGGAGCAGATGACACAAGGAATCCGTTTCGTGAAAGAGCTGCAGAAACGTGGTGTTTACATCAAAGAAAGTAGTGTCCGCCGTGCGGTACGGGTGCGTCTTGTTATCCTGTATGGCCGCAAAGAATCTGTCCAGCAGCATAATCGCAAGTGGCGCTCCTACAATCCGTTGAGCCTTGAGGAAGTCGTGAAAGGGGCAGAAGTAGCCTGGGGTAATCCGCTATTCCCGAGTGTCGAGGCTGTACGCCTTCTGATTGAGAATGGCGGGAAGCAAGCAAAACCTCCACCGCGGGCGCGGGGACCTGTGACAGGCATTGCTGGCAGTTCTGTAAATGTAGATTTAGATGTTGGCAGGAGATATGGTAGACAGGCAGTTTAATGATACCCCTTTTTAATATCCTACACTATACATTCTGATATATGCTGGTTCATGTGCTTCATAACTAGAATTTGCGGTGGATTTCACATGGCAGAAACAAACGTCAATGCAACAGGTCATTGCAATCACTCAGGGAAATCTCTAGCAACAGGTGAAATGCCTGTTTGCAGGTTTTCAAGGTATCAATAACTGTAGCTTGCATGTCTTCCGCCTGTTATGCCGTGCTATTTATCGCAAGATCAGGTAAAACGACCACCAACGAGCAGCAACAACCAAACAATCAGAAACCAATTATGCTTCTGGAAGTCGTTCTGCCCCGCACCTAGAAGCAATTCTGCTGCCTGCAGAGTAGCGCGATATCTCATACATACGCCGACGCGCCATTTCCATGTGTTATGCCTCTATGACCGTTTTTGCTGCAATCCGGCGAGCCCACCATATCCCCATTCGTTATCCGTAATTGTACGCCGGTCGCTAATGTAAAAACCTTCAAAAACTGCGCCAAGAGCCATCCGCGAATAGCGGAATTCGTTACGTCGTCCAAGTTCGTACCCAGATCTAAACATCGGTATCATTCATCTCATTTCCGCTGGGGCCACAAATATCCGATACGGGATCCAATACTTCAGACGAGCTGAATGCGTCCTCGGAATTCTCCCATTCTATCTCTTTTTAGCCAAAGTCAAATTCTATAAGGTGGTACCAACAAACCTGAAACCTCATCTTCAGCCAGTTCGTCAACTGTCAGCTTCTTCAGCTGCGAAAGCACGCCTAAATATTGCTTAGCAATGTCATGGTATCATTTGGAAGTATGCACTCACTGGTATAATAGTCTTGGAATGGTATTTCGTCAGGGTTCTCGATCGCGTCATCGTAGTATGGCTTGCAAGATTCAATGACAGCCAGGATATTCACGATGTTGGCCTTCACCGCTTCTGCCCTCCGCCTGACGTGTTTCTCATGGAGGTATCGAAGGCATGCAATACCAAGTAGCCGTATGGTAGATGTGATGACTTGAGAATTCGCGTGAGCCTCAACTGAAATATCGTCAGGTAGCTGCGCTCCATGACGGAAGAGTGTTGATTGAAGATAGTCTTCTGTTCCGCGCCGAATTGCTGAGTCGTAATAAGTAAGCAGGCTAGGTGCCCACACTTGAATTTGGTCAACGGCAAAGCGGAAGAATGCACCGTGGTCGATATTTGGGTTTTTGGAGGGAACTTCAAGAAGCTCTTTGAAGAATCGAAGAAAATCTCTACCCTCAGAGTTGTCAATCCCGCGAGCGACGTTGCTGACATGGTAAACCATCTTTTCAATGGCTTCCAGCGAGTCTACAGTGCGGCAATATGTCACAGCAGCAGCAAGAAATGGTGCTGACGACGTTGTGCTGGGCGCCTTGCGAATACCCTGGCGTATTGCATTGAAGACGCTAGTGTAACTATCGTCAAAGTGTTCCAGCAGAAGTCCAATTACTGCCTGTGTCGATCGTGGATTCTGGTTATAGTTCAGCAACTTCTCTGTCAAAATGTTCATATTGCCTCTTGTCCAGTGCTGGATAAGAAGATTATACTCGGGGATACTGAGTGGTAGAAGTGTGTCTTCTTCTGCCAAGGCAAGTCGACTTATACGCTCTGAGACGCGCCCAGCAGCGAGATCGCACGATTTGAGTAAAACCTCCAATAAACCAATGATATTCTCCAACGAGACAGGTCTCGTAACTGGTCTTTTGTGGATAATAGCAAGCATACGCGTGTACTGCGGGTGTGGCGGTAGAGCCGAATCTGCAGTCAAAACTTCGAGTACTTTGAGGAGGAACCCCGCGTCAAGAAGGGAGGCTGTCTCAAAGGTGCCTAGTCCCACAATGCGAATTAGGAGGCCAAAATATTCTGGCCAGGCCTTTATGCTCATGTGGAAACTATCCCAGAACCTCAGTAGTATGCCGACTACCTTGGCGAACAGCCTTGGGCTTTCGATAACTTCAACATCGTCCTCAACTTCACTGCCATATCCACTTAAACCGTAGTCAAATGTGGCATCTTCTTTCACTTTGTTGAGTGCTGCGACAACAGCCAAAGCAATTTCGCTCCGTACCATATGATCTGGGTTTCGCATCAATAGCTGTCTAAATGCTTCTTGGTGGTGTGCCAGCCAATCTAAGAAGTCCTCGCAACAATCAGTGCAGGATTTCAGTCTGTGACATAATGTCAGCATGTACGTGCCGAAATCCGGAAGATCTTTCGCTCGCGCGATGACTTGATCCAGATGAAGCAGGGTAGTTGATAATGCCAATCTGCTTAGACTGTGGTCATCTGGCGAGCGTCCGTGACGAAAATGTTGATCATTATCCATCATTCTTAGCACAAAGTGCGCATGTGACTCGTCGTAAAGGCAGTACTTCCTTAGGAGCATTTCATTTTCGCGAGTTATGTAATTGCTGAAGAGCTGCGGTATTGGCAGTTGGAATGTGCGTTGGTTGGTAGCTATTAGCTCTTGTTGGTGTTCCTCGACGATAGATGACCGCTGGTAGAAAAGCATATATGCACTCCAGCTCTTGTCAAATTGAAATGACCCATTCTCGGGACCACGGTAGTCAAGGCCGCCAAAGCAACTGGCTTCGATACTGTTGGGGTCAAAAGAAGTGACATGATCATCATTGAATTCAACCCATGCTGGATGCTTCCCATGCGATGGTCTCTCTCGAATGTACGAGTAATAGTGGCCAGACTCCGCAGTCCCTGAATGAACAAGTATTCCAACAAGTTCAAACATATCGCTTGGTATTTCCCCATCCATAAGATGCTCCACTTTATACGGACGCATGTCGATCTTATGGGGAAAGCTGAAGTAGTCGTTGATCTTGCCCCGTTGCATGGTACGCAGGTTGAAGTCGAATCTCTTGAGATGGAAAATCAGATTGTCGGGGACGTCTTGTAGGCAGGCCCTTTTTACCGCATTAACATCCCTATCACATGTCGAGCACTTATACTTGTTGTCTCCTTCCATGACTTCGCCATCAACATAGGCCTGAAGGCTTTCCTGAAGCGAACTTTTGCCTTTAATGTCGCATTGTATGGCTGAGAATGGCTCTAGACTCTCCGAAATATGCGGGCATTCCTTGGATTTCACTTGGTGAACCAGCTGCCCACCATAGAAAGACCGAAATAGTAGCTTGTCTTCTGGAGATGATATCTGGCTCTCCCAGCGATCTATGAGTAGATTGTAGAATTCATCCACATCCATCTGGATATTAACATCAATGTTGGTATCATCATATGTGCGAATAGAGAGTGCAAGGCTGGTTGGGTCGATGAATCGTTTGAAGCTATTTTGCATAAATCCGAAGAGCTTTTGAGTCTCAGCGAGCAGTTTCTGATTCGAACTGCCTTCTGACAAGGGGTCCTCTAATAAGGGGACGTTCAGCATGAAGCCTCGGAAAGAGATATTCATGAAAAGTTGGGTGAACAGAGAGTTCAAGTAACATGTGTTCGATAGGTTCTTCAAGCCAACGTATCCAGTCGGCGAGCGCAAATATTTAGACCTATCAAAACCATGCTGGAGATCAAATGCATAGGGAACTGTATTTGGTGAGCTTGGTTCAGAGAGGGCCATAGGTGCACACTTACTGTCATCGTTAGGATCGTACGGCGCGAGACTCTCCATTTGATTCATTATTTCCTTGTACTGTTCAACATCGTCTCTGGTTAAATTTACGATTGCATCCGCGAGATATCTGCGAGTTGTCGAGTTCAAGACTGGTACATTCTCTGGGAATATATCGTCATCTTCCATATCAGAGAGGGGAGGGAACAAGTGTTTATTGAACAGCTGTATGCCCAATTGATTCGAAGGTATCGGATGCTCAGAAGCTTTGGCAAATGATGTACACCAGTACAGGAGATTCGAGAGCCCTCGGGCAATAACATCAATTTCATCTGTGGACCCTACAGTCTCTTGTGCCGTATGTTGGGTTAAAAGTGTGCCCCACTGAAATAGACATGCGTCCAGATCCACGCTGCCAACTGACGACTCGGCGAGGTTTCGAAACACCAGGAGCGCAACAGAGAGAGCCTCTTCGCACTGGTCGGGAAGTGACACTGCGGAGGGAATCATGTCACGAAGAAGAGGCCAGAAAGCTGTAGTGACATCCAGCGTCGAAAGAGCAGACAAACTTGGTGTAAAGGTACACTTGCTCGTCATCTGCTTCATAATACTCTTCCGCAATGAACTTCGGTGATCTTCCAAGAGAAGTTCACTGATGAGTTCGGGAGTAAATGGTGCTGTAATAAAGCTTGTCCAGAAAGACCGGCTATTAAGGGAAGCTTCTAAAATAGCCTCAAAAGCACTGGAGACCATTTGAATGGAGTTCTCCGACGCTTTACTCAAGCGAGCAGACTCCAAGATCTGCAAAAGACACTCCAGGAGAGTTGTTGTCAAACAGTTCGTGACAGTCTCGACTGGAATGGGCTCTCGCAGCAACCGCATGAGACATTCGACAAGTGCTTGGGCAAGGAGGCTTCTGAGGTCCTCATTTGCACAACTATCAAGAACTTCTTGATTTGTAATAGCAGAGACTATCAGACCGAGTGATCTGGACAGGATACGGCTATCGGGCTTTCCCTGTCGCATTCGAGCTTCTAGGGTTTCGCGCAGGGCATAGACTGCATATAAGCATTTGAAAGGCTGCCCAAGGGGGAAAATTTCAGTCCAGGCCGTGGTATCATCCTCAAACGCGGCGAGAAGTTTAGGATAGACCGGAAATTTGACGAGAAAATGATAGATCTCCTTTGAAAGCCTTTCTTCCATCCCAAGATAGTCCCAAAAGGCGTCAAAATGGTTTATGACCTCAACTTCCAGGCTCGTCGTTCTCGATTTTGGGCTCCCGCCTCGTGGTTGCTCATCGTCCTGCCGGGTAACGAGCACTAAGCCTTTTCCAATTTGCAGGTCCTCCAATGTGACTCCTTGGTTACTCGCATTGTCAGAAATCTCCGCGCCCCAATGGTAGAGCTTAAAATTCTTGAATTTGGTCGTTATTTCGACAATAGCAAAAAGCTCCGCCACGGTATTCGATTTGCCAACCTCCAAACCGCTCACAGGGCCATGCTCCTGGCCATCAAATATTTGATATTTGAAATCCAGTGTCTTGCCTTTTACTTCTGTGGAAGGCCCGGGCTCTGTGGGTCTTGGCTTTGGCACCGCAAAGTATGGCTTCAACTGATACGCCCGTAAAAACTCACGAAGAAGGACCAGTGAGCGTGTGAATATCAGTTCTTCTTCGCCAACGGACTGCTCTGTTGAAACGATGGTCATTGGTTCATCGTCACCGGCAGCGACATTGTTGGAACCCTTCAACTTTCCGGCGGCATATGACATTTGCTCCAAACAACGATTAACCAGCCTCAAATGCACAGCATGGGCCCTCGGTCGAGCCATTGATTGAATCATCGGACTATCCACATAGAGCTCAACCAGCATGTTGATAGCTGGGTCTTCAATCGAATTTGGTGGAGCTGTCAAAATCATTCTCCAAAGATGCTCAAGCCCATGGGATCCTGATGCTGTGTCCTCATCCAACAGGTCTCCCTGTACGCCTCGCAACCATGCCCGGATGGCCTCTCTAGTAAAGTCCAAGGATCCGATAGTGTAACATTGAGGCTCAAGTTTTGGCAGGTATTTTTCGAAGCACGTCGCAATGAAGACGTTCCTTGACGACACCTTGGCGGCCGCACTATTCAGTATCTGCCATGCTGTCTCTCTATCCGCTGGGCTTTGCCCTCCTTGCCCAACAAAAGCAGTCCATAGCCGTTCACCGAGATCGGACGTTATGGACCTTGGTTCATTAAGAATGATTGCAAGGAGGAGGTCCCGTCGAGCTTGGCGAGCAGGGCTGTTGAAATTTGGTGATAGCGAGTTCGGTTCTTGGGGGCGATTGGTATATTCAACTTCCTCGATCATTATCTCTGTGAGATCACGCTCTACTGTAAGAATACGCAGATCAGTTCCGAGATTTTGGCTCAGTAGCCCATAGAGTGCACAAATGCTGCCAGAAGCAGTTGGGCTTCTGCTTGCTATGTCTTGGATAGAAGCTAGGTAGATCTTATTCCGGATCCCAGCTTCTGGGCCATGGCGAACAAGTTCGCGGAGCCGGTTCGTTGCCCAATGCTGTACGTCCAGGAGGCCCAGGGGTGCATCTGGACGAGGCATAGATGATTCTCTGATAAGCCGAATGCAGAGTTCATAGGGCGGTGCATCAAGATATTCGGTCTTATCATCCCCAGAAGCTTTCTCAATCAAAAGATCAATTACTCTTTGGCAATGATCTCTCATGGCCGGCGTAAACGCTTCAATTGGTAGAGCGCTTACTTTGTCGCACAGATAGAGCAACTTGTCATAGTCAAGCAGATTGAGCACACTGGCGAGCATTCGGAGGACTGCTTCTACCACTCGTGGATCTTGACTTGTTGTGACTGTTTGCCAAATGGTATCTGTTTCCTTGTTTGTGTAAGACTTCGTTGCCATGAGGAAACCGACAATATTGCCACTTTCGCTGATGAGCTCGGGGTGGGAACCAGTTCCAACTATGTAGTCGACGAGCTTATTCGCCATAATATATTCGGCGAAATGAATGAGGATTGGTTGGCGAGATGAATCCTCCCGTTTATGCTTCGTGTAGAGGCTCAGAAGTTCTGTGCACATAGTCGTCACTCCACATACGCGCAACTGCATCTGGCCACACCCAATAATCTTCTTGAGCATGGAAAACTTCCACTCGGCAGATATGACTATGCCATTGTACTTTGGCGGCATGGTGGGATGCGACCGCAATTGATCGCGGATGGATTCTTCGACGGGAGAGTTCTCCAAGTTCAAGGCTGCAAGATAAACCCGAGAGAGTCCAATTATGTGTACGAGAGCAGCCTCGGCTGTCAACATTGTCGCATGCTTCTCGATAATAGTATCAAGGGCTGGCGCAAGGACTTTGAAGAATTGGTATCCTTGTTTGATAAGTAGCTCGCTATTCTCCATTGGGGACCGGTACGCGGGACCGGCATTGTTGTAATATGATAAACTGGAGGAGATTGCCAGGTCAACGATGCGTGATGGTTCGGTCAAATCTTCGATTCCCTTGGGATATTTGGATATTATCGCCAGGTGCCCTCGAACAAATCGAGTGAGTGCAGGTATACTGCCGACGCCATCGATGAAATGCCTCACCATGCTGCTCACTTCTTCACCCCAGTCGAAGCGGTAGTGTTGTTCCAAGTTTTGGCCAATGTTGAAGTCCCTTTTCTGAAGTAGCCACCCAAAGGCCAAAAGATATGGTTTGGAAACCAGCATAGGTTGCGGGGTCTGGTCGTCAAGCTCCTCCTCGTACTTGGCAAGAGTTCTAACATCCATCGCCACAAAGCGCGCCGTAAGTTCCGCATATTGCGTGAAAAACTCTGATAGAGCCAGCCGGCTGTCGCGACTCTTCTGTAAGAAGTTCCCAAAAAAACTTCTGCAACAAATTAGTTAAGTTCGGCTTTGGAAGGCCTAGAACCTTGCCTTCGTCGGCTAAGAGCCGTGACGATGTCAGGAAACTTATTCCAGAACTCTGTGTGTTTCTCGTAGGACTCAAACCAAGAGACTTCGGAGTCCTTCGTAAGCTGGAGATAGCTAGCCATCCAGTCTCTTAATCTGCAGAACATGTCGTCGCCATCCACGGCGTCTGTGGACGTGTCAGCATCTACCTCACGATATATGAAAGGCTGCCTACCATGTTCGAAGAAGTGTGCAATTTTGCGAACGGTTACCATCACTGGCTCATTTCCACATGCGTATGGGAAGTCCAGGACGGGGTCGCAGTCAAAAAGAAGTTCGTCGTCGTCGTCGATAACGGCCACAGGTGGGCTCTGTCCATATTCGATATCCTCATCCTCCATAATGAGTTCCACCTTTGGGCTTCCCAACGTTGACGAGGAAGAGGAAATAGTCTCTAGAGGGGCAGCAACTCCATCTGAATCCACTTCTATGTCCAGTTGTGGGATTTGATCTGTGCCCGACATTTTCGACGGCGTGGTGGGGGAGAAGGAAGGAGACGATGCCAGGTCGATTGCTTTGTTCGACCTTAGGTTGATTGTAACCTTGCTCGATGTAGGTTCTGGTATGGCTTTATTCGAGTGAGTTCGAGAGGGCGTCCGTGGTTGAGTGAGCCTAGCCTCTATCGATGGGCTGTGTTCCCTGGGAGTCGTAACATAAGTCGATGAAGCCTTGCTAGTATCCGCTGATCTGCTTCGTGATCCGCTCGAGACACGCTGCCTCTTTCTTGCGGAGTATTCGGAATCGTCGAAGGGTTTAGGTCGACTTGAACACGGCTCGGACGATACCGCACGTTCTCGCGACACTTCGATCGCTTCGAGGTCCATCTGGCCGAACCAGAGCACTGATTGGCAAGGTGCTCTGGTACTGTGTGATTAGGCACAGTGACTTCGAAATCACAGACCTGCTTCGGATGTCGTGCTGTGTAGAATCGCCATGTGGAGGGGTTGTGGATAGGCAACGATGGTAATAACAAGCTTTTGGGCGGCGTGGTGCAAACGAATATTAGATAGAAGGTGGTGAATAGAGAGCCCCGCCTTAGCTGTCTGGAAATAGCTGTAGGTGGTGCAGGCACTTGTCGATAAGGTAGACGAGCTCACAAGCGTGTCGGATGGTGGGTGATCAATCGCAAGCTATCCAGCCCACAAAGGTACAGCCACCCCACGTATAATTTAGAGTGCTTGATGTACCGTTATAGTACGACACAACACAACCTCGTACGTCCCAAATATCAACTCTCAAATTCGACGAGCTACAATTCGTTTTGTGTATGGGCTGATTTGTTTTTATTATTTACTTTAGGCTCTTCTAGCTATTTTTATATACTGCGGTCCTTATTCATCTGTCCATGGCTTTCCTACGAATTCTTTAGTGTTTGCACATTTTTCTACCGTAGAAAGTATGGAAATTATGAAATATTGACTTCTATAATGAAATATAACCTTGGATATATGAGCGCACTCAGTTTAAATTCACCTGCGGAGCATCCAAGGATTTGAAATGTCATCGGTTCATTAAATTTTTACTTGATCTATTTTTCAGCCATACTCCATTTCACAAACCCGCCTCTAATGCTGTTCAAGTGGTTAACTATTCCAGCTCGATGGTTGCTGGAGGCTTGCTTGTGATATCAAGCATAACGCGGCATACTCCCTAAATAACTGTTAATATCGTCCATACATCTAGTCACGGAGCAACTCCGTGAGTCGGGAATGGGAGTATTTTACCTTGACGTTGTTGACAATCTTCGTTGAGACCTGGTTAAGGAACTCGTGGCTGAATGGGAATGCCTTGGCAGTCATGACTAACTCAAGGTTAGAATAAAATTTCCTACGTGATCGAGTTGTAATCCTCCATGGGACCGAGAAAGCACTTACAGTCTGTAGTCTCGACGGCGCGTAGGATAATAAGATGCTCGTAAGCACGCTGGTCGCCCTGAAAATATGAATTAGCCTCTGAAGTGTGATCTACACATTTACGAAATCAAGTGCTCACCATCACGCCAACGGCCTTGCTAGTGTCCAAAGCTGCAAATGCTTGGGAGATTTTGTCGTACAGACCCCATTCACGGATCATACCAATGAAGATATGGTCGGCTTGGCGTACCATCTCTACACGCTCAGGTGTCACCTCACCCAGGATACTGTTCATTCTCTGGTTAGCGGTTGAAAATAAGGCTATGGGGTAACATGAAGGACGGTATTACCGAATAGCAAGACCGGGACCTGGGAAAGGGTGCCTCATAACAAGATCATGGGGGATTCCAAGCTGCCTCCCAAGATCACGGACCTCGTCCTTGAAGAGCTCTCGCAGAGGCTCAATAAGCTTCAGTCCCTGACCGTCGAGCATGCGCTGAGGAAGTGCAAGATTGTGATGGGTTTTAATAGTGGCACTGGGGCCCTTGAACGAGATGCTATAAATTTAATGTTAGTAATTATCCCAATGAAATCACCTCATAGGACTCGACAAATCTAGATTTGGAATCCCCATAAAGGGCTGAAAAGTAAACTTGTTGGGTTACTAACCTCTCAATAACATCAGGATACAAAGTTCCTTGCAAGAAGAACTCGACTGGTCCAGCCCTGTCAGTCTTTGCTGCCGCAGCTTCAATCTTCTTGGCCTCCTCCTCGAAGACTTCGATAAACTTCCCTCCAATGAACTTGCGCTTCTTCTCCGGGTCGGTGACACCCTTTAGGCCGTCAAGGAACTCCTTTGAAGCATCCGCCACAGTCAAGTTGATTCCCATATGCTCCGAAAGCATCGTCTTGACTTCCTCGCACTCGTTCAGGCGCATAACGCCGTTGTTGACGAGGACAGCGTGGAAGCGGTCGCCAATTGCGCGCTGCATAAGCTTAGCCGCAACCGTAGAGTCGACACCACCGCTCACGGCACCAAGGACCTGGCCATCTCCAACGAATTTCCGGATACGGATGACTTCTTGGTCGACAAAGTTGGCCATTGTCCAATTCTGCTTTGCGCCGCAAATCTTAACAGCGAAGTTCTCGAGGATCTTTGTGCCGTTCTCGGTGTGTGTAACCTCTGGGTGCAGCTGGAGGCCGTAGATGTGCTTGCTCTCGTGGCAGATGGCAGCGTATTCGGAGTTGGGAGTAGTGGCGATGGTGTGGAAGCCCTCAGGGAGCTTGGCCAGCTTGTCTCCGTGAGACATCCACACCTTGAACTCGTTCTCGAGTCCATCGAAGAGGCGGTCAACATGGCCATCAACCTTCCTGGCCTTGAGATCGGCATGGCCGAACTCTCTTGTGACGCCTGCAACGACGTTGTCCTTGCTGCTGCGGTAGGCAATCTCTTGAAGGCCGTAGCATATTCCGAGGATCGGGACGTTCAGATCAAAGTATGTTGGGTCGACATGGGGTGCGCCTTCTTCGTATACACTGGAGGGTCCACCCGACAGGATGATACCAGCTGGCTTCCAGTCAAGGTCGGCCAGTTTCTGGGTGCACGGGAGCATCTCAGAGTAGACATGGAGGTCTCTCAGGCGGCGGGTAATCAAGTGAGTACTAGTAGGGAAAGTTAGTCGCCAAATTGAAGACGTAGGACTCGAGGAATTGAACCCGGGTGGGCACGCGTACATACTATTGGGAACCGAAATCCAAGGTTAGGATGGTGTCGAAGGACTTGTGAGGAACCACCTCGGGTACTTCTTCCGTTGTGTTTGACATGATGTGGAATGAAGAAGAAGCTTTAATTTAAAATTATGGCTACAAGATATCCTCAATGCCGTTGTGAGCGGCGATAATAAAAAGACTCACGGTATCTGAGAAAAGAAAAATTTAGCTTATCGCACAACCCCTCATTATGCGTCAGAAAAGATTAGCGATTGTGAGGCCCCGCACTTGACGCGATACCAGAAACAGCCCACTTGTACCATGTTAGCCTTTCCGAAGTCGAGGGACTGACGACAGGGTTTGCACAAGGCTGCGCTATGTTTTTTATAGTACTAGAGTTATATACTAGAGTATCTAATCAATATAAATTATGGTCCTGGTCAAAGTATAAGCAGTATAAGCAGCGCGTCAACACCTCTGTAGGTTAAGAGGAGATATTGGGTTCTGTATAGCCTTGAGCTTGAGCTGCGGTATTAACGCCGTGTATTCGGGGACCCAATGTCCCTGAATCAAGCAGCCCAGGTCACACGCTGCCAACAGACGCTTGCAGCTAAGCTGCCGCCCGTGAAATAGCCTCCAAAAGCAAAGACGATGTTTGAGCTGGATAGCCCTTATTCAGATGTTGCACTGTATGGCAATCTTTTCTTCCAACCGTCACATGGATGATTGAATCATCATGATTTCGAACTGGGTATCTGACATCTACTCAGGCCTCAACTCAGTCCGGCTGATCAGGATACCATCCTGAATCTTCTTACCGGGTAGGTGTGCGGGTTCTCTTCTGTCATCTCATTTATGTTGTAGGCTCTCAAGTACACATGAACCATATTAATGTCTCTCAGCTTCCTCTCGCCCATCGGCCACTACCGCACCACTCACATTACCCCCTCAAAAGGAAAACGCAACAAGAAGGCCAAGCGCCGGAAACTCAAAGGCGGCGCCGCCAAACCTGCCCAAGAGGCCTCGGTGCCACCCCCTGAGCTAAGCTCCTACATCCTCGTCGGCCTCAACAGCATTACCCGCCACCTCGAGTCTCAATCTCGCAAGGCTTGTCCACCATCACTCGGTGTGCCAATACCCAGTTCTGACGGACCAGCAAACCCACAACGACATCTCGCCGTAGTTGTCACGACTTGGCCCTCCGTCCCTCCGATCCTCACGTCTCATCTCCACAAGCTTCTTCAAACAAGCTCTCTACTCCACCCCAGTCTCCCGCCGACGCGCTTGGTCATCCTTCCAAGGAGTAGCGAAAAGCGTCTCTGCAGTGCCCTGGGTGTTCCACGTGCGGGGTTTATCGGGGTATTCGACGGTGCCCCTTCTGCTACTGCAGTAATTGACTTCTGCCTCGCGAATGTGCCTGAATTAGAAGTTGATGGGTGGCTGAAGGCTGATAAAGTGCTTTCATGCCGCTGAAAATAAACACCGTTGAAGCGGCTGATTCTGCTGTGCAGAATAAAGTCTGAATAAATAGATGAGTAAAAGATTTATATACCCAACATCTACCCAAAAAATATTTATCTACCGCACCGCCTTCTGTAACCCCTGCAATTCCCGTGACCTCGCTGCCGTGACCTTGCTGCCGTGACCTAGCCAGGGGCAGCTTTCCTCCGCACAAATCCAGGAAGCTTGGCCAGCGTCTCGATGCTCAGTCCGGAAGGCGAACTTCTCCTTTACGGCCCAGTCGTCGAGGGCATAAGCGACGTCGTCCATTTCGTAGAACTCGGTTAGACCCTGGTTTAAAGAAAATAGGGCTAAGTAAGCTACATTATACATAACAATATGAATATAAAGCTATAGAAGCTGTAGAAGAAGTATATCAAAGGTATGTTTATATATTATATTTTTAAATTATATACTAATATGTTAATAGAGTATTAAGAGAGGAATTTAATAACAAATTACCTCTAACACAACAACAACTACAACAACTACAACAACTACAACAACTACAACAACTACAACAACTACAACAACTACAACAACTACAACAACTACAACAACTACAACAACTACAACAACTACAACAACTACAACAAGAGAATGAGGAAGATAATTTATTAGATGATTTCGAAAGATCATTATATTCTCAAACTATAGAAGATGACTTTGAAACAGAAACTTCTATCTATTTCCAAGAACCTATTTCTCATTATAAGGTAAGCTATTAACCCTCTTTAATAATTAACTTACTAATATTATATAGATTAATTCTTTAGACTATTGGAAAATAAATCAATCTCGATTTCTAGTTCTAGCTACTATAGCTAGGCGCTATTTACAAATCCCTGTTACTAGTGCTCCTATAGAGAGCTCTTTTAGTATAGGTTGTAATGATGTACGGTTACGCTCGCGCTACATCCCACTGAGCCAAAAAGACTACAGTATTCCGGCTCGCCCGGAATACGCGTAACACGCTTTATATACCACATGTACTGTAACGGCGGCACCCGTTACAGTAGCCTTATTATTTCAAAGATTAGAAATAGGCTTTCTAACAACATTTTTAGAGTAATAGCTTGTTTAAAGAGTTGGGATTTTATAAAGGAAGAAGAAGAGGATCTAGAGGAGGAATTTATAGCTAAATTAATACTTTAAGTAGTATTTAGATAGATTAATATATATTTGGTTTCCTTTTCAACTATACTAGATAATTACTTAGGCCACGTGATTATAACATCATGTGATAATTATGAATATTCATGATTATCAAAAACTCATAATCATAATCATGCTTATGAATAATCATGCTTATGTAATATTTGACTATTTGAATAACGTGGTTTATCAGTACGTCGGACATATCAGTACCTCGGACACTTTTCATTGGCATTCTACTTTGAATATCAATAAATCAACCATAACATATTAAATTAACTATAACTAAGCGGAATCAGATGAACTAGACATATCTATAGCTTCTTGACAAGTTCGCGCATTATGACCAGCTTTTCCACAGATCCCACAGCATCGCCTAGACGGTTGCCCCTCCTTGCGACTACCCCCAACCGCACGTACGTCGCGTCGTACCTGCTCATCCACATCCTTCTGTGCGATAATTGCCTGTGCATCCTCTACTATAAGTGCACCTCCTTCACGGACACGAGCCTTTTTAGCCCTGCGGCGTTTGCTAAGGGCTTCGTTGGCTGCTCGAAGGGTACGTACCTCAGCAGACAGAAGGGTGTTCTCATGTGCTAGTCGCTCCGTACCCTTTGCCAATCAATAACTGTCCCGAAGAGTGGAGTTGGCGAGCTTCCTTGGTGACGGGCAATTCGATTTCGAACGAGGGTTGTTTGTGAAAGAGCTTCAGTTGGGTTGGAAGGGGTCTGGGAGACCCAAGGGTTGGTGTTGGCAGTAGAGGGTCTAGAGGGAGTTGGAGTCTGTAACCTCACGTCAAGCTTTGAAAGCACTGTGTTACGACGGAACAAGAAGGCTGGCCAACTACAGGACAGGAAGGAGGGAGGTCGCATGAGACCGGCCCTGGTACCTGGAGGGGCAGCGGGGAATAGTAGTTCCGAAAGTATCACGTGACGGACTCGCAGGATGATGAGAAGAGTCCTAAGAGTCCAGGACTCCGAGGACTCGAGTGAGTTCCCAGGAGTCCACTAGGCACGTGACGGACTCGCAGGATGATGAGAAGAGTCCTAAGAGTCCAGGACTCCGAGGACTCGAGTGAGTTCCCAAGAGTCCACTAGGCACGACGCCACTATATAAGTAGATAGTATTCCCTTAGATAGGAGCTTCGTGCTCAACTCAATACAGTATTTGTTATATACTAGTAACGTGTTACTTGAAGCCTTTGTGTCTGATCCCCTGCCTCCTCTGATAAGTAAACCTTTACGCAAGAGAACCTCTGTGTCTTCTATCATTTAGAAGTCAGCGTTACACACTGCTTGCGGGTCGAAAGGCACTAAGCCAGCTCCGCGGAACCCGGACTGGGCGTTTTGGGCTGTCATGGATTCCAGATATGCTGCTCTAAAGGCGAGAAAGAACTCGACCTTGGTAATGTGGTTGATATGAGCCTTAATGAAGGTCTCAATCTGCCAACCATATGCCCGCTTCAACACACTAAAGCACCCGACATCAAGTGGCTGAGTTAAATGAGACGAGTGGGGAGTGTCATACTGACATTCGTTGCACTCAGTTTGCTATCAAACTCAAGAGCAAACTTGGAAATCTCCTCCTCAAACCTACAAGTCACTATACATATTTTGGCTTATCACACCAACAACAAGAGCAATACTACTCAACGATTGCTACAATCATCTATGATTCATTACACATCATCGCTCCTTAGTTACTGGGCCGATATTACCACATAGCATATCTCTACAACCCTGTCATACTGACATTCGTTGCACTCAGTTTGCTATCAAACTCAAGAGCAAACTTAGAAATCTCCTCCTCAAACCTACAAGTCACCATACATATCTTGGCTTATCATACCAACAACAGAAGCAATACTACTCAACGATTGCTGCAAACTCTTCTACTACATCTGTTTATGCTACATACATCACGGCATATCATTTGAACACTCATTGAACAAGTTATTAAGAAAATCTCCTCCTTAAGGGGGTGGGCCAATACTACCACATGGCATATATCTACCAACTAGAGGCCTAGGAATATGAACGATAGCTCTAGAAGCTTCTACAACCCTCTATGATTCATTACACGTCATCGCTCCTTAGTTACCCACAAGATTGGTTAAGTTATGACATAATTTATCTATAGGTACTCTGACCTTGGACCTCCTTTTCACTTCCTATAGGCTAGGAACCCAAGAGATGGTTCTATGGGATTCTCTTACGTTCACTACATGATTAGCAAGCTAGTTGTGGGTCGCACTTGATTTCTAATACATTTACCAAGCCTGGTTAGTCATGGAAAGTCATGGAAAATGAGAGAACTACACTCCTTTGGCATAAATAGGATTGCCCTTTCCTTAAGAAAGGGCAAGCAGGCAATACAGTAAATCGACTATCACATACTTCCACGTCTTTTACAAGCTTCCAAGCATTCATCTTGTTACTCCTTGTTTCTGAAAAGTCAGTGAGGTGTTAACCTCTGACTTACCCCTGAGTTCTCAGACTCAACATTTGTTGCAACTTGTCTAAACCACTTCACCACATCATACACCTGATTGCTGCGTTGTGGAATAGTCTAAGCTACAACCCTTTGGCTCTGTTTCCTAAGACAGTGTGTTGTCTTAGTAAATTCATCCCTTCCTTGGGTGGCTAGATTCTCATATCTGGTGCACCCACCATTACAAACCCTCTATGATTCATTACATGACATCACTCATACTACCACATGACATATCTCTACCAACTAGAGGCCTAGGAGCATGAACAATAGCTCTAAAAGCTCCTACAAACCTCTATGATTCATTACATGTCACGCTCTTTAGTTACCCACAAGATTGGTTAAGTTATGACATAATTTGTCTATGACATAATTTGTCTATGACATAATTTGTCTATAGGGGTACTCTGACCTTGGACCTCCTTTTACTTCCTATAGGCTACGAACCTAAGAGATGGTTCTATGGGATTCTCTTACATCGACTACAGTTACCAAGCCTGGTTAGTCATGGAAAGTCTTGGAAAATGAGAGAACTACACTCCTTTAGCATAAATAGGATTGCCCTTTCCTTAAGAAAGGGCAAGCAGACAATACAGTAAATCGACTATCATGTAATGGTGGGTGCACCAGATATGAGAATCTAGCCACCCAAGGAAGGGATGAATTTACTAAGACAACACACTGTCTTAGGAAACAGAGCCAAAGGGTTGTAGCTTAGACTATTCCACAACGCAGCAATCAGGTGTATGATGTGGTGAAGTGGGTTAGACAAGTTGCAACAAATGTTGAGTCTGGGAACTCAGGGGTAAGTCAGAGGTTAGCACCTCACTGACTTTTCAAAAACAGAGAATAACAAGATCAATGCTTGGAAGCTTGGAAAAGACGTAGAAGTATGTGCTAGTCGATTTACTGTATTGTCTGCTTGCCCTTTCTTAAGGAAAGGGCAATCCTATTTATGCCAAAGGAGTGTAGTTCTCTCATTTTCCATGACTTTCCATGACTAACCAGGCTTGGTAAATGTATTAGAAATCAAGTGCGACCCACAACTAGCTTGCTAATCATGTAGTGAACGTAAGAGAATCCCATAGAACCATCTCTTGGGTTCCTAGCCTATAGGAAGTGAAAAGGAGGTCCAAGGTCAGAGTACCTATAGACAAATTATGTCATAACTTAACCAATCTTGTGGGTAACTAAGGAGCGATGACGTGTAATGAATCATAGAGGGTTGTAGAAGCTTCTAGAGCTATCGTTCATGTTCCTAGGCCTCTAGTTGGTAGAGATATGCCATGTGGTAGTATTGGCCCACCCCCTTAAGGAGGAGATTTTCTTAATAACTTGTTCAATGAGTGTCCAAATGATATGCCGTGATGTATGTAGCATAAACAGATGTAGTAGAAGAGTTTGCAGCAATCGTTGAGTAGTATTGTTTCTGTTGTTGGTGTGATAAGCCAAGATATGTATGGTGACTTGTAGGTTTGAGGAGGAGATTTCTAAGTTTGCTCTTGAGTTTGATAGCAAACTGAGTGCAACGAATGTCAGTATGACATGATCCCCCTTTTAAGGAC